TCAGAGGCATGGTGTTTTGCTGCCGGGAGGTGATTTTTTCCATGGTGTTTTTCCATCCGGGGGCCAGCAGCAGCAGCAGCAGCAAAAGCCTCTCTGCAGCAGCAGGAAAAGGTAGCCAAAATTCATAGCAGCAGCAAGAGGCAAAAGGAGCCAAAAGCATCATTTTCTATGGGTTTCAGAAGTTACGTTAGGCATTTTCGGGGGGCAGCAGCAGGAGGAAAAAGTAGCCAAAATTCATAGCAGCAGCAAGAGGAAAAAGGAGCCAAAAGCATCATTTTCTATGGGTTTCAGAAGTTACGTTAGGCATTTTCGGGGTGCAATTTTGGGGCTTCTCCGTCCTTCAGAGGCATGGTGTTTCGCCTGCCGGGAGGTGATTTTTTCCATGGTGTTTTTCCATCCGGGGACCAGCAGCAGCAGGATCTGCAGCAGCAGGAGGAAAAGGTAGCCAAAATTCATAGCAGCAGCAAGAGGAAAAAGGAGCCAAAATCATCATTTTCTATGGGTTTCAGAAGTTACGTTAGGCATTTTCGGGGTGCAATTTTGGGGCTTCTCCGTCCTTCAGAGGCATGGTGTTTTGCTGCCGGGAGGTGATTTTTTCCATGGTGTTTTTCCATCCGGGGGCCAGCAGCAGCAGCAGCAAAAGCCTCTGCAGCAGCAGGAGGAAAAGGTAGCCAAAATTCATAGCAGCAGCAAGAGGCAAAAGGAGCCAAAAGCATCATTTTCTATGGGTTTCAGAAGTTACGTTAGGCATTTTCGGGGTGCAATTTTGGGGCTTCTCCGTCCTTCAGAGGCATGGTGTTTTGCTGCCGGGAGGTGATTTTTTCCATGGTGTTTTTCCATCTGGGGACTAGCAGCAGCAGCAGCAAAAGCCTCTGCAGCAGCAGGAGGAAAGGGTAGCCAAAATTCATAGCAGCAGCAAGAGGAAAAAGCAGCCAAAATCATCATTTTCTATGGGTTTCAGAAGTTACGTTAGGCATTTTCGGGGGGCAGCAGCAGGAGGAAAAGGTAGCCAAAATTCATAGCAGCAGCAAGAGGAAAAAGGAGCCAAAAGCATCATTTTCTATGTGTTTCAGAAGTTACGTTAGGCATTTTCGGGGTGCAATTTTGGGGCTTCTCCGTCCTTCAGAGGCATGGTGTTTTGCTGCCGGGAGGTGATTTTTTCCATGGTGTTTTTCTATCCGGGGACCAGCAGCAGCAGCAGCAAAAGCCTCCGCAGCAGCAGGAGGAAAAGGCAGCCAAAATTCATAGCAGCAGCAAGAGGAAAAAACAGCCAAAATCATCATTTTCTATGGGTTTCAGAAGTTACGTTAAGCATTTTCGGGGTGCAATTTTGGCGCTTCTCTGTCCTTCACTGCTATGGTGTTTTCCCTGCCGGGAGGTGATTTGTTTGAAGTTGGCTTACTGCTAGCAGCCGCAGGCAACAGAATCTGTCGAAAAATTGTGTTTTTGTCTAGGATTTCAGACGACACGTTAGGAAGTTTTTTGGCGTGGTTTTGGAAGTAGCTCGTCCTGCAGAGGCATGGTGTTTCCCTGCCGGGAGGTTATTTTTTCGAAGCTGTTTGACTGCTAGCACCCGCAGGCAACAGAATCTAACGAAAAATGCTGTTTTTGTCTAAGATTTATAAGATTTCAGACGAGATGTTAGGGAGTTTTTCGGCGTGGTTTTGGAATTTGCTCGTCCTTCAGAGGCACGGTGTTTCCCTGCCAGGAGGTGATTTTGTCGAAGCTGTTTTACTGCTAGCAGCCGCAGGCAACAGAATCTGTCGAAAAACGGTGTTTTTCTGGGATTTCAGACGAGACGTTAGGGAGTTTTTTGGCGTGGTTTTGGAACTTGCTCGTCCTTCAGAGGCATGGTGTTTCCCTGGAGGAGGAGCAACAGCAGCAAATACAGGACCCGCAGCAGCAGCAGCAGTTGCAGCAGCAGGGGCTTTTGGCGCGGCAGCAGCAGCAGCAGCCGCAGCAGATGCAGCAGCAGGAGGACTAGCAACAGCCGCAGGCAACAGAATCTGTCGAAAAATAATGTTTTTTCTAGGATTGCAGACGACACGTTAGGGAGCTTTTTGGCGTGGTTTTGGAACTAGCTCTTCCTTCAGAGGCATGGTGTTTCTCTGCCGGGAGGTGATTTTTTCGAAGCTGTTTTACTGCTAGCAGCCGCAGGCAACAGAATCTGTCGAAAAATGATGTTTTTCTACGATTTCAGACGAGACGTAGGGAGTTTTTTGGCGTGGTTTTGGAACTAGCTCGTCCTTCAGAGGCATGGTGTTTCCCTGCTGGGAGGTGATTTTTTCGAAGCTGTTTTACTGCTAGCAGCCGCAGGCAACAGAATCTGTCGAAAAATCAACAGAGTCGGAAAACAAACCGAAAATCTGTAACATATTGTAACTGTAACTGAGACTTGGGAAGCCTGTGCTGCTTAACATTTACTATTTATCTAAACTACTCCAAGATCAACAAAACATGATGCTGGCTAGTTGGATCCCTAAAGTAGCTAAAGGCTGGAAACTGTCGACCAATTGTCGGAAAAAACTCAGACCATCATATGATATATGATATAACTGTCATATAACACAACAATTTTGTTTCAAATGTCGGAAATCTGATGGTAAGCCAACATGGACAAAATGACTTGCGGTGCTGTGAAGCCAACTGGTCGCGACGAAGGATCCCATCAACATATACCCATCAACCAACAGGGGTAACTTGGAGCAATGAAGCCAAGCAAGTCAAGTGCCCATTTGGTTTGCTTATTGGTTTGGTTACTTGACCATTCTTCCGGGGTCGGCGGCAGGGGCGGCAGCCCTTAAATTCGGCTCCGCCGGCTCCCCACGAGTGGCTTGCCCTACGAGCGTCCCAGAGCGACTAGAGCTCTAAGGTGAGGCGCGCCCCAAACCGCCGACCCTCGGACGCCGGGCCCCGAAAAACACCAAAAATCCTTCAGGAGGGTGGGGGAGAACTTTTTGGCCGGAATCCGGGTCGCTCATAAGCGTCTCCAAGAGCAAAAGGCCCCCCCCCCGTTTGGAGGGTACCTAAAATCGAAAAAAAGTGCCGTTTTGACACATTTTTCGGACGATTTTTCGCTTTTCGAAAGTCACAAAATGCTGTAAATTACAACATTTTTGCGTTTTAACGTCGTTGGCGGGAGCCATGCACAAACGCAGAAAATGCTGTAAATACCAGTACTTTTTGGACCCGAGATGCACAAAACACTGCAAATACCAGTGTTTTTGAAAGCCAAGCAAAAAAACACTGTAAATTACAGCATTTTTGGCGGGTTGATCGCAAAAAATGCTGGTATTTACAATGTTTCTGCAATTTCAAGCAAACGTGGAAGGCACGAAACACTGTAAATAGCGGTGTTTTGGCAACTTTTGGACGCCGAAACGCTGGTATTTACGCAGTTTTTTGCTTGTGACGGGGCCACTCCCCTGTAAATTACAGCATTTTTTGCACTTTTTGAACCGATTTTTTGTCTTGCTGCATGCAACAAACGCTGGTATTTGCACGTTTTTCAAAAAATCGAAGATCGTGATGTGAACGAAACTCTGTAAATAAGAATGTTTTAGCCACTTTCGGGGACTAAAACTGTTGTGTTTACACGGGTTCTTGCCATCTCAAAGCGCAAAATGCTGTAAATTACAACACTTTGTGCGCATAGGCATAGGCCAACATAGCCTCAAGATGGGCCAACATAGCCCCAAGCTGGGCCAACATAGCCCCAAGATAGGCCGCCGACCCTCAGCATGTCATGTTCGCAAGTTCAGATGACATCCCCCTCTCTCTTTCCCTCCCCCGACCCCTACCGGCGTCGCCGGTGTGCGAAGCTCTACAATAAGATCCGATGGATGCGATTGGATGCATCATGAGTTAATCTACTTAGTTCTTCCCAAACATCGCAGCCTACATTCACAAGAACAGCATGGGCCCCATGGGCCAAGATTGAAAAGACCTTGTGACCACAACTTTGGGGCATGTTTAGTCTCAACTACCATTTTCTTGGGGCGCATTCCCTCTATTTTCTTGATTTTATCAGTATATTATAGTGTATTTACACACAATAAAATCAATAAAGAGTCACATACATTCAAAGACCAATTCTTACCCACTCCACATTTCTTTCAAATCTTGATCATTGACATCATAGTTATACTATGTTGTACTATCCAGTGCTACGTTAACTAATCATAACTAATCATGTTGACCAGAGCGTAGTTTCTACGTGTACCGCACTTGACATGACCCATCCCAATCTCAGCAGCATGCCGTGGCGTTGAGAACCGGAACGTGCCGTTCACCTGGCAGCGTTGCGTTTTCACAGGGAGGGTCTGAAAATAGGACTACAAATCAACAATACCTGCAGCTTCTTTATGGTGTATTTATGGAAATATCATGGATATCATGGGAACAATAACAAACAATACAATACTTGGAGGGGTTGAATGGGGATTAAATATGATTAAATAAAATATTCTTGACATATGCATGGTCAAAACATTGTAGATGTATATTATGGGGTATGTCCATTCCGCGCCAGAGGAATCCTTAGAATGGACATGTAAACCCTGATTAATTGATTAATGACCATCCCTCAATATGGCTTGAAACACAAGTCAACTGTTGACCATGGTTCACTTGAACAAAAAAACACAGGTCTTGAATCCTGAGAACAACTGCTCTGAATCAGCCTTGATTCGATGGCATGTTCTACCTATTTATGAATGGTTGAAAGAGCTTTCTCCAATCACGGCAACCAAACAATCGGTGCTTCTGGTTCCAGGGTCAACTTGAAAAGGATCATGTTCCATTGAAATTGTCTGCATCCGGCTGTGTCCAAAACGTTTTAAGCTGGGGTGTGAACTCCAAATTTGCCGCTTGAAAGAGGAAACCCGTGATGAATATTGATGAATCATGGGAATTTAGGGCCACGGTGTACTCCATGTTCAAATCCATGTTTTTTTTTCCTTTTTCACCATCCGAACTACCGCGGTCAGCACTGAACGGTGCTACTGTGGCGTTGGGCCCAAGGGGAATGGTGTCCTGCCCTCAAGGGGCTCATCAGGCGATCCCAATGCAATCCTGATCCGTTGAAAGTGAGTCGTCCGTTGAACAACTGGCGGTACCATCGATAGGAACACACAACTGCGAATAACTGCGATCATTTTACAGCTGAATTCTTGGAAAGTGACTTGTCGACGCGGAATCGTGTGAGCTTCTGATTGACAATCCAGCGCTTCATGTAGTGCTTCCTCAGTCAAGCAATCATATTCACACAACCGAAAAAAGAATGCATGGAACGAGGACGAGTCCCAACAAGGGCTGACGGTCTCAAAATTGGGAACCCTAAAATCCCGTTTTGATCATAGTTCCCATAGGATCCATGTATGGTATATATGCTAACATTGGGGGTATATTGATGGGATCCATGTTACCATATAGCAGCACCATGGATCCTATGGGGTTTATATAGTTGTCCGTGAAAATTGCCATGTGCATCCATTTGCCAGTCCCAACGTGTTGGAGAAACGGTTCATGGTGGTTGTGCCGCGGAAAAACCATCTCAACCCCCCAGGTATGAGTCAATTTCAACTGAAAGAGCTAGCATGGCTACGAGTACAAATATAGCTACAGAACTATAGTAGATGATGAAATATGATGAAATATGATTACCCTCTGGTAAACTAACATAACTATGGAAAATCACCATACTTAATGGGTAAAAACACTATAAATGGCCATTTTCAATAGCTATGTTAAATTACCAGAGGGTAAGTCACGCAACTCCAATCAGTGGGGTTTAACCCTCGCTGGCAAGCGACTTCTTTTTATGTTTGAAAATGAGCTGATCCTCGCCCTTCAGGTGCTCGAGGATGGTGATCTGCAGTTCAGGTGACAATTTCCCGTCGATCGCTTGAAGCATCAAAGACGCTGGTCGTTTCAGGTCGTTTCGTCGTTTCGTTCACATCGCTATGGCGGGTATGGTGCCAAAAACTGGAAAAGAATGGAGATCCAAACAATGTCTGATTGGTCCAAAAAAAAGTTTTTGGTACTAACAATTACTAATATAATTTTGTTCCAAATAATGTCTCATTAGCGTAGTACTGTAACTGGTCCAGTTGATAGTCCAAAATCCCAGGCATCCTCTTGGCATCCCGGAAAATCCCATCATCGAGGCCACCTCCACATAAGCTCCGTCCACCAGCGGCTGCCCCACACTCACTTCGAACCTGCAGGGACTTTCAGGGACGACTTTTGAAAAAATTGTTGTACTGTGTTGCACTTGGGCTTCGGCTTATCCACTTGAATTCCAAGTAATTCCAGCTGCAATGATTTGAAGCACAAGTTTGTTTCGCAGAAAACCTGCTATGCCCATCTTGAATCAATCGCTTCCAAGCCCGCAGTTTTTCGGCGGGGACCCTAGTCCTTGATCCAGCGTCTCCAGTGATGGGAGAATGTGGCCCAATACGAAGCCAATTTTCGATGGTTATATATAATATATACCAATTGCTTGGTGATATCAGGGATGCTCTATTGGGTTGAATGTGGGATTCACCCATATGGATCCATATGGCATCTGCACCGTCCCCAAGTCATCACCATTGTTATGGCTTGTATAAACCATCCCATTAAATGGTAGTTGTTTATGGCATTGGGTTTACCACATTACAATTTCATCAACATTCCTGGATTTACTATTAATATATGGATGTATTCTTGGGCTTTGCCACATTATTATTAACATTCCTGGATTTACTATTAATATGAAAGCAAATGCCACATAATTTTAGTTGATCTTTGTTGGGTTACCACATTTCTTCCACATCAAGCTGTAGCTGGCTCGGTCACCAGGTCCATCGAACTGCCAAGTCGCTCATCGCTCTTCTTCTGCTTCAGCAGGAGCACGCGGTTCAAGCGCACCTGCGGGCTTTGGGCAACGGGTTCTGTCGCCGCATGTGATCCTTACGGTAAGTGAAAGAGGATGTTGAGGTATGGATGATTGAAACTGTTCAATATATCTATACATATTATATATAATATATTACTGTATATATATATAATTGTGTATAATATATGTATATATATATATATACTGAATAATATATATATAATTACATACTATTATGTATATATATATATACATACTATGTATATATATATATATACTATGTGTATAGATATATATGTATATATGAATACTGTAAGTTGACTAAGTTGACGATTTTCACTTTTCTACGCTGGCAAACACTGCCATCATATGATCGATCTTTCCCGCCAGCATGGCCACGGGAAAAGCAGCTTCTGCGCGGAGCCGCGGAGCCTTCGAACCAGGAACTGCTCGAATGAAGTAGGTCTCATACATGCCTCCTTCCACAACCATGTGCTGGCGCCCACTGTATTCCACCTGGTGATCCAAAATGGATCCAAAATGGATCCAGATCAAACTGCAACGGGGGCAGGTTCTCTGACTCTCAGCTTCCAGCAAAGGTGACAAGGTATTTCTGCAAGATTTTAAGATCTGTTTATGTAATTGGTTCATAGACTTTGTTGAGCAACACGCCACACGACACTTTGAGTGCACCAGGAGAGTGAAAAACGCCGATCCATGACGAGCTACAACTGCATATTCCATGTGCTCCGCTGAGGGTGCCAAGTGCCGCCTCGAAGCTCATTCGTGTTGTCCAGGGGTACCCCAAAATCATTGATTTCCAATTTTGAATGATTTTGGGGTCCCGATGTGAGAACGAATATATACATATTTTTGCAAAATGGCTCAGGCCGTTGATCCTTTCCATCGCAAATCTCTACATGTCAAGATCTTCAAACTTAGGAAATGGAAAAAAGGTAAACTGTCCACTGTCCTTTCAACCACCTACATGACCTGCATTCCTTGTTCTGAAGGTCGGGACTGCTTGATGGTCATCAAATCCTCGAGTTGAGTCGTATGTCAAAAACAGACACATTCTTTCCTCTGTTTGGGCCTGGGGCCTTTGATAACCAAGTTCCATGGCAAATCATCTCATTTTTTGAAAAACAAAACAATAGTGTAGTGCTTCCAGGCAGAACGCATTTCAGGGCAGCTTCACTGAATCATGAATCATCCACTTTGCACAAGAGGGGAACTTGCAAGGATAAACATCCAATCGCCAGAATTTCAGTCTTGCGGCAATGGTAAATGTGAACATCTGGTAGACCATGGATTTGGTCCTTTGTCTTCCTTACAAGCGATGTGTAATGATGATGGCAAAGACATATTATGAGCTTTGCACTTTTAAAAGCAAGATCATCTGAATCGATCATTATTTTGGCTCTTTCAACATGGCCATTCTCAGGCTATAATGTCAACCCGGATTTATAAACCATGGTCTATTATTTAGGGGGGTACTCCCCCATAAGCACAATATGATACTTAACCCCCCAACGGGGTTCATTACCCATGTATACCCAAGGTTTTTAGTCATTTTTGGATCTACACATCGAAGAAACTCGTTCCATCTCGTTCCCATCTCGTCCTCAGGAGGCTCTGCCACTGGTGCTGTGCTGTAAGCACGTGCTGCCACCTCAGCAGGGCTCCGGTATACCCCCAGTTATGGCCAGCTATTAATAGGAATAGTGATGGTTAAGCAATGGATTTAGCAATGGTTTTTAGGCGAAACCATAATTGTCAATGGATTGTTGTGGGGAAAATATGGGAAATTCAGCTTTTCCCATCACCACTTAGGAACGAAGGACACTGAAGCAGCGAACTCATGGAATGTACATGGTTGTATCAGTACCACTTGCAAGACAATCTAGAATCATCTAGAATCTAGAATCTATAGGACAAAAAAAAACTGCGCGCATTGTATGTTCAAAGAATTCCTTGACCATTCCAGTGTCAGGATGCAGGTCCAGGAATTTCCTGGGCTTCCACACAGCACTTGGCTCGGTGCTCATCTGCACCTTACCTGACCAACGGATCGGCCAATCGACCAACATGTGAAACTGCAGCAATTTGCACTGGACTGGCAATTGTTTTTTAGCTGGGGCCCCCTAGCTAAGTTGGTTTCTAACAAGTTACAAGTATTTATAACATATCTTAACAAATCTTACAGTAACTAATTAACCATAGTTACCATTGCTATAACTATCTTTAACTAACTACGGATGTTTGAGGTAGATATAGCATGATATAACTATCTCAAATGGACTGCACAGCCAGCTGGTCCCATCCTGGTCCCGGTCCCGCGTCCTCTGCTGTCTGCGCCCGCCAGTGCGGCAAAGGTTGGCCTATCGCGTCCGGCCAGCAGCAGGGCAACCTGGCTCCCCGATACCGTTGGAACTTCCACCGTCGTGGGGATCGACGCAACATCGTTAAACATACCGTAACTACTAGAAATGTACTAGAAAGTCGAATTGTCAAAAAAAAACATCTATAATATATTATAATATTATATATATATATATTATATTTATAATTATACAATAATTTGAAAACCTTCAATACTCCGCAAGTATCATTCAAAATCATCAACATCTTGTAGCCAAGTGGTGCCACGTCTTCCATGGCCATCCTATAACCATGAGGCCTGAAGGTTCCAATTGTAATAATCAGCGGGGAATCAAACATATGTTCTTTTTAAAGACCATGTTCACTGTTCACTGATTTCTTACTTACTGTAGTAATAACAATAATAATAATAAATAGATAATCAATATAACATGGATCTTCAATTGCTACATTGTTTTTGCTCGTTTTGAGATTTGCTCGTTTCCAACATTTCCATAACGATTGGAAATTGACATGATCGGTATTTTGAAAAAATGCTCCTTGAGCTCTATTGGCCAGACTTCTTTTCTGAATTGGCGCCCGATTGCGCTTATTTGCGCTCGATTGCGCATATTTGCGCACGAAATTGCGGCCATGTTTTTTTGCTCCGAATCGCTCTAAAATATTGGACATGCTCGCTATTTCTGATTTTGATAACAATCCCGGATATATGCTCGAATGCCCCAAAAATACAGGGTAGCAAAACATAATGTAACGATTGAAGACCCAAGAATGAATATAATATATATATATAGAGAGAGATAGATTATATAATATGTTAGACTTCCATAAAGACTGATATCACCAGATATAACCTGATATACAAGTGGAATCAGACCATTTTGTTGTATGATTCCCCTTATGGACATTTCGTCGGCCAATGAGGTCCCCAACGCCGCAAAGGCTTGCAGCAAAGGCTGCAACACATGGCCGCCTGCGCTGAACCAATATCCACGTCAGGGATCTCCTAGAAACACTGGTGTTTCTAGGAAGAATTATGATGGAAATATATACGGACATGTGACATGCTGCTGAAGACCTAATATATATATATATATATATCTCATATGTATTACATTATTGCATGGCTTATATATATATATATATCCAGATGGTATGTTTAGTTGGAAAAACATATGGAAACAATGCCACTTTCCACACTCGATGGCAGCAATGCCTCCTTGCCATGGCTAGCCGTTTCAAGGGCTTCCGTCGGGCCGTCGGGTCCTTCAGAGCCAATGTTGGCTGCAAAGTCAGGGCTGCCTGGGCTGAGTCACTAGAAATATCGATGGTTTCAGAGAAGATCATGAAGATCTACAGATATCTACAGATGAATTCTGTTGAAGCCAATGGTTTTTATATATGTTTTATATGTTTGTTTTTCAAATAATTAGCAAACATATGGGGGAGCTTCCAAGGTTTCATCCCAATGAGACGGAAGAACCCCCCAGTTACTCTGAACCTTGGGGAAAAGAAACGAACTGAACAAATGGGCTACAAACTTCTTACAAAGGTACATAATGTTTGTTCACATGTTTGGATACCAAAATTTGGAAAACAAGTTTGCATATTTTTGATTATGTGTGCATGTCTTTTTGGATTGGTCAAAACATGCCAAGCCCAACTATTTGAAAGAAACTAGCTAATTAATGTTAATTATATAGATTGGTTCTCTCAACCCAGCCGTGCTCTGCACAAACCAATGTCATCCGATGTCAATGGTCTAAGCGAGACTGGAAATACCTCTGAAGTTTTCCACTGCCGCAGCAAAAGCCTGCCGAAGCAGCCAATGCTCAACTCAACCACCAAGAGTGGCACGCTGTCATTCGAGGATAATGAGGCATGTGATGACATGTGATGACTAACCTATGACAAGTCTACTCGTTAAAAAACATACCCTCTGGTTGGTAAATAATAGGCAAATCATCATGTTTATCATTTATCATCTATAAAGGGCAATTCTCCGTAGCTATGAAATATGTTAAGTTACTATAAATTATTGAGCAATATTGAGCAGAGGGTACCTCATACATTGAGATGGTTCTCCAATAAATGAAATGACTCATGGGAACATAGACACAACCACAAGCCTGACAGTAGCGAGAGAGCTCCGGATGGACTGCCTCATCAGATTGAATGGACTGTGAAAATCTGTGAAACTGGTTTCAGATGTTTCAGACCATGCAATGATCACAAGCAGAAATCATCAACAAAAAAACAAAATAACAAGATACTGATACCGCAAAAATGTGTTCAACGTCAACGTCCAGGTCCTTTCTGTTTTCAATTACCATCAAAGTTGCCACACGCAGGCCTTTCTGTTTCAATTACCATCAAAGTTGCCACAACCAGGCCTTTCTGTTTCAATTACCATCAAAGTTGCCACAACCAGGCCTTGCTGTCGTCAGCAACATCTTTCCTGCCTTCGTTCAAGGACATCAATGTTATCATACATCATCATTCCACAACATGGAAGATGCATCTTCATAGTATTCAATGTGAATATATGTGAATTCAATTTTAAGTTTTCCCTGGGGACGGCATGATACCTAACTACTCAAACCAAATCTGTTCCATATTCCACCAAATTTGAAAAAAAATGTATTCTGGATCAAATGAAAGTCAGTTCATACAATGGAAACACGCAAGAATAAACATCTATCATCTGAAGCACTAAAACGATGAAGTCGGGCGTGTTGTTTTTCATATAATAATTTGACGTTTTCATAATGAAACACTGAGGGCATTGCCTGACTCTGCATCAGGTGGAACTGCTTTGGGTCTAACCTCGCTTGTAGATGTCTCTGATGGCTGGAATTGTTTAGCAATGCAATCACTGCACCAAATTTGATAAACCTTATAATTTTAATTATACATGCAAACTTCTGGACAAATAGACGCAATAAGGTTGCGGCTTTCCGTTCAGAATTCTTTGCACCTGTGCATTTATGTGCCGCCCTGCCCCCCCCCCAAACGCCTCACAACACCTAGAAACAACACATGCGATTTATTTAAAAAAAAAATGATTGCAATGGAACCAAGGGAAAATCACCTGAATAGTGCGAAAAAACTTTCTCGAGTACTCCCAAGCCCTCTAACTTAGACCAGAATCCCTCTTTTTACCCAACAACTGGGGAAACAGCATGCGAAACAATCTAAAACTGCATTAGATTTCATGTGCGCTACAAATGCCTGCTGCGGCTATGGTTGCACAATTTTAATACTCTCAAGCAAGGCAAACGCGCCGCTGCACACACACCAGGGTAAGCTCCAGCATTCGATGATCAGAAGCAAAGTATTTAATGCCATAAAGCTGACACTTAAGTAATCTTAAGTATTTCTCATGGGCTGGGAAAATGCGGAGTTCTGCTTCTTTCAACAAATCGACAGTGTTCAGATGTGTTCAGGACGCGGCTGGACACGGCGAACAGGTGAAAATTTGGATTTCTGCGAATCCTCAGCTCACGGAGGAACCACGCGCACTGGACCTCGGACGATGACTTCTTTCCGGTGCTCCACAAGTTGCCACGGCAGAGCTTGCCAACCCATCATGATCATTTTTGACCCAAAATGTGCCAAACAAAATCAAAGTTGAAAATAGATGAAAATACATATAGAATATTCTAGAATAATGTTAGAATGTTAATATATTATTTATGTAAACAGTACTCTAATGTGTCTTGGCTTCCAATTCAAGTGGGAAATAGGGGTATAGCGCTAGACCGCTGCCTCCATTCACAGGTAAGATGCCAATCTCCCATGGAGGCCACAGTTTCAGTCTGACCTTCCCCTGCAGTAAGCCGACCTTGGGAGCTGCACGTGGCTGTGCTTGCGGTCAAAAACATATCCATCCTCAGTCATAATGCGACAAACCATAAGCAGCAGCCATAAGCCCTTATACACAAGTTACATCAAATTACAAGTAGAACAAAGCATTGAATCAGCCACTATGATAAAAATTAAGATCATTTATAGAAGTATAATCAGTTGGGTTTGGGGATCTGTCCAAGGTACAGGAACTGGGCCATAATGTCGGGAGTCGTGCGACGCTGCCTTGTTGTCACCTTCCAGCCAAACATGGCCACGAGGTATCAGCACCCTGAGTTCACAGTTCATAAGCGTCATAAGAACCGGCGGTGCTCGATCCGAACGGCACCAGCTTTTTGAATGTAATGTTTTAGATGTTTTGGTGGGGTGGTCAATGGATGAAAAATGATGTGCAATGCAAACATGTTTTGGTGGGGTTTTCTGACAGGCCCAAATCATCATGAAATTCGAGACAGGCAGCAGTCCAGGACAGGATTCAACAAAGAGGACAGGCCAAGATTAGCCAAGCAGCTCTTTTTCGTCTCCTGCGGCAAGAACTTTCACCTGACCATGACTGCACACTCCAAACCATTTCTGAAGCGCTCCCTGTTCTGCCTGGCTACAAATAAGATACAAATAAGTCCGAGGCCCTATCACCAGGAAGGCCCAAAATGCGTTTGCCTGGGTGGTGACGAAACTCGAGGTTGCAAGAAGAAATGTTGATTCGCAAGCTTCGCAAGATTGACCAGTTTCTTGAAGTGGGAGATACCCCAAACCATGGGTCATAATGACTTGGATAAATTGGGATACCCCCATTTTAAGGAAACCTCCCTATGAGTAGAAGACCAAGCCTGTTAGACGAATGGGGGGCCAATTACTCACAGTTTGATTTCATTAGAATCCCACGACAGCTAGTAGCTTTTGGATAGTTTCGATCCCTCCTCTGTGCCTGCGTTGCAGGACTCAACACAACCTTTGCTAACCCACAGGACTCAGCAAAGCATCATCACCTTGATTACCCTCTGGTAAACTAACATAGCTACTGAAAATGGCCATTTATAGTGGATTTTCCCATTGAAAATGGTGATTTTCCATAGTTATGTTAGTTTACCAGAGGGTAGCTTGAACCCCTTCTTCAGAAGGGATGGAACATGACCATTGATGAGCCATCCAACTATCATCAGCTGCGGGCATATTCGAGCATCTGGATCCTTGGGCGAGGTTGCCACAACCACCTGGCCAGACCCAAGGCACTGAGATATATGTAGGAAGAGCAAGTTTCCATTTCCTGTGAAATGTTTTATCTAATTGAAATGCTTTATCTAATTGATATTTCCTGTGAAATGCTTTATCTAATTGATATTTCCATATATGTACCATTGTTTGCGGCATTTCCGATCATTTCCGTGTTCATCATGTTCTTCCCTCGGCTCTTACCATTTCATACCAAGCATGAGTCTCAAGATGGCTATAGATGGCTTGAGACTCAAACCATGGGTTCCCATCCTAGGTTTCCAATGGTTTCTGATCCAATAATAAAACAATATTAAATGTAATTACACTAATAATAGACGACAATAATAAATTATCTATATAGATAGATAATAAAGGCATATAAAGGCGAGTTGACAGCAAAACACTGCCGCATGTTGCTGCTGCTGCCTCTCCACGGGACCAGCCCTTCAACCGCTGCGTCATGCGCTCAAAGAGCAAGACGTCTCCCGAAGCGTTAAAGACAGGAACCTACATTGGTTACATTTGTCGGACCATGCTAGCAGCTTCAAGCAGCTGCTAGCAAGAGAGTTTCACAACCATGGTCCGGTCACGTCCTCCAGTAAATGCCCAAAAGGTGAGAGTCCGAAATCATGTCCAAAATGTATCAGAAATATCAAAATGCGCTTGAAGAAACTCGGTCTTCTTGCAAAAGAATCTGTGATTGATCATCGAATTGATGTAGCTGTAGCTTCGCTGAAACTCTGAAACCAGTGGCCAATGGACCAATCCCGACAGTCACCAAGGAGCCATGGATGCACCCACTGTTGTGGAAAAGTCAATGCCATATTCCTTGCAGGAAGGGGCGCACAGTTCTTGTCGCACTTGACAGTTATCACAATAGAACTCACTTCTCCGTGAGATTCCTCCAGTAATTCTACTGGTTGGTTGAGCGAATATTGGATTACAATCATAAAAAATCATTTTGATTGAACCTGTTGATATAGTCATAAATAACCACCTGGAATCTTGGGCATTGTTCAACTGGGTGTTGCTGAAAGCTGGGACCCCAAGGCCCATAGTTTTCCTGCAAACTGCGAAGATATCTTAATGGCCTGCACGCAGTGAAGCATTCCAACCAGCTGCAGCCAGCGAATGCCAAAAATGCCTGCTTCAACAAAATATGGCCTCAGCGATGGAGCGAAGCACGAGAGACTCCGAGAGACTCAACAGTACAGCGTAGTACAGCAGTGCAGCACCAGCCGCTGACGCCACATTTAGTCATTGAAACTGAGCTTTGCGGGTTGATGAGCAATTTCCAGTCTCTGCTGGAATGCCACATCCGTCGAGTCATGTCGAGTCTGGGTGGCTTGCCCTGGTTTAAACTCCAAGACCACATGGAACACCAAACTCGGGTGCTTTTCACCCTCCAGGCTATGGGTGACACACCAACGAGATCGAAACTGTATTTTCATTTGACGCATATCATATGACTTGCATACTGCTTCTTTTACACTTTGTAACAAGCCAAGATAGCCAACTATAGAAAGAAACAACACGATTCCACCATCAGGTAGTGCACCCTCAGTATTTCTAGAGCAAAGTGGCAGCACCATCTACCGTGCTGCCACGCCGCAGGGTGATTCGCGGTCATGAGTAGTGTACAAAATGCGACGCAGTGAAACTGCTTGAAGTGAGACTGTATTGTAGCTGTTGCAGATCAGAAGCAGCAATACAAAGCAAAGGCATTTCTGCATTTCATGTTTGCCTTACACCTCCTTTATGCTACATCTCGACTTACCTGGCTTCCCGGTGCGGCAATCCATTTCCGCAAACAGCTAGGTACAGGATTAATTTCAGACCACCCTTGTGGCAGCAAGAGGCATCTGCTTAGACCCGGTGCTGTCAAGCCTGGATTAAAAAACGCTGACTCAATAATTAGGGGGCTTAACCACAATACAATCTGCTACCAAAATAAACCAAAATGGTACAGCACCGCCAGATAAAACGGATGTTTACTAGTCCGGGTTTGACATTGTTCAAAGATCCTTGTCCTTGACTGACAAAAGCATCTGTGCTCGGATTTGCTATGTCCTGGCGCGTGCAAACGCTTTGCCTAAGAGATTAACATCCTCATCACTCTCTGGCAATCGGCCGTGGGAAATTGCCAGCCTGTAGATAACTCTGAATATTCTTGATTCTTAGTCTTGAACTGGATGGTCGATTGCCACTCTCTTTCCACTCTATTTTTGATATTTTTTGATATCCCTTTTGGAGAACGCAGAAGGGACATGGCACCAGCTTGAAATCGAGACTTGGGAAGGCCAGCTTATGCCTACCCAGGCCTAGGCACTTTCAGACACAAGATTGCAGCTTGCAATAAGAAAAAAGGCTGCTCTGTTGTGGCAACTGGGTGTCATAGGGTCTCCAATGTTTGATGCAAACATCTGCAAACAGTTTGGAGTTCCAGTAAAATGTGTTAAATCTTAACTTTTCCATGACTTTTCCATGACTTTTCAATCTCTTTGGGCCTTGCCAGTCAGTTTTCCATGATTTTTCATGACATCGCGATCTCGTGTCATCTTCGGCTGCCGCGCCGCTTGGGGCGCCACAGCTTCCCAGCTTCCAGCCGCGCTAAGGCGCGCGTCACGGCCGAGGAAAAAAAGTGCTGAAACGCGGACTCGCTCAGCTCTAGAGCTCCACTCGCCTCCTGGCCATTTCTTTGAGCCATCTGAGCTACCCGGCCTGGTAAACGTTTACAAAAAAACTATGGAAAATCACCATTTTTAATGGGAAAATCCATGAAAATCCACTATTTCTATGGCCATGTTCAATAGCAAACTGTTAAATTACCAGAGGCTACATGTTTTAGGTCGATGTCATGATTTTTATGGATTTTGTCATGTTGATTTCATGAGTTTTCACGGTGATGACTCAGTGATTTGAGGGGAGATATGGGGAGTCAACCGGCAAAGTTATGGGGCAAGGATTGGACAATGGTGATTTATACTGGGGAATTTAATGGTGCATGAAACATGGCGCAATAAATTATTCAATAAATCCTGGCACTTCTGCATCAAGTTTTGGGTTTCTGCCCAAAAAAATCAAGGAAGTCATGTGGATGGATATTTAATGGTTATAAAATGTTATGAAGCCACCAATGAAATGATGTGGATATAACAGGGATATTGAAACAATTGTGATTTACAGCAAATGGTGATGTAAGCAGCAAAGTTAAGGGGGCATAAAGCCAACCATGTGAGGAGGATACAATCGGATATGTTATAAGGTGTTACTGTATGATGTTTTGTAATTAATTGAGGACTTATTGGCCGCCACAACCACTGATCAGGGTGTGTGACCCATGTTCCTCTCAAGATGTCATCAAAAAATGTGATTACAAGTTACAAAGTGATTGAGTTTTTTGGGCTATAAAACCCACCATTTGAATCCATTTGATGACATAATGGGATATCATGGGGTAACTCATCTTGGTGACCCCCCAAATGATGTATTACAAACGATCATAAACGGAATAGGTTCTGCTGGCATCTGATAAAATGGTGCTGATTCCAATCCATTACACTGTATAAACTGCGGTTGATGCTCATAGTTTCTGGGGCATTCAGTGGTCGTTTGAAATGATATACGCCAACCTTGTTTAGAACTGGTAGCCCATCAATGCGAGGAAAAGATGATTTCAACCGCATCGCGGCTTGTGGACCCTCTCCATGCTCCATGATGGTGTCAATTGTCAAAAGGAGCAGCGCAAAAATGCCCGTCAAAATTCATGCGTGGAGATCTCTCTAATTCCACACCGTTCTCACCATTCCCTCCCAACCATTTCCCGAACCCTCCCACCTTCAGAGCTTGAACGAGCTCGGAATCCCCCAGCGGCTTTACACCGAGCTCCGCTGCCAAGCGGTTGTCCACGCGCCGCGCTTTGGGCTTGTCCTCATGCCAGGGCAGGGATGCCGTGATCTGCATGGGAGCTGCGGAACTACACAACCGGAACATCCCTAAAGCAAGAAAGCTTGGGACATGAACTTGGGATGTAGTAGGATGATACGATCATATATATATATATATAAGTGGATGTTCATGCATGTTCATGGCTATTGTAGGATAAAATGGAGGTCACACAGAGTTTCAAATTCTCACCAAAGCAGCAGGTTGGTTAGAGTTTTGGTGCATCAATGTATGTGTTTTTTTTTCAACCAAAGGGGATATGAAGTTCCTGCACCATCAACAAGCATGATGAAACATGATGAAACATGATGAAACATGGGGATATTGACCAACCATAAGATCCATAAGAAGTTGATCCAGCCAAATCCACCCAGTGATCCCAAATCTATGCTTCCCGAAAAGACAGAATGTTCGCACGAGGCTCCAAAAAACCCATGGAGTTGTGATCGGCTTTGACGAAATAGACCTGTGCTTTGTAGGTGAGCCAGTCCTGTCGGGGCAATTCACATGCACCGTGACAACGTAAATCAGGGTGCCACCCAGCAACAAAAAAAGACTCGGTGTTACTCATGAAGACTTACCGAAGTGTCAAAACTATGAAGGTCACCATGTGAGACCCGGCACTGAGATTGGAAAGACCATGAAGGACCCTCATTCTCCTCATTCCCCAGGAAAGCTCTTGCGAGATCCGGAGAAAGAACATCTGAAAATGCACCACCACAAGGGAGCTGGGCAGCCTGAGATGCCACACAGAATCAATCAGCTACATGTGTCCCACCTATATACAGTCATTCCAAATGAAAACATGTGATAAACATTGATAAACCATCCAAAATCACCATTTTCATGGGTTGTTTAAAGATGTTTAAAGTAAAGGTTTACCAGAGTTTACCACATGAATATGAACGTTGCACAAAACTTGGACCGCCCATTGGAACAAATCAAGCTGCTGAGTGCCGGCAACTCGAGCAAAGGACAAAGTCGCACTGTGCACCTGTAGCCGAGGATTGCCAGTGCTGCGAAACACATCTGACCACCAAAACAAATCAAAACATGGACATCATGTGTTGCAAAGTATGAGAGAATCAGATTGTACATGTTGGTCATGTTGGTGTATCATTGTATAACATTGTGTAACATCGTATAACGATGCCTGGACGCAAACGTCACTAAAGTCAATCAACATGTCCTTGCATCACCGCAATCACCCTGCTGTTGGGCATTCACATGAAGCATGGCAATGATGGCCAAGGCACAAGTATGCGTCACTTCATGCGTGCCCACGACATTACGACAAACAGTGCAGGTTTTGGGCTGCACAAAGCTAAACCACTTTGCTTCCTCCGGCTTAAGCAAATGGCCTGAGCAAGCAAAACAATGATAAATCAGGCAGCTGCAGGGTAGCTGCAGGGTCAAATTATGTGTGACATTTTTTGATAGATGAGGTATTTTGTTTTATGTTTTATAAGGCATATGTCGCATAGATGTTACAATTCGAGGATTCAAACGAGAAGGAAATCATCCTTCGTTTTCGGTGTCACGTACTCTCGGTGCCCGGCAACGGTGCTGGTTTCTGGGTTGAGGTGGGCAAATAACGTTCTCTTGCACTTACACACATCCGTCATAGGGGTGGGTGGGCTAATAACGTTCTCTTGCACTTACACACAGGTCATTGGGGTGGGGTGGGGTGGGCTAATACCGTTCTCCTGCACTGACACATATATGTCTTTGCGGTGAGGTCGGGGGCAGGCTAATAACGTTCTCTTACAAATGCACATACACGTCAATGGGGTGGGGTGGGCTAATAACATTCTCTTGCAAATGGAAAAACACGTCAATTGGGTGGGGTGGGCTAATAACATTCTCTTGCCCTTGCGCATACACATCATGCAACGCTAGTGTATGTTCTCTTGCACTTGCACATACACGTCATGCAACGCTAGTGGATGTTCTCTTGCACTTGCACATACACGTCATGCCGCGCCAGTGGATGTTCTCTTGCACTTGCACATTCGCGTCATGAAAAGCCAGTTAATGTTCTCTTGCACTTGCACACACAGGTCATGCAACGCTAGTGGATGTTCTCTTGCACTTGCACATACACGTCATGCAACGCTAGTGGATGTTCTCTTGCACTTGCACATACACGTCATGCCGCGCCAGTGGATGTTCTCTTGCACTTGCACATTCGCGTCATGAAAAGCCAGTTAATGTTCTCTTGCACTTGCACACACAGGTCATGCAACGCTAGTGGATGTTCTCTTGCACTTGCACATACACGTCATGCTCCGTTTGCGGATCACTTGCACCTACATGTCATGCAACGTTAGCGGATGTTCTCTTGCACTTGCAGTGCACATGCACGTCATGCAACGCTAGTGGATGTTCTCTTGCACTTGCACATTCACGACACGCAACGCTAGCGGGTGTTCTCTTGCACTTGCACATGCAAGTCATGCAATCCTTAGTGGATGTTATCTTGCACTTGCACATGCACGTCATGCTACGCCTGCTACGCTAATGGAAGTTGTTTTTTGCACTTTCACATACCCGTGATGCTACGCTTGTGGATTGCACTTGCACAAACACGTCATGCTTGTGGTTGAAGATTTTGTTTTCGTCATTTTGGGCTTCCTGGCTTTGCAAAATGACATACCGCGTGTAACATGCCATTTTGATTCATTTTGACAAATTTCACCTTGGTACTGAGGAGGCGTGTTACCTTGTTTTTGGATGAAGGCCAGCATCCTAGGCAGGCCCGGTCAATCATTATGGTGGTTAGATGTGGTGAGCGTCGGGTATCTCCAACTTCATGTGGGTTGTTTTAAACATTACAGTATTCACAAGCATTAAGAATAAGTGATTGAGTCTATCGAATATGCGTATGGAATGTTCAATTTGGATAGTATGGATAATACATATAAATATGGTCCATCAAATCAATTCCACCAATTTAGATGCCATAACTTGCTATAAATCTTGCTACAAATCAGTTATAGCTGGTGGGCGTCACATCTCCAAGCGGCCCTTGGTGCACTGCGGCTGCACTCGCACGCTTCGCGGCCTTTGCAGCACTGCCCGTGCACCATCGTCTCTGATGGCCAAGCCGGCTCGAAGGATGTGAGCACAGCCGTGTTCCTCCTATGGCGATATGGAGATTACATCCATAGGGGAAAACATAGGGGAAAACAATGGGTCCAATCATGGTTATTTTTTATGGAAAAATAATGATGCACATGTATAAATGATGATAACTGGATGTAACACGTGATTTATATAAATATTATCATATAATATCATTAAATATCAACAATAGGGATTATAATGCGTTATAATGTATGTAATGGGATGGGGAAATCATACATGTGATTACCCAAAAAATAAGGGGTTTGCTGCCAGGGGCAATTTCTTGAAACGGGTCAATGACATGAGTGGTCTATGTATCTAGAACTGGTTGGTGGCTGTAACTCGAAAAATGTAAATCAATCCGGGATCATCACTCCAATTATGGTTTGAAAACGAAACCATCACACATGATAACAACCCCCGATTGACAAACTCCTGAGTCAGTTGATCTGGCTGAGTGGCTGAGCGGCTGAGTGGCTGCCGCGAAAAATCCACCGATACAGACTCAATCCCCAAATCCCATGGGTTTGTAGTCTCAATTCCGTAAAGACGGGAGCCCCGAAACAAATTCATACATTCAATCGATATCAATGGATGGCTTAGTCAAACAAAGCTTTTTTTTTGAACATCAGAACATCAATCATCAAGACATCAACACAGATCAAGGATCGCGGTATATCGCTGCAACTGGATCCACTGGATTCCACTGGATTCCACGTCCTGAAGCAAGGGGTAGAACTGCCTCAGCGGCACAGCGGACAAGTGCACCACTTCCCAAGAGAAGGATGGAAGTGCTCCGGCAGAGGGCAACCCATCAGCTGCTGAGGGCTTGAAAAACTTCACCTGGCGTGCATTGGGGCACCATGTCTGAAACGCAGCTGTTCCGAAAATCAAACATTTCAGGATAAACTATGGATAAACTCCAGTTCCAATCCTTATACGGGTATGGATCAATACCTATTATATAATACCATTTTTAGGGGGATGAACATCCATTTACCAGCTATTTTGATGTTCACCAGGGGTACAAGGTTTTGACACACTGCCATACTTGGTTGATTAAACCAACATCTGCTTCCCTGCAAGAAGCATTCCTGAAACACAACGAGACAATTCGCCAAAGGCACCTCCGCCACCCGGCTGCCGTTCTCATCGCCAATGGAGACAATTCGGACAGCCTTGAGGCTACCCCAAAAGGCCACGGAGCGCAACATGGAAAGAGCAACTGCAGTTACCGTACTCTTCGCGCAACCGAATTGGAAAGAAAGATGTGGAAAGTGAATTGATTAAATTGCGAAAAAAAGTGACGTGTGTGACGTGTATAGACATCCCCTTTGCTTGTGCGGGCAGAATTTGGTACAAGTATGTTGCAGAAATGCTGCAAGGGACTAATTGCACCATAAATCAATAAATCACTGAATTATCTGAATTGCGCAACTGAGGCACGCGTGGCCGATCAATAAAACGAGTGCGATGCATGACCAAATCATTGGCTTGAAGTCGGAACCTCCACTCCTCTGTGAGATCGTCGATTCGACTGACTGCCTGCGGTGTAGAGTCCTGCAAGCATATGAGTCAAGCTTCATGGCGAACCTATAACTGATTCCCCATCATTTCATGGTGAAAAAAACACGAACAAGACTCCGACCATAGTTTTGGATTGTTTTTGGCACGCACTGTTTGCAAGCAGTTCAATCATCATTGAATCAGCCCTTGAATCGTTGATCTCACGGGAAGTCCTCCCCGGCACCACTTGTGAGTGCGTCCCCAAAGCCGCCCAACCAACGGTTGAGCAGGGGCCGCATCGTGCGAACAAGGGCGGCATCCTGGGACAACGGCGCCGGAGAATGGGGCGCGAACAAGGGCGTCCGACAAATGGCATCTCAAGTAGCATGAAGCCCTCCATTCTACGCCCATCGTGACTCCAATGTTCACCTTATTTTGGGATTTTTTGAACCCTGAATGCCCATAATGCCCATACCATCACCATCCCATACCACCAGCTACCAGCATCCTTCAACCATTCCGGCTGCATGAGGACCTCTTCTGGCCTCAATCAGCACCACATGTTGCACCCGTTTTTTGCCCCAATTGATCCAATCACGAGCCACCTACACAAGCACACAAAAGTCACACACACACATAAATAAATAAATGCTGCATATTATGTATAATTAATATTATTGTATAATATTGTAATGTAAGCTTTAGATTAAATATATATATATATATATGTATCTTGAACAAACCTGGTATATCATAGCCTTCAGGCCTCTAAGGACCTGATCATACCTGATCAGCCGGGTCACAGCTGCTTGCCGTGGAGTAAGAACTGCGCTAATTCATTGGAGAAGTGATTGCAATTCCGCCGCAGCACGTCGTACATACGAGGATTGTAGTCTACATAAACATCTTCCTTCAGGAATTCCACCAGATCTTCATGCGACCTGCGCGGCAGGAAAAATATTGGAACACCTGGACACAAGGACAACAACTGTTGTACCAGCTGTTGATCATTGTTGTTCCAACGGATTGTGCTCCATCAAAATCGCTCATATCTGTAACGTTGCATCTCAAGGCCGACACACCTCTGTATGAAATGCTGGGCCCAAGCCAACCCAAAACACAGAACGATATCCAATGGGGATCCTCTGTCCTTGCTAGTCTAAACAATATCAGTGACCAAATACCTCTCATGTCATATCCCTAGAAAGCCCAACCCTAAAAGTGCTGAACTTATGTCATCAACACCATAGTATACAATAGTAATATATAGCAACCCAAACCAAAAAAAAAAAAAAGACTGAGAACTGCATTTTGTTTCCAGAATGTTTCAGCTTTTCAACTTGTCCATCTCATTCTGTGTTGTTCTACCTCTTTTGGAGAAGAATAACAGCTCATTATCCCATGAAAAGCACCATGTTTGTTGGCTAAACCCCCATTCAATTCCCATGAACCTCCACAAAAAATGGATCAAACGTTGATTCACGGCCCCTCCAAAGCTGCGACAGGGCCTCAGGGTGGAGCCAAGTCGGATGACGGCGGCGGGTTCGCCAAAGGGGACATCCTTGTAGTTGGACTCCAAGATGACGCCTCCATACCTGCAACAATTGGGGCTTTCCATGAAGGTACCCCCCATAGCTGGATGGTTTATGATGATTTATGATGATTTATGATTTATGATGTTTATTTTTTGGCACATCCGATTAAGATGGATGAGTTAGGGGTACCCCTATCTTTGTTGGGGTGAAACATGGGATAAACTTGGCGAAACCAATGATTGATGCTTCTGAGATTCTGGGTTGTTCTGACACCCCAGTTTTGGGAAACTAATTACACAATTTGACATGCCAACTTTGGAACTGAATGGGGCCTTCAAACGATGCTCAGTCTGACATGGACTAACACCAATCTCATGAACGGTGGAGGCCCATGGTGGGTAACCCTTTGAAGGGCATCACTCGCCGTCCAGAAAAAGCTCAGGACAGGACCAGAACTCTTTGCCGAAAACTCGAAGGCCCGAATGCCAAACGCCATCCAACTTATGGCCACCTTGGACAAAATGCAATGGATATGTGATATATGATATATGTTGATCACGTCCGCCATGACACGTGCACATGAAACACATAGTATTTCCATGGGAAGCATGAACGTCGTAGCAATGTCATGCAGTTTCAACTGCTTGCGCCAACAAAACGCTCTCAACCCAGGACATCCCAGGACCAGCTTTGGATATGACACAAGCTGAAAAAGGACGAGTTCTCAAGATTCATGATACCCCAACTGTATGCCTATCTATATATAGCATCATATAGCTACAACATCGAACCTCAGCGTAGCTCAAGCAACATCCAAGGCACCCAACAAGGAGGGTGGCACCCACTGTGCAACTCCTTGGGACAAGTCGTACAGTGCCAGTTCCACCACAGCAGCCTTCAAACCCAGAGCGTGAGCCACGAACTCGTAGTAGCTTAAGGCCTTAGCTACTCTTGGTGACTTCTAAGGACGTTTTCTTTGGGAAAAAGACGCAGAAAACCAATGGAAAGTATGGTTTTAAGCTGATTGAAACCAGAAAGAATGGTGCTTTTGGCCACAATTTTGATAATCGATGGTGTGGTCTAAGGGGAAAAATGCAGGACATGCATGGAACTGCATAGATTTTTCACCTACCAAATACACCGGAGAGGTTCCTCTACATCTTCTATCAATGTCCCTTCAACATATTTGATGAGGTACGAGTCAAAAAAAAGGGAAACCCATCAAAATCCAGGGGCAGAATGTGGTTGAAACCCAACACTGTCAAGGTTATCTTAACGGCCATAAGCCGTGGAAACCACCTTGGCGGCTGCATCCAACGAGAACTGGCTCAAGTTGTTTTTTCTACTTTCTGGCAATGAGGCCCATGGGAACGCCTCATTTTCAGCCAACATCCTGGCGCCATTGTCCTAGACATGTGGGTAAAAAATGGCCGCATCGTCCCATGTTTCATTACCGTATAGGGATCAACAACATAAAACGTATCAATACATATCAAAAATTATTTAAACATTGTCTGCAAAGCACATGATATAAAACATGTTTTGTTTTTAAAGAAAACATCAAAACTATATGACATACTATATGCCATGCCAAGCTTCCCATGGCGATCCATCTTCTTCCCGGTCTTCCAAAATTTCATCGGGAGGTTGGCCTAGACCAACCACTTCAAAGGCTTCTGGCCATTTTTCTTGACGAATGAGGCCATCACCTGGTAGCATTTGGGCGAACTAGTAACCTGGTCATTGAAATGGAAATCATCGAACTAATTTTTGCTAATTGGTCGATGTTCCATTGTCTGTATCGGATCTCGTGGAAGGCATTAGCTAGAAAGGGAAATTGATAGACATTCTTTCAGTTGGATAGTAGTGTCACATATTGATACACATTAGACGTCCTATTACAATGTGTCATCCACAATCCATCCGCATGCAACAGGGCCACTAGGCGGAGAGGCGGATAAGAATGGCGGGCTGCGGGGGAAGCACAATGAATGAAGCAGGGATGCCTTCAAACTAAGGAATATCTGAATATCTAGTATTTTTTTTTAGCTGGAATGATGGACATACATGAACTCATCAATTTGCAAATTGCCCTCAGTGGCGGGCCCCGCCAGAAGTTTCCCGCTATTGATGATAGTTAAATCCCCATGTTTCGGGCCGACCTTGGCAATCAGCGTACTCAAAGGCAGCATGAATCCGACCAAGCAGTTCCAAGTCTTCCTGACAAAAAAAAACTTGGATCATGGGGAAAACTTGGGATATGGGGGGAACATGGGATAAGGGGATAAGAACTGATGAATATGATAGGGATTTGTTGGGATAATGATGATATATAGTAATATAGTAGGGACCTGGGACAATCATTGGCAATAATAAGAACCAAACACACACACACGTATATATATATATATACATGTATAAATACATATATTAAGATATACAATTATAATCAATTATATATATAAATATATAATTATGTACAGTGTGGGATGATCATGGAGGTCAATCAGCTTGTGTTCCAACCTACAGCAAGTTCCCCCCGGTAATTGACATTGGAAAGCATGGCCCGACTTCCCCATTAAGCACTATGATGGCTTCCTGACTTCAGCATCACAATCCCCCTGTAAACCGTGGGCCAAGTACGTCTAAATTCTGGGTTTGTCTGATTTTTGTCTGAACATATCCTAAGACCTTGTGGTTCATCATCGTTTTCCAACACAACATGGCAATATATTCGGGCATTGCCACATTTCTGGTCCAACCGACATCAGTTTCTGGTTGGTGATATCTCCCAACATTTAATTACATTTAATTACATTTAATTACATTTAATTACATTTATAATTGCATTTATATAATTAAATTATACCTCAATTGTATCCCCATTACAGTATCTCCCATGATGACTGTCTTGTTTTCCCCCAAGGCCAACAAACTCAGGTCCTCCAAAGCTTTTCGGAGGTGTCGGTTCAAGTGCTTGGCGGCAACGTGACTCGGAGCCGATGCCTCTGAGATGGAACATGTTGATCTATGAACATTTTCTACAGCAAATAGAGGATGTTAATATCATTCATATGTCACCATTCAATCATTCAATCTTGCAAACTCCCCATTTTGTTGGTCACTCTCCGGTGGTTTCACGGAGAGACCTTAACCCAACCCAACCTCCCCCTTTTACCTCCCCCTTTTTTTGTTGCCAAAAGACCCGGAGGAGCATGAAGTGAAGCCACTCGGCCATGCCCAGGTCTTCTCCTCCCAGACCTAAATCCATCTCACTGAAGCGACAGCGCTCCACCTGCGTCGCGAAACATGGGGAGGACCCCGTTAAAAACATTGGGAAACGTGGAGAAACATGGTGAATTCTCAGGAAAATGAGCCACAACTTAAACATGTCATAACATGTCTATGTCTTTTCAGCTTGCTATATGGTTACTTGATGTTACTTGTCAAGATGTGTCAAGAACAGAGATAGATTCGACATATGGGTATGGATCAATACCTATTAATACCATTTTTAGGGGGTTATTCACATCCATTTTAACCCAGCTATTTTGATGTGAACAGAAGGGGTACTATAGGTTTTGACACACTGCCATATTGACATCTTCCAAAATTGCGACTGGGGGGAAAGCTCCACATAGCTCCACTCCCCCAATGGGCACCTCCCGAAGAAGTTCGATGTCTTCTGCGTTCAGGGTTCCCTCATCTTCCTCCAGATTCTCCTGGAGCCATCATGAGCCCGGATCTACCCTCCCTGGATCCGTGAAAACAGCATGTCCCATGAAGGGGCCCATGGTAATGGTGTCTAATGGCCATTATAAATATTATAATATATGATATATATATATATATATGGAACTGACATTGCGATTTCAAAGTCTCACCATCTCTCACCTCTTAGCTCATATGATTGTGGAATATTGTCGACAAACATTGGCGAGTAGCCACAGCATCCTTCGCGTCCTTCATCCCCGAATCCCATTGGCGTCCCATGTGTCACTGACGTCACTGTTCCTTGATGTGCTCAAAGAGATCATCCCTAGAAAGATGTCCGGAGCCATCTGCATCCACGTTGTTCACAAAGTGATCACGCAGCAGCCACAGGATACTCGGCTGCCCTGAGGCTCCTCACGAAAAACACACATGCCAGGACAGCAGCTCAAGTTAGGATCCAAAGTGCGCAAGATTGCACAAGACATTGGCATTTCGAAATGCAGCCTCTATATCAAGTCCATCCACTCAAAATTTGAAACCAGAAGCCAGCTGTTGGTGATGAGATGTAGTGAGTATCCATGCTTCTGTTCGCCCAGCTTGATGTTGGATCTCCCCATACTTGAGCGATCTTGAAATACGCGGGTGCTGTGTCAATTAGCAACAGCCACTGAAGTCTTTTCATCATAATGTTCAAAAGGAAAATCATCTACTAATGATTCACCTTCCATGCTCTGATGCACTGAGTCACTGAGTCAGTAAATTCAAAAAATCATCACCATCATCACCATCATCATCATCAGCAGCATCAGCACCACCACCACCACCACCATCATGTTTGGCCATTCCAAGCATTTTTTGTGGGAAAAAAACGGGGAGCAACTGACAGGAGGGGATCCACCGCTGCTCCTGTGGGACTGGGGATGCTCTTGGAGGGGCTCGAGGGGCTCTTGGAGCTAGGACTTCGCCAGCCGCGACTGCGGGGCGATCTGGAAGAAGGGCTCAGTCCTGCAGTGGACATGGATGATATTTATGTCCTATATACGATTTACACAAAAAATGAATACTAAAAAAGTGATATTATATACTACTAAGCCTGGATCTTTATATGACTATATGTGATACTATGTGACTTTGATGAGTCATCATTCTTATGCTCATTAATTAATCATGATACCTTTATATATGTATGATTATGTATGTATGATTCTTTTGATACTACCAGCATGTTGTTTTATCCTGTCTCTATCTAAAAGTCCGTAGTCCGTAACAATTTCGATTGGTTGGCCAAGGCATCCAGTCACCTCAGCCGAAAAAATCCCATCTTTTCCATCCAGCAGGTGGGTCCTCCAGCCACCGATGGTGGGTGCAAAGTCCTAGACCTCGAATGGGCAAAGGAAGCAGGAGACCCTCCTTCCGGCACCGTCACAGTGTCGAAGCCACCTTCGGAGACATCCAGCATTGCGCTGAGCCTGAACGAGAAAAGGGGTATGGTATGGCTGGGAATGTGGCAAAAAATAGGGTACCAATGGACCTGACGAATTTGGCATTGAGCCATGTTGAGCCATTTCTCAATTGAGCCATTCAAAGGCGGGGGCAATAATTTTGACCCACGGCCACATCACAGGTGCAGTGTGGTGCAATCCTTCTGCTTACGCTGATGGTCACAGGCAAACTGCTCAAACAAATAGGAGCCACAAGAATTGTGCCAAAGATTGGCCAAGGAACCAGGTGTGTAAAGTTTTTCTTTTCTTCTGTGTCCGTTCCGCTTTTTCTAGGGACTTTTGAGACTTCTGCGACTTGGGAGAGGATCCCATGACTTCCACCTGCCATCTCACAGTGTTTTTAACACTGCGAGAACCGTTGTTGTCCAAGTCCATCTCCACAGCCGGACTTCTAGTGACATCCACGCGGGGCTTTTCCAGCAAGGATGAGCTGGAGACCTGCTGCGTGTCCGACATCTCGTCCGTGGTCGCCACTCGGACCACTTCCACTGTGCCCTTGGTGGGTGGCACCGAGGACTCGCGGCCCTTTGCCAACAAGGTCTGGGCGGAGCTTCGGCCCCGTCTGCTGGGGGAGCCGGGTGGGGAAACCACCTCAGTGGCCCCGCAGTTGCAACCGAAGGGCCACAGCGACATGGATCCTTCAGAGTCCTCCCACCAGTCGGCCAGGCACAGAAAGTACCCCCGCCTGGTGTCCTCAAACATCGCTCACAGGGCCCAGCTGAACCCAAGCCTGAGCCAAAATTGCCAAGGACTTCGCCTGGAACCGGCCGCGCTTGTACTACTACAAGGGAAGGAACATGGATAAACTATGATGAACAATGATAAACCACATGATAACCTATGATGAACTGGATCACTTGGCCAAATTCTCCACTGCAATTCGCAGCAAAATCCATGTGGCATGATGCAAAAAATATGCAAAACGTGAGTCACCACTGCAACCTCTTTTTCCTGAGATGGAGGCCGAAGGTCACGAGCCCACCATGCGCCAAGTCGCGCAAACATGGCTGGGGCCCAAGTCCTATCACACCTCTCAGCGCCCTTCACTACAAGTAGTCTGGGAATCGCTGGCTGTTTCTTTGAAAAGTACCATCTTCCATACAGGGGGTCTGCATTGCCATGGAAAAATAACAAGCATTAAAATGGGTTTTGCAAGGCTTCCGGTTGTTGTTGTATGGAGACTTGTGGACATGACATGCCTGTGCAATCAGCCCGAATGCTCTTGTGCAAGTGAGGACAACCATTCGAACCTTCGGGGATGCAAAGCTACACTGCACATGTGGTGAAGAAACATAGGAAAGTGTAGGTCGGTGATGCAAAAGAAAAGGGAAGTAATTATCTTGAGACAGTTTGAACCCTCTCTCTCTCTCTATCTGCTGTTGACTGATTTGGTACATCTCGGGGCTGTGATGGCAAACAGAATGACTCTGACACCAACAGCATGCGGAACATTCAAGCTCATCTTCATGCATCATGTTCAGTGATGTTACCTGATGTTACCGCGGCCCTCGGTTGAAAAAAGAGCACCCCCAAGCTTCGCCTGTTGGAGCTGTCTTTACGCGAACTTGCTGCCTGAGCTAGCAGATGAGCCTGGAAGCTTGAGTAAAGTCATGCAGAACCTATTGGGTTGCCATTAAACTTTGGAGCAAGTGGCATCAGCAATATATTTGTCCTACTGTATACATTCTATTTCTCTGCAATTGCAAATCTTGTCACATGAGACTCCAAGGCCCAGGCTTGTTCACAAGCTCGCTGATGCAGGGTGCGGACTGCAAAGCGACTCTCATTTCAGCTTGCTAGTCTAGTGGAGCAAGCATACCATAATGCACACGATGCACCTGATTGTAGATATTTGGTCCAATTATATACGCAGATTCTTAAGATGGCGGCTTGCCTTGCAAGCCTATTTTAAATTTGGAGTCTTTATGCAACCATGCGAATAACATCCAGCAGCTATGAGTCAGGATTTTGGTGCCAGCGCCTCAGGTCGTCGCAAACGACTTGACCTGTGGGACCAAAATTTGGATAAATTGATAGCTTCTTCTTGGCTTTGCCACAGCACATCAGCAGTTAAGCAGGAGTCTGGGCTAATATGAACAAAATGCGGGTTTGCCATGCGAGACCTCGAAATGGATCCGGAGATTTTCTAAAAAGGACCAAACGGTAGCCCGTGAGCATTGATCAGGAGATGCCGCCCAAGAGCCCCCTCTCCAATCAGCATCTAGGTTTGGCAATTGAGCACGCTGCCATCTTTTTTCTTGACACTTGCGCGCCCGGCTTTCCGTCTGCCAGTTGCATAGGCTGTACGTGTGTCCATGGGCAGTAGAGACTTTGGCGCCGGTTCTAGGGAACGATCCGCATCACTTCATATAAACAGTATGATATGACATGATATGACTACAATTTAAGTGTGTCACAGTGTGTTGATTGGCAGAACTTCCAGGGCCGTACTTCTCAACTCATCACCCCGGCGCTGATGGTGTAAACACCTCTTGTCCATCAAAACGGATGCTGAACGAATGCATCCTCATACCAGCCAAGTCCTTCCCGACTGGGAAGTTGAGATTCCAGTTCTAAATTCTCACATAGTATCTCTTAGTGCTATAGCTAGTAGGACCTAGCAACTCCTTGAGGAACCAGCAGATTTCCTCAGATTTCTACATGACTTGATATATGATATATATATATATTCATTGATATTCATGATATTCATGATGCTCTTTCTGATGAACCTCACTCCTCAGTGTCTGTCAGGATGGCACAGTTGGCAGCTGCCCCATCACTTCTTCACATCCATCTTATCCAGCTCCTCCTTCAAGCGTTTCTGGAAGGAGTCGTCCTGCAGCCACTGATTGGGGCTTGGAAATTCCCGGTTTCAGATTGAGAAGCCTTGAAGGGTGCCATTGACCTACACACAAATAAACACCACAAAATAATGTAATCATACAGTACATGCATATGATGCATTGACGCTCACACTCCTTTCTTGCCAGGGTTTCTCAAAGGACTTGCCGCACCATGCTGCCCGCATCTTCGCGGGAGCGCTTGTATACATGCCATAACCCCCCTCCAAAAAAAAAACTGTTGCACAACAAAACTACGAAAACTACATTCTGTATATTGTATATATAATAGCATATTGCTCTAACACGTTTTCTTTGGATCCCTGTGTTAGCTTAACTTTGGGTTTGTGTTACCTTAACTTTTTATTTGTGTCACCTTAACTTTTTACCCGTGTCACCTTAACTTTTACCTTTGTCAACGCTTGGTGAGGGATCCGTGAGGGTTCAAAAATAACCCCAAAATGAACCAATTTGTGAGACAAAGTCAAAGTTAAGGTGACACAAATTAAAAATTAAGGTGATACAGGCAAAAAGTTAAGGTGTTACACACAAATAAGAAGTTAAGTTAAGGTGACACAGAGGGAGAAATAGGCTCTCAAGAGACACCTCCACAACGTGGTAGAACATGGTAGAACTATGTACACCCTAAGGTAGATGATTACATATGCAATGTCATACAATACTTCGTTCGCATTTTCATAGCGCACCGCAACAGCCACGTTTCGCTTTTTGCAGCTTTTCTCTGGCAAGCCCAACATGAACATCAATGAATATGCATAGTTACACATAAAGACATACATTCGTGCACATACCTATATAATCCTGCACATGCAGGACGCAATAAATGATCAACTGATTGCATCAATGGAATATCGTCAGATATCGTCAGGAGTCAGGTGTCCTGATCTTCATCATCCCAACCAGCATCATCCCAGTCTTCTTCCCACTGTTTTGCTTCGGATGTACCAGGCGCTGGTGTCTCCTGGGAACTGGTAACGCTAGGATCGGACTGATATATGTAAACACACTACTCTTTATAGTACAACTGCAAAACTGCACATAACTTTAAATAACTAATAACTAGCATAACCAAGCATAACTGGTAGCATAACTGGCAGCATATACTTCATTCTTCTTCCATGTCCTATTCCAGTTTGACATGATCCGAAACAAAAAAAATGCCATCTGAGCGCCAGGCCCAGTCTGGCTCCTCAAACTCTTCAAATTCATCCTGTCCGACTCTCAGCGTGGACCGCGACGTTCCACAGGCTAAACGGCTAAACAATTGAAACAGAAACACAAACAGTTGAAAAAAAACTGTTGTCGAAAGTCCGGTGGTGAAACTAAAATGCGACCACTATGATGACAAGCATGGCACTCTTGGAGTGTCGAGGGTGCAAAAAGAGACAAGGATGAGGAAACCAACAGCAAGAGGAGCAAAGCAGGCAGCCCGAACCCGCACTCCCCCCGGCCAGGAGTGCGGAGACGAGACGGAGACGAGAGGCCACACAAACAACAAGCACTCAGAAACACACCATCTAAGCCCAATCCCTAAGGATCCATGTATGGAATATTTACCTACATTGGGATTATTTTAAATTACTTTAGGGGTCAATGTAGGTAAATATTCCATACATGGATCCTCTGGGAATTGTAAGCCCAATTGTACGCCAGTGTAAGCCCTCCCAAGCCCTAGCCCTCCTCTTCATCCAGCAAACCACCGGATTCTTTGGGCTTCTCCTCTGGGGTCTCTTTGGTCTGCGGCTTCCTAAGGATCCAGCGTCTGGGTCAACGGTAGTGCACCGCACCGAAGCATAAAGTTCAAAGGGAGCCACCACAACTCATTGACAACCTCTACCATCACACCCAAGTTGCTTAGTTCATCGGAAATCCCAGAATGGATAAGAAGAGTAGTAACATGTAGTAACCATTAGTAACCTAGTCATCCCCAATTGCAAGATCAGATAATCATCATCTAGTTAGTACTTAAATTTTCAGTACTCATCTAACAAATCCCCAGTCACCCAGGTAGATCCAGCTGCTGTAGCTACCCTGAGGCTTTTCGTCCCTGTTTCCAACATGTTTCACAACAATGGACAGAACATCATTGAACTGAATATATTTGAAACATCAACTTGGTCACTTCTCTTCAATACATTTAAGCAGTAGTTAAATGTAGTTGATTATCATCATACTCATACTGAGCTGGTTGGTGGTTTCAACCCCTCTGAAAAATATGAAAGTCAGTTGGGATGATTATTTCCAATATATAGAAAAATAGATGTTCCAAACCACCAACCAGTGAGGGTTAATATGGGTTAATATAGAAGTAGTTTACCAGTGGCCTCACATCGACACCTCCGGACCCTCCGGCAGAGATCCCGAGTCCTCTTGCCGCCAAGATTCTCCTCTTCAGGCATGGCTGGGAAAAAGTGCCGCTGATTTGAGGGACTGGAGCCGAAAGCTGCTGGCCCTGATTCTGCTTCCTTCTATAACCCAATGGCCATCAATGGCCTACTGGAATCCATTTTTGCTCATGATATATGACATGTCATGATGTTGGAATTTGAGATGCCCAATTTTTCAAAGCCGAAAAATCAAATTCCAAACGTTGGGAAGTCTTGGAAACCCCTCTGAGGCTCCGGCTGCTCTGATGATCGCACCTCCAGGCGCCACGATGAATTTCCGTTGAAACAGTTCAGTTGATATCGTGAGGAATGCACTAGCTCGGAAACAGTTCAGTTGCAGGGTTCAGCTGAAGAAACTTGGCATTATGAGACGAGAGATGCGTGGGCTCCTATCTCACGAAATAGTGGTGTCCAAATACTGTAATTACTTTGCCCAAACGTTCCCAAAACACAAGCCATTCCAAATCCGACTATGCGACATGGGTAGGATCTGCATAGCTTCCGTTTAGGGAACATTTGGGTAAAGTATTGCCATACATACTCCATGAACCCTCCTGCCCTCCCATTGATTGATCCATCTGCTGAAGCCCCCAGAAAACCATCTGCATCAAGGACGTCGGATACCACCACCACCACCACCACCAGCAGCAGCATCAGCATCAGCATCATCATCAGACTCATGTCATCTCAACAGTACAGCGTCAACAAAAAAGTGCTGTTCGCCTTGGAAGCTTGCCAACAGGGCCAATGTGGTGAACCTTCGCATGGCGCATCCTTTGTATTTTGGACCCTTTGGAGATGATGAATCTGAACCCGTCAAGATCAAAAAAGACAACACTGTACAAGAAACACATCCTACCAGCATACTCTGCCATGCAACAAGCTCACTCGAATGGCCTAAGGGTCCCACTATGATTTTAAGCTTCATGTCTTCAACTTCGATGAACAGTGTCAACTTATCGCGGCGTCAGTGTGTTTCAACATGTTTTCACGTGCATTTCTGGACAGCATCAAACCCAAATAAGGACGATTCCACGCCTCTCATTGAATTGATCGGGCTCGAGCCGGCAGAGTTGCACGCCTTGTCCGGGTTTCATGTCACCGGGAGAAATGTGCCTCCTGTCGACTACCAAAGTACCATACGGCCTCACAGTCGCTTTATATAGTACCAGTACCATGTGTTGGGGAAACTCGATTGTAGCCCTTGGCTCCCCATTTTTTTCCGGAATATTTAGAAATGTGGATGCCCGTAGCTCCTCAGCCTCACCACTGGATGGTCCACTGGAGCAAACTCAGGGCACGACAGTCAGTGTGACTTGTGAGCCTGGAAACCACATCTGTGACATTCGTCTGATGCTGTTGGGCCAAGGTATGGCTTCAATCGCCGGTGAATTTCGAGTCCAATTGGAAGCACCCATGGATTTCACCTTGGCTCACGCCTGGCTCATTTTTTCCCGCAGCAAGGGTGCTGTTTGCGATGGTAGATGGCGCCAGTGTCGAATTTGGCTTGCCCTTGCCTACCGATAGGAGCTACCCAAACGGCATTTCATGGTATTTTGATGCATTTTGTTTGCAAAAATTCTTCTGCAGGAAGATATCGCATGAGATAGCTACATAGCTAATTACTGGCTGGCCAATCGACTGCAGTTCTCTCAGTTCGGCTCTGGGCTGGGGTATGCTTCGCCCAAACTAAACTTGGCAGCATTCTCTCGGCCATCCTCAAGGCATCCGCTCTCCACGTAGGGCTTCCGATTGAAGATGCGTTTGATCATCGGAATGAAATGCTCCAGGGGAAGGGTGTCATACTCGGGATCAAAGGCCTTGGAGTCATACCTCTCGCAAAATTGAACACAAGCATCAAAGTGTGGACTGTCCTTGAACTGATCGCGCACTTTCTCAATGTCTTTCAATTCAAAGCCATTTTGGTAGATATAGGCTTGGAAGACTTCATGGTGCTTCAGAATCCAGTAGTTCTTTGGGCTGATGTAAGGCCGCAAAAGGCTTGCTGCAATCTCCCCATGGTTAATGGTAGACCAACATTCACCAAGGTCGTGCAACAAGGCACAGACCACCGTCTCCTCATCACAGCCATCACGAAGCGCCAAGGTAGCAGTTTGAAGCCCATGAATGTAGCAATCCACCGGGAATCCTTGCTGGTTTGTGGACCCCTGCTAATTACATTTTTATATAATTACATGTGTAAGTTTTAGCATGTTTTAGTGGATAATGGGGTAAAGTAGAGTAAATCCACCTAACTGCAAGACACTGAAAATATCTAAAACCTGGTTGTGCATGGCCTGTACTCCGTCCAGAATCCAATGCTGAGACCTTCTTGGGCTTTGAACATGCTGATCACCCGCTCCGCGTTGTTGTTAGGAGAGGCCACCTGGACTTGGCATGGCGGGGCACAAGCGGGCCCAATTGACCAAGGGGTTGGTTGAATGGACAGGGGGCTGGGTATTTTGAAAAATCCTCCTTCAACTGGTGGTTTTCAAAAATGGTGGTGGATCCCCAAAAATCTCAATATGTTATTATCATTTTGAGTCAGGAGCCATAAATCCGGCGCCACGAACCTTGTTGAAGACTGTCATCATGGCTTGGGCCCCTTCCTTGTCAAGATGTGCCAAATCGATGCACGTGGTGCCCACAATCTCATCTGCTTTCCTCTTTACGCTCATCGTGTCCACACAAGGACGACTTGGAACTAGGAAACTGAGCCCACAACTGCAGAGAACTGCAAGGTTCAGTCAACATGAACTTCTGAAAGTATTCTGTTGGGATGAAAGCTTGGGAAAACCAAATGGAGACAGCATCCCCCATCCTTTCGCTCGCATCAGTTTCACGTATCACATCGTAAACGTGTGGGTGTGGGTGTGTCTGTGTCTGTGTCTGTGTGTGGTGTGGTGTGGTGTGTGCGTGGGCTGGTGAAAGTGAAATTCTAGTGAAATTCTATGAGAAACCGTGCGTTTACCAGCCGGCAACTTTTCCCATCTGAAACCAATCCCAAGCCCATCCAGCTCATCCAGGAAGGCATGCTGTCATTTGAGACTAGGACCAGAGTCACCCTCGCGCTGCCAGGGCGAATCTATGCCTGGAAGAATGTTGCTTCATGGCTGCGATTCCAGTCACCCCCAAAATCAGACAACAGCCTGGCCCCCCTATAATATAACCTTTATGATGAATCAGCTAGGTACAGCTAAGCACCACATGGTACCACATTTATTTTAACCACTGCCCCCCTACTAACCTTCACTGCGCACATCCACAGAGCCGGCAGTGGTTCTGTTTTCAGCTGCGTGGCCTTGGGACCGAGAGGCAGACACCTTGGAAGTTCACTGGCCGTGCATCAAGGCCCTCATTACCATGCTGTTCACTTCAAAAAATATGAGCGGGAACCACAACTAAGGATCACAAACAAAGTCAGGACCAAAGTTATCGATTTAGATCGTTCGCTATATCGATTTACATGGTTTTGGAGCATGTCAAACAATGGCTGTTGATTTGGAGATCCATTTCCATTCCTCTCCGCAGAATCAACAATAGGTTCACTTCATGGTCAGCAGTCTGCTGTCCACTGTTTGTCTTCGAAGTGCGGAAAGAATTTCCTTCAGAACAGCTAGGTTTTTGCACTGTTGCGCACCTTCTACTTCTGCAGATTCTGTTCATCCCTTTGGATCTTCAGATCAAAGTGATATTAAATGGTAGGTGTCAAGGCGAGGCTGGACCACCCCAAGTAGATGTTTCAAGACATTGACGCAAAATTGAAGTGCGCCACTCCAGGGATGGCTTGGGTCTCTGGCTGCCCGGGGCCCCTTTTGGCAGTTTTTGGCTATCGCTACGTTATCGATTTGGTTATCGATAAATTCATCTGGTACGAGTAAAATCAGGAAACGCGTGCAAGATTCCAGAGCCTGAATCGTGACAGGTTTTTGGCCGCAAGTTCTGTGGTCAGAAGTGCGTACTCTAGGCCTTTTGGGAGCACCTCTAGTAGGCCTTTTGGGAGCCCTTGGATTCACATCCGACAAAAAACTAAAACAATGCATATGAGGTTACTATACAATCCCCCAATTGGCTGCGAAAAACAACAACACCTTTCAACTTCACCATCAAATCACGTTATCGCTTTAAGTAGTTCACTATATTGTTTTCCATGGTTTGGGTACATTTTCCACCATATGACGACCTCTCATGGAAAGGTTTCTGCATGAACCTTTTAGGTCTTTGCTCCTATCAAACATAGCTGGTTTAGCTGGATGTTCAAGCCCTCAAAATGCTGGCGAGTCCTGCCGTGCACCATTTTCTTCTGAAACCCTCCGATCGCTGTCGCTCGCCCCTGGAGCCCCCTGCAGATGAAAAGCATCTGCGTAAGGCTCGGCCCGGTAGGGCTGGATGTCCTGGTCAGCTCCCACGGATAGGCTTTCACCACAGTGAAATATATCGTGAAATAGTGGGTTTAATATGATTTAACCGCAATATTACCTTAGTCATTCAAAAAAAACAGTTAGTCAATGAAATGGGGGATTTAGCTAATCTAACAATTATCAATTATCTGTAATTATCATCATTTGACCCAACATAACCCAACCAACTATTGCATTATCCTGGTCATCATGGAATGGGCGTCTGAAAGGTGGGCTTGGTCATCTAAATGGGGAATATGAGTATGATGAAAACACATGATACACCTCTGGGTTTTGCTTTATTCATTTTGTTCCATATATCATCATCATCATCGTCGTCGTCGTCGTCATCATCATCATCATCCTAATATGATTATTATTACATTGACCCATTTTAATTATATAATTAAATGATCATTTATAATTTATGACTGTTAATGTTTTTGGACAGGTACAAATCATGGAATGAAACGACGGCCATTAGCCAAAGCGAGGGGCCCACCCGGGATCGTAACATGAAGGCCAACCTCTGGTTGCCCTTCCCAAGTTCAACATTTCTGGGACGCGTCATTCTTCCAATCAACTACAGTAAGGCAAAGCAAATAGATCAACAAATTACAAAATAGCACATTGACAGTTTCGCGAAAAGCTGTCATCACTGATTGCAGGCCGGCGCCTTTCCGTTCCCGTGAAGGTGTTGGTTCAGAGGAAGTCTTGACCTTTGGACGTGAGATATTGCCATTGCACAGCAGGGTAGTAAAACCGGTTTTAAAACCATTAACCATGTAAAACCACTGTGAACCACTATTAACCATTATAATTATAAACCAATGATAAACCATTGAATTCACCAAGAGTACATGTTCCATTAAACTTCCATAATCAAGCTGATAGATCCGATAGATACCGAGATCAGCGCTTCTGGCGGACCTTGGAGCAAAAACGGCGAAAAACGAATCTTCACGACTTGCTGTCTGCTGTTTTTTTCAGGATCTGACACCAATCATCTTGTGGAACCTTGGGTTTTTATCAGGGAAGTTATGCATCAATCAACTCAAAACATCCAAAATCATGGGGACGAAGAACTGGCGTGGAATGAATCAAGAACAGTCAGCCCTCCTATGGGCATCTCAACTAAATGCCAAAGGCGGCCACGCAATCAGGTCAGGTGGAACTCATCGGAAATTATGCTGGAGGAACTTTTAAGGTGGTAGGATTTTGAACGAACCAAAACGGGATACAAAATGATACACAAATGATACAAACCTATGATCCTATAGGTCACGCAGCACCTTGAAGCGTAGCAAAAATCAACCCTGGGAAGCCCTGCGAAGGACGTGAAAGGTCGGCGCAATGGAGAGCCCCGAAACGATGCATGACCTGAACCGTTCAGCGGCCGCTGGTTGTGGCGCCAGAGGTGCTGCCTTGTTGTGTTGGTTATGTTGGTTTGTAATGGAAAATCATGGAAAATCCAATTACTGTAAAATGGATGATTTGGGAACTTGTATAAAATTCTGTTATAGTTTCTCTATGTTTCTCTTTCTCTGAATTTGGCCCCAAAAAAAAACCTTGCAAAGATTTGAAGATAAAACATGCAACAAAAATCCGCAAGAATTTGAATTTGCTTCTGGCATGGGTTTCTAAAAGTACAGTTCAATTGAACTATATTGAAATGAGAAGCACAGGCTCATTCAATCTCGAAACCTCACAGCTGGTTGGATCTGGTTGGGCAAGGTTTCATGCTTTGCATCTTTGGCTCGGACGCATCGCTGAAGACTCTTGCTCAACGCTGCGCACTCCAGCCTAACATTTTCGGATTTGTTGATGAGACTCTCAACATCGGTGGCATCAAGGCATTCAGACTCAGAAGCCGACCATAGGATCCAAAACCACAATGGAGCCTCCAAGTTTACTGCAAAGTGCAGCTAAGCACCATCTTTAACGCAACAGACATTCTGACACTGCTCGGAGAAGTCCAAAGAAGTTCACAATGGTTCAGCTTATATGCTAACTTCCGATCGACAAACCTCTCGTGGATTTCAATGGCCCGTCGTCACTTTTAGGATGCACCCCTGGTGTGCACTCTATCTCTGGCCCTTGTCACACCATTTCTCCCCTCTCTCTCTCTCTCTCCCCCTTTTTGCACTACACTGACTACACACGCCCTTTTTATACTATTTTGATCCCCCTCGGAATTTAGCCTGGGGTAGTGCCCCCTCATTTGGTACAGAAACAGCTTCCAGAATGATGGGGCACAAGGTATTTTAACATGTTTACTGTTTTCAGTACAAAATAGTGGTTACCAACCCCAGGCACAGAAAGAGCTCACATGAACAACTTTTTGGATGATTTCTGTACATAATGACATGGCACCAATACAATTTCAACTCCAACAAATGGCCTGATTCTGTACACCCCCCGGGTACATTTTGAAGAAACCAAGGTCACCATGTCAACCACCTAAAGTACGATTTTGTACGGTCCATATCTCTGCAAAAAAACTGAAGGCTTTCGATTTTGTACTGGTGCTATCTGAGGGCCACAAAGAATGATGTCAAACCACAGGTTGCCGTGGAAAACTGTGCTCTTTTTTGCTGCCACGTGCGATCTGGTATTGAGATATATGTGGTGGTAGTGGACCCCTGTTGGAAAGTTGCCGTCCCCAGCTCAGAGTCCACAAAATGGTACACAAAAATCACTGGGAGTGCCATTTTGTACACCCACAGGGTGCTGAAAAAAAAAAACCTGTACGAAATGAGGCTCACCATGTCGATTTGGAATGATTTGGATGTGTACAAAATGGTTTGCCCAACCCCCAGATGCAATCTCTGTACAAAATGGGGATTGTCGATTCGACGTTAATTGTACAAAATGGATCTTTGGTAGGGTGTTCCAAATGAGGTGCACCAACCTTGTTGCACCAATCATCTTGAAGCCAATTTTCCCCGTACAAAATGTCAATGACCAACCCTTAGGGAAAAAAAAACCTAAAATCTGTACAAAATGCCTCTAAGAGTGAACGAAATGCCTCCTGAAAAGGTCTCACTAGGCAACTCATTTGGTACTACAAACTTCAAGGGGGATCTATTTTGATCATTTTTGTGCTACCAAATTAGATTGTCTTTAATCACTTTTCTGAACGGGTTTGCCCGAAAACAAGATAATTCCACAACTCTCCCATGTGTTTATCATCATTTTCTCCAATAAACGTGCCATTTTGGAGAACCCTGCATCCTACAGTATACCCCATTTCTGGGCAGATGGCAGACCCAAACAAAGATTGCCAGTCAAAAACGATCAAAAACAAGCACCTCCTTGTCCACGAACATTTTGAAGCACATTGTCTTCACCTTGGTGATGCCAAGATGTGCGCTGAAGGATGCAGTACTTGTTTCATGACTCCCAACTGCCAGGAAAGTGAACAAAGTAGCAGCTAGCAAATCATGAAAAAACGATTCAAGAATTCAGCAATCAAGGCATTTAAAAGACTGAAGCATCTATCTACGGCAACTTGGAGCTACAAAATGCTACAGACCTGAAAAGCTTAGGGCTGCCACTAGGTGCCACTTGAGCAGAGCCGACGGCGCAAAAGCGCGCGAACCATGTGACTTGGCCTGCGCTGCGGTACGAGGATGCCACCATGCATGACAACGCCCATAGCGCCGTAGAACCCTATCCCGCCCCTTCCCTTGCTTGACCAAATCTTGTGACTCCTGACTCCTGCCTGCACCTTTCACTTCTGGAAAGTCTGCAAGAATCTCTGCACCTTGTGCGCTTTCCGGAGCGTTTTCGAAGACGTCAGAAGCAATCACTCGGCCAGTGCAAAGGCGGCATGGCAAATCCCATATGAACAGCGAAAAGTGGTCCATGGCCCATTGGCAAACCATGACCCACTACAAGTCACTACATCCTGTGACAAGGCGAATATCTTGTATCTGAGCCATCAGCAGCCCACTCTGAGGGCACCACAATTGGGGCTCACGGCCCGGCGCAATGGAATTACGGGGCTGGAAATAGGGACATTCGGGGCGACCTGCACAACTTTGGAGGCCAAGATGGCGTGGCCAAGCCGCAGTTGGGTCTTCTCCAAATGCCAGTCTTGGCAAAATCTTTGTCTGTTGCTCTCCTGTCAACTAAGGTAGATGTGGAAAACCCACCATTTGTAGTATGTAGACCATTTTCGTGGGTAAACCATGAGTTTCCACATCTAATTATGTTAGTTTACCATAGGGTAGCAGCAGTGACCAGCCTGGTACCGTGAAAACTCTGAGATGCTTGGAATCTCTGAGCCTTGGTGTCAACAGGTGTCCAGGTTGTACAAGCGAAGTAATATCCAAATGGGATCCTGCACTCAGATTTGCACACCAAAGGCTGTCACCACCTTCGAAACCAGCCTCCGCAAACATAATCAACATGTCCATGGCTGACATTAGCATCAGCCGATCTCGGCTATTCCAGGTGAAACTCTTTTGACCTTAGAATCAAGTCTTGAGATCACTCTTTCACATTCATATACATATATATATACACACACATATATATATATATATATATATACATATGTATATATATATATTGCCCCATCTCCGCTTACAATGCTTGATGATGTGCCTCTGATGTGCCTCTGCCCGTTTGCCTGGCGGTCTCAGGTACAGAACCTAAATTTGTAGGTTGAAGTTTAACGGTGATTAATGGATATTAAGAATATTTAAGAATCAAAGATTCAAATGTGATCAACGTAGCAGTTCACAGTCATTCACTGACTTGAATTAAGGATAATATACAGGCAATTTTCAGGGAATAAGTTGCCTACAGCAATATAAAAAGCATCTTTCCAGTGAATTCCATTTGTAAAATATTTTGCTTTGGAGGCAGTTGCATGTTCCACCACGTCCAGGCCCATCACTTTTTCCGGTTTCATGCCTTGCTTCAAGGGCCAACTGTTTCTTGGCCCTCAAGTTTTTCAAGCACATCAGCACATCAGTCGACAAATCAGGTGAAGATCTGAATCACATTCTGAGCTTCCTTAGCTGCACTGTGGTGAAGCCACTAAGCTACAGAAATTCCAAGAATCCAATCCAGAATGCAATCAACGTCTGCCTCAAGGTCTTCGGAAAATTCATGACTGAAACAGCATGACTTACAGGTAATTTGAGAATATTAATGAATATTATACAATGCATGCGACAGCCTGGGCAGCTCCATCCACCTCAAAACATGCTTGGGCAGATAAGGCCTTATAGATCTTATATAGTGGAGTCTTGGTACTGGATACCTGCCGACTCCTGCTTTTGCGACAGCATCCAAGATTCTGCACGGCAAACTGGGCAGCTGCCCTTGTCAGGGAAAACTTCTTTGGCGCAAGGCGCACAAACACAGCCTTGGTGTGGACATATTTCGCACAATCCAGGTTGAACGTGACACTGCTCTGGGCTGAATTTGCACACAAGTGGTGCTGAACTGGTTCCTCGCGGTTTCTCCATTTGCATTAGCATGCTTGTGTAATTGTGAGACCGCAAACATGGCTAGTTGGAACACTTACTTGCCATGGAACGATGGCCACACGGGACAAACGCATGTGTCTTCCTCAGATTTGCAGGTGCAAAACTGAAATAGCATTGAAGAAACTGAAGTTCACTGAAGCTTTGCATGTTAGGCGACCTGGCACAATAGTTGGCAAAACGATAGACTTGGAGGTCAAGACCCATCAATTCAAGGATCTCAATGCGACGGACAGATTTTATGGATGCCGTGCGCTCTTTGCACACCCAGGGTCGGGGCAGCAAGGCATACAACACAGAGACTGTCTTCATCTTCCTCGTCTTTTGGATGATTTGATGCTTTTGTTGCCTAAGCCATTCACAACACACTCTTCGAAGCCCACATGGACGCGGTGCCCCGTTCTGCCAAAAAAAACGCAGCTAAGGGACGCCAAGTTGATTTGCTGAAGACAGAGGTTTCGAAGCACGTGACTTGGCATAACTTGTCAAACCCATCGGCCTTGTCGTGCTGCTAGCGAGATGGAAATTGTACGAGCATAGCTCGCCATGCAAACAACAGGAATTGTATTAAATTTATTAAATACATTAAAATACCACCAAAAGGACATGTGACAAATGTATACCTGGAAAACCCAGCTAAATTTTTTGGGCATGGGCAGATTTTTGGTGAAAAAAAACATGAAAAAACGATAAATAAAAACGTACAGTAATTTCCAGACCAAAAACATCATCACGAGTGAAAAATGTAATTAGTTTTGGGCTTTTGGGTGTTCAATCTTGTGGTGGAGCAGCCCTTGCTGATCCCACAAAGAGCTAGAAATTATTGAGTTTTTGAGGCTTTGCTTGGGCAACCAATTTCAATTGAACGAAAAACATGCATCAGGTGATCAATGTGGCCCTTCAACCCAGGTTTCCTTGCACAATGAATCCTGGTATACCGATCGGGTGCAAGTTTAACGCGCACATGACACAATTCCAATAAATTTCTTAAAAAAGTATAAAACTATTTTTGTGCAGTTGTCCACCCCCCCAAAAAAAAGTAATGTTTGAAAAAACACATTTTTTTTGGTGAAATTACCTCAAATTTTGAAACGAAGATTTACAAGATAGTCCTTACTTCCCATTCACTATCACCCAGATTAAAGATTGGTGATGACTAGTGTCAAAATAGGGGAAACATGAGATGAATTCTCATTTTGGCACCTGAATCACCTGAGCTCAGTAGGAGCATAAGTCTCTCTCAAGCAGCTCAGTGCCCAACGCAGTGCCAGGCCCAAGGACCTGCGGTTGGAACAGGTAGTTCTGCTGCTGCTGCTGCTGCTGCTGCTGCCTTTGTATCTGCATATGGGGCAGCTGTGGCTGCTGTGGCCGCTGAATCTGCAGCTGATTGGTTGGTCTTGAGTCCTGCGGCACCCTGCCTCTTTGCACAGGTTGCCCAGAGCCCGGACTCGGGCCCCAGCCGCTCCCATGGGCTGGTTGGATTGGTAGTGGTGCTGGCCCTTCGCCCAGTTGCGGGCGTGGCAAATAGCCCCGAGCATTGGCAAAAGTGGGCGGTTGCAGCTGCTGTTGGACAGGCATGCAGGCTGGATTCTGCTCTGTAGGGCCACAAATTACCTTGGATGTGGGACTACCCCACAGTTGACCTGCACCCTATTTTTGTTGTAGTTTGGAGTTTGTGAAGCCTGGAAAAGATGAAGTATATGGCAACTGATAATGCTTTCTCTCTGCATTTTCTCCATTGACTGAAACATAATGCAAGAGGCTACTGGATCCACTGTCACCGACACAGGGCTGGAGCAGCCCGCCACGTTGAACGCAGCACAAGCGAAGCAGTGGCGCCCAGCCTCCAGCCGCCCCACGCGGGCGGTCTGCATTAATCGACCAGAGGCACCAACTTCTCTCTTCAGACGATTCCTAAAGGCGAAATCGGCAGGAATTTCATTGGATTGGTTTAAGGGAAAATCTACAGGAAACCATGGTTTTTACCATCAAATATAGGGCTTTCCTGTAAATTTTCCCATCATCCAATTCTATGAGAATTTAAAGGTGCATGCAGCTGCAAACCCCGCTGATCCGGGCGAATTGATGCGAATTCTGATCATTCTTGGTGGACATCAAATGAGGCGAGTAGTTTTGGGGGATGATCGTGTGCCTTGCGAATAGATTCGAAGTCACTACAAATCATCCAACTATATAAAATTATATAAATATGATACATCTCTGGAAAACAAACATCTAGCATGATTATAGTCATAGTTAATCGTGCCTGGGATGTCATCATCATATACAAGTAGAGCAATCCCCAGAAAAACAGAAAAATAATGTGTACCACTAGTTTTCAATCGCGTTTTCCTTTTCATACCCTTTTCTATTTTTCGGTTGCAATGCTGACAACCGTCCCATGCCCAGTACATCCAGGAGAGGTTCTTCTTGCCAGTGTCCAAGTTCAGGATCTCAATCCAATAGCCATCCACTGGACCTGGCATCACATGAGTTGTGTTTGTTTTTCCCTTGCTAAACTGCAATACACAAATTGGGACACCTACGTGGGGCCAACGCAAACCACTCCCATGCGAAACTGCCGCGAGGGCTACCTTTCAAGTCTAAGTGCCTATGCGGTTGCCTCTGCGAAGTCCATCATCTGGAAAAAACAATAAAAAACACATGATATTTCCCAGCAACCCCCAAAAAATCCGCCAAGTCAAACCCGACCAAAATAGTGGCGCATGACTTTCCAGTCTTTTTGGGCTTTTCGGTCTATATATTTAAGCGAACGGTTATTTATCGGTGGATACAAGTGGTGGTTCAACCATATTCAACCCACATCAACTCACCAGCAATCATCCAGCCTCCGTGCTCCCCGGATCGAGGTAGAGCGGGAAAAGCTTCCTTCGCTCTGCACGCAGCAATGGATAGCAATGGAAAGTCACAGGCCGAAAGACTGCCCAATGATTCCCCATGAGTTCCCACAAGATTCCTAATGAATCTTACATGATTTTCCATGAATCTTCCGTGTTTTTCCATGGATTTTCCACGGATTTCCCTGGGTTTCTGTCAGCTTCATTCTGGAAGACCAACCGAAAACCCTCCGAACATTTGCCGAAGCTCAGAGTCAGGAGGGCTCACCTCGAGTTCCAAAGCATTCGCACGGGGTACCACGCCTCAGAGTCTTATGATGTGTGAAACAGGCCCGTTCATTTAAGCGCACGCATATATATATATATATATATACCTGAGAAGGGGGGGGACGAAAGCCAGCCCCCAAAGCAATGCTCATGGTGTTTTTTGTCTCTGCGCTGAAGTATCTCGAAGTAAAGGCGGTTGCTAGTTGTTAGCATTCCACGATACTTTCGTCCAGATCAGCTCCAGCTCGGCCGTTTTAGGCCAAATCCTGGCCAGGAGCCTTTTGGAGCCAGATCCAGAGCAGAAACCTGTTGGAAGCAATTTTCTGCCATTTGGCGGCCATTCGGCCGGCTATTGCATTTCGCTTTTGGGAAGAACGGGAAACGGCTACATATACAATTTTAGAACGAACAGCAAGCAAACAGAAGCTATGAACCAGCATTGTGAAGCTAAAAACACATAGACCCTTTTACACACAGACCCTTGCAGACTACACACAAACGTTTTTACACACAAACGCTTTTACACACAGACACTTTTTTACTTCGACATACAGATGCTTTTACACACAGACCCCTTTACAATAGCTTTACGCAGAAACACGTTGACACAGAGACGCTTTTCAGACAAACAGCTTCACACAGACACGCTTGTACACACAGACGCTTTTACACACAGACCCGTGTACGCAGGGACAGCTTTACACACAGACACTTTTACACATAGACCCTTTGACACACAGACCCTTGCACCCACAGACGCCGTGAGACATAGACGCTTTTTTCGCACAGACACTTTTTGACACATAAACATCTTGACACAGAAATGCTTTTACACAGAGACCTTTTTACACACAGACACTTTTACACAGAAACCTTTTTACACACCGACCCTTTTACGCATACACAAAATGTTGCACACAGACCCTTTTACACACAGGCGCTTTTACACACAAACACTTTTACACACGTACGCTTTTACACACAAAGGCTTTTACATACAGACCTTTTTACACACAAACATCCTTACACCGAAAGGCTTTTACACAGAGTCGTAGTAGCACACAGACTGTTGGACACACAAACATCTTGACACAGAAATGCTTTTACACGCAGACCTTTTTACACACAGACACTTTTAAACACGAACCTTTTTACACACCGACCCTTTTACGCATACACAGAATGTTGCAAACAGACCCTTTTACACACAGACGCTTTTACACACAAACACTTTTACATACATACGCTTTGACACACAGAGGCTTTTACACACAGAAGCTTTTACACAGAGACCCTTTTACACACAGAAGCTTGTACACACAGACCCTTGTACACACAGATATATCTACAGAGAAACGCTTTTACACAGAGACGCTTTTACATAGAAACATCTTCACACAGAGACGTTGCGGCATGTTTTTTTTTACCTTCATTTGTAAAGCCGAAAAATGGTCAAATAGTTGGTGTTTTCGTGTTTTTTGAACAGTCTCGGAGCAAAAAACTCCGAAAAAAAAAAAAAAAACCGTGTTTTCTGACGCCTCGCAAGCCCGGAGCCTTTTGGAGCCAGCTTGTGGGACTTTCGCGGCTTGCGGGCCGGCAACTAAAAGGGCCTTCTGGGATCAAGGGGAAACGGCCATTTTTAGCCAAATCCTGGCCGAAGCCTTTTGGAGCCAGCTTTTAAGACTTTCGCGGCTTGCGGGCCGGCAACGAAAAGTGCCTTCTGGGCTCAAGGGGAAACGGCCGTTTTAGGCCAAATCCTGGCCAGGAGCCTTTTGGAGCCAGATCCAGAGCAGAAACCTGTTGGAAGCAATTTTCTGCCATTTGGCGGCCATTCGGCCGGCTATTGCATTTCGCTTTTGGGAAGAACGGGAAACGGCTACATATACAATTTTAGAACGAACAGCAAGCAAACAGAAGCTATGAACCAGCATTGTGAAGCTAAAAACACATAGACCCTTTTACACACAGACCCTTGCAGACTACACACAAACGTTTTTACACACAAACGCTTTTACACACAGACACTTTTTTACTTCGACACACAGATGCTTTTACACACAGACCCCTTTACAATAGCTTTACACAGAAACACGTTGACACAGAGACGCTTTTACAGACAAACAGCTTCACACAGACACGCTTGTACACACAGACGCTTTTACACACAGACCCGTGTACGCAGGGACAGCTTTACACACAGACGCTTTTGACACACAAACATCTTGACACAGAAATGCTTTTACACAGAGACCTTTTTACACACAGACACGTTTAAACAGAAACCTTTCTACACACCGACCCTTTTACGCATACACAGAATGTTGCACACAGACCCTTTTACACACAGACGCTTTTACACACAAACACTTTTACACACATACGCTTTCACACACAGAGGCTTTTACATACAGACCTTTTTACACACAAACATCTTTACACGGAAAGGCTTTTACACAGAGTCGTAGTAGCACACAGACTGTTGGACACACAAACATCTTGACACAGAAATGCTTTTACACGCAGACCTTTTTACACACAGACACTTTTAAACACGAACCTTTTTACACACGGACCCTTTTACGCATACACAGAATGTTGCAAACAGACCCTTTTACACACAGACGCTTTTACACACAAACACTTTTACATACATACGCTTTGACACACAGAGGCTTTTACACACAGAAGCTTTTACACAGAGACCCTTTTACACACAGAAGCTTGTACACACAGACCCTTGTACACACAGATATATCTACAGAGAAACGCTTTTACACAGAGACGCTTTTACATAGAAACATCTTCATACAGAGACGTTGCGGCATGTTTTTTTTTACCTTCATTTGTAAAGCCGAAAAATGGTCAAATAGTTGGTGTTTTCGTGTTTTTTGAACAGTCTCGGAGCAAAAAACTCCGTTTAAAAAAAAAAAAACGTGTTTTTTGACGCCTCGCAAGCCCAAAACCACGGTAGTTGCGGTGTTTTTTTGCTCCTGGAACCAAAAACCACGGTGTTTACAGTGTTTTATGGCCAGCACCTAGCAAAAACAGTGGTATTTACGCAGTTTTCAGCATGTTGCAAGACGTACTTTTGCCAGGCCAAACGCACAAAAACACCGTAAATTACAGTGTTTCGGCATTTGAAACCCGATGAAAACCGTCAAGAACCACCAACAAGGTAAAGCCGAAAATGGTCAAATAGGTGGTGTTTTCGTGTTTTTTGAACATTCTCGGAGCAAAAAACTCCGTAAAAACCGTGTTTTTTTGACGCCTCGCAAGCCCAAAACCATGGTATTTGCGGTGTTTTTTGCTCCTGGAACCAAAAACAACGGTATTTACAGTGTTTTATGGCCAGAACCTAGCAAAAACAGTGGTATTTACGCAGTTTTCAGCATGTTGCAAGACGTACTTTTGCCAGGCCAAACGCACAAAAACACCGTAAATTACAGTGTTTTGGCGTTTGAAACCCGATGAAAACCGTCGAAAACCACCAACAAGTGTCCAAAATGGAGCATCTCGTTCGGGCCCAAAAAACCAGGCAAACGGCAGGTCGGTTTTTGAGCTCTCCCCCCCCAGGCTCCGGCCTCACCTTTCAAAAACGGACCGATTTCGGGCCTCCCCCCCCCCACACCCCCTAGATTAGCTTCGCTTCGCTTCGCTTATACCTATACTCAAGCCCAGGCCTTCGGCTGGCTTTCGTGATATATGTGTGTGATTTATGTGTGTGTGTGTGTTATATAGATATATATCATTATATATCTATCATGGTTGTTACTAGTTGTTACTGTCATAATGTCATAATATCTTGGTGCCCGGTACCCTGATGATGCACAAAAAACATGTTTAATTTAATCACGCATCGTGCATACTGATTGAGATATTTAAATTAAAAAAAATAAATATTGGAAATAGTATGAAATAGTCATAGTCAAGATCTTTAATCACCCCCAACAAACTCAACGCGGCCACTTTCGAGGCACGCAATCCAGCAGGTGGCTCAGGTGATCGGATGCCCAGAAAGTCCTGGAGAGGTGACAGGTCCAGGATCTTCGGCGTGGCGATCAGCCTCCTTGGGGCAGATCTGACCCCGGGGGCCCCATGGGGCACCATAGGGCACTATAGGAAGCGCCACAGCCGGTGACATTTTGATCAATGGGATTTTCAGGATCCTAAATTGGAGGTACCTACCATATATAAGGCCTATGTAAGGCCTATGTAAGGGAACATCCCCATAAAATATGGCCTTATATGGTACAGTACCTCCATTGATTTTTATCCCAGGCTCTTGAGGTATGCACCGAGCTCAACCTCCCGCTGTTGACAAAAGTCTGCGGACAGTGATTGAGTGAAGGCTGGCAACCATGATCTCCTCGGGTGTTCGATGAAATTGTCCGGCTATAGTTATACCCATAGGATCCATGTACGGTATATATGCTAACATTGGGGGTATATTGATGGTAAATGTTACCATATATAGCATACATGGATCCTATGAGTTACTATAGACACAAAATACATTTCTCCCAGCAAATCCATGCAAATCCACAAGAATTAACGCATAGGCAAGAAGTCTCATTGACACCCACACAGCACGGGGAAAGCAATGCAACATGATCAAGCTCATGGAGTATTTCATTTATTTTTCTTGGAAGATCTTGGAAGTTTCAAACCCACCATGATTCGGCTATTGATTCCAAAATTCTCAGGCCCTGCTGGAAGTTGATCTTTCTCATCTGTGAGTGCCAAAATGTCCTTGCAGCGAGGTAAAGATCTTCCTTGCATGGCGTGAATCAAATGAGATCACCAGTTCCGTACTTCTTTGCTCCCGAATATGTGTTGAATTACTAGTTGCATCTAGTTACAAATCCATACTAATCCATCCTCTGAAACGTTGAATTCTTTTGGAAGGCCCATCTGTCATGGCCCTATGGGTCATGGAATCAGGATGAACCATGGAATCTCCTCATGTAGCTGCAAGAATTCAGAGAATCTCCGCCACAAGGACCAGGACACACCACTGCAGTGGTCAAGCTTCAGGCAGTACTCGACGTGACCACCTGACAATTTCAAGTGAACTCTTTACAGCCGTAGCTGACGCAACTGTGAAACCTGAAACTGTGGGGGGTAAGTTCACAGGACACAAAAAAAACAATAGGACATCTCAACTCCGAAGTTTCATGAAGTTTCTTTACGTTTTCCCTGACAAATGTTCAAAGTGACTGGCAAGCATCATGTACTGTAAGATAGATTGCAACACTGCCCGCCAGCATAAGTCTGAAGTGCCAGCCAAATGGAGCCTACGTCTTTGTAGCCATTGATGTTTGCCTCAGCTACAGAGACTAGCTTGGCACCCTCGCATGGTCTGCCGATACTATCCCACGCAGTTGAAAATATACTTGAAAAACAAAGTAAATAACCAGAATATACCAGAATAATGGTTATTAACCAGAAACCTCTGTTTCTGACGATAGCGTTGGCTTCTAATCCCTTGCTTCTCCTATCAGCAACTAGTGCTTGATCAAGGCTATATCGTTTTTTTCGCTCAGGTGTTGGGGAAAAACGCTTACATACGCTTACCATAAATGGCGATTTCAGTGGGAAAATAATCTATAATAATCTATATATATATATATGGGAATGAATGGGATGATGTGATAAACTAGTGAATTTTCATGAATTTTCCATTGCCATGTCTGATCACCGGAGGCCAAAACACCTCGTAGCACTTCTCTCGGCGAAGCCCTCCAGGCGCCTCAGACACCATCCAGGCGCCCTGACCTATGCGACATGCCTAGGCAATTTGCCGCACTGGATGCAGGTGATGAGTCCAGGATCGCGGAAATAACAACACAAAACTGGGCACGAATTTCTTGCTGTGGTGACTGTCGTGTATATATAGACATTTTTCTGCAGGCCAGGTTGGTGTGAACAGGAACTGCAAAACGCACCATGACATCATGTCTATATCAACCGTGTGCATCCGCGTGCCGCTACGCTCACTGTTGCTTGAAAGGCGCGGCGCAAACAAATCAGGAGGGGTAAAGCTGCCAACTCTTGAACATCTTAAACAGAGCAACTGTTTATAGGCATTTTAAAAAAATGTGCGCAGGAACTCCTGCATCGTCAAAGTCCTCAACATAGGGGGAAACAGATGTTCATTAGACAAAAAAAAGTTGCAAGGAAGCATCCAACTTGCTTTGGCATGCACATGATGCTGGGGAGTCATCGCTCAAGCTGCCAACATCGCAGGTGCTGTCTTGAGGTGCTGTTTTTTGGTTCACCTCGCATTCACATGAGTTTTCGAGCTACTGTATTCAGCGCAATGATCAAGGATGATCTAAGCCAATCAATCTGCATCTTTCTTCTTGCGTTTCGTTTTCTTTGGAGGCTCTTCTTCACAACGATCTTCTCTTGATCGCTTGCTCTTTTCTTTGGTGCTCTCCTTGCCCTTCTCCTTCTGGCTCTCTGCCTTGGTCTTTTTTGACACTTTTTCATCGGGGTCTTTGGATTCATCCGCAACGCCACTGGCGTAAAGTCGTCTCCTCTCACGGGAGCCCAAACGCTTCTCGGTCTGGCTCCCCTCCACCTTGGCGCGAGACCTGGCTGATCAGGCTATGAGTGGCAAGGGTTGATAGAAACGGTTTGGCATAACATATTGGTACCAAATCGCAGGAATATAACAATTATAACATATTATTACTTAAGTACTAATATTATTAGTACTTATTATTATACAGTACTAATAAGTACCAATTTAACTTAAATGTCGAGCCAACTCCAACCAAACTCCAGCCTCTTTCTCCTTGGCGCAGGACTGGGGCTCCGTTGGGCATAGTCCAGCTGCCTGCGTGAATCTGACCTTTCCTGTGGCGGTGGCCGGCGGGAGTCACGCCGTGCCCGTTCGTTCCGTGGCGCTCTCCGTGGGGCAGATCTGCTGTCGCGGTGACGTCCACGGGAGTCCCGGCGCGCAGGCGGTTCACGCCTGCGCCGCTCGCGGGGCTCGGGGGATCTGGAGCTTCGGAACCTTTCGAGGCCTCGAAGATCATCTGCAGTCGCTTTGGGCCGATCTACAGAACCCTTTGACGGACCTTCCGGCTTTGAAACATCTTTCCTGCAGGTTGGTAAAGATGATTGTGTTCACCTATGCCTTTGATTTTTAAAGCAGTTGCGTCCTGAATCCCGCACAATGGCTTTATAGTCCAGTTGAATTCAGTGATTTCAGGGGGTGGTAAATTCGTGAGTTGGCTGATCCCATCTGGTCCTTTCTTTCAAAGTGATGCCTGGGCCCTTTCCATTTTCTTGCACTTGCTTTGCTTTCTTTGCTGGCTCTGGAAAGCCAAACTCCTCACATTCAGCTGCTCTCAGCAAGGCTCGTCGACTAGCATGGCGACCAGGCCAAAGCGCTTCGGCTGTAAATCGGACCACGCAAACCTGTTTTGAAGTAGCACTCCTTGTTTGTCCATTCTTTATCAAAAGTCGGTAAAACCCCAACTGTTGATTGGCAAGGCATGTTTTAGAACACCACGACCGCTTTGAGGCCCAGTTGTCCCAGTTGTCCTTTCGCAGTCTTGCTTGGGTAGCCTCCGACAAAGAACTAGTGGAGGAGCTTGAAGAGGAACTTTCATCATCCTTCTCTCCCTTTCCTTTGGCCTGTTTCTTCAGTTTCTTTTGCAATTTCTTCCTCAAACAAATATGAGATGCGATCTTTGCTGAAAACAATACGAACTTCAATATGCACCACAACACTACAACATGCCACGACGCAGTCTCACTGCCAAGATTCTTTCTCTTGTTCTCTAGTTTCAGAAACTTCTTCTTTAGTTTCGATTCCTTCTTCATGCGTTTCACTTCTTCCATCACGGCCTTGGCATCCTTGACCAAGTCCTAAGCTCAACTCAACGCTATCCAGCGTGAAGGGTATGGTTCCCCCTTGTTGCTATCCTTGTGCAGTCTGTAGAAGCGCTCCATCCACACCAAAATAATCCAAGATGCTTCAGTTTGCACCTTCTTCTGCTTTCCACCTTCCTTGGGAAAACGGCCTTCTCGATTCTTCGGGTCCAAGTCTTGCCCAGTCTGTTGGTTGATGTAACCTCATCACATGGGGCAGGGTTCGACACCTATCCCTGAAGGATGATTTGTGTCCTGCACTCCCCTCAAACTGCTGAAATCGCATGAAATCGCTGACCAAAAAGGAAGGTCTGCATCCCTGCAGGTGCAACACTTGCTCAAAAACCAAGATACGCAAGTCAAGGCCATACTTTCCCTCCTCCTCCTTGATATTCACCACCTGCCAAGTAGCTGCACAGAAAAGCCATCCTTGATCTTGCTTGGGCACACATGTTTGACAGGGAAGTCTGGGGCACTGGCTCCCAGCACAAGGTACGGCTCATGTAACCCGTTTATCTGGCCGTGTGCATTTAACATGGACCCGAAAAAAGATCCCAAACATGATTTTGCTACTGCACTGGATATTGTTTTTTTTGGGGTGGTCCATGTTAAATTGATGATAGACATCACACGTCTCATCTTGTTGCTGAATAATATGCTGCACCCTTCTTGAGCTACTTATAGCTAGTTGGGATATATCTGGCACATGTTGGAACCATTGGCCACTTGGGATATTTTTTAATAGGATCTCTGCACGGAAAAAAATCCATCAGCGCCTTCGCCCAAACCTTGTCCCCAACGTCTAGGTAGTCGGAGACTTTCTCCACCCGTCCAGGTGCTATGGCGGAGATGTGAACCAGGCCATCCTGGAAAACACTGCCGTTCAGACTTTCGGATGGTTTATGGCATGGGGATCCCACAATTCAATGACGATATTATAATATTATATGCTATGTGTATGCCTACATGTACAATTAATTAGTACATATTCATGATTTCCATTCCTCAGTATCCTGGATTTTACCTGGGCGTTCAGGAATGGAAACATGCGCATCAGGATGTTGTTTTACATTCTCGTCTGCGCCATGCGCCCACGACACGAAGAGAAAACCATGCTTATGCTGAGATAGATAAGATCAGATAAGACGCGATAGATACAGTAAGATTGGATATATAGATCTGATTAGATTAAGATTTGATTGGATTAGATAAAAATAGATATGGAGATGTATCTGGAGATGTCTATATATATATATATATCCCGTCATCTTTGCAAGGAATCCCGTGGCTTACGGCTTAGGGGACTTGGGAATCTCATGGAATCTCCAGAATTTAAAAACAAAGGGGCAATAGAAATTATATGAAATGATTATGCGAGTCATGTTTCTGGGGAAAAATAGAAAACCAAGCTGCACAGATCGGACACCATCTGTCCTTGTACTGGTCACCTGCCAGGAGAAAAGTGGAATTGCAGCGGCAAGAATGTGAGACATGGCTCTGAACAAACGCCCAAACCGCTATATTAGATCACTATGTGCCTGTGTGCTTAAAACAGTCCAGAATTACTGTACTCACCCCAGAGACTCGAGACAATTCATTCTTGTTTTTTTTGATTGGTGCCTTACTGAGACTATGAGAGGGTATACTTGAAAATGAACATCCTGGGTTGTTCAAGCAAGATCCCAGACTGTCAAGATCTGTCAAGGCACTGAAATATACAAGAACTCTCCACCCCTCACTGATGGCACTTAAGTTGGACACATACCAGATACCATCACCATGAAGCTATGCTGGCACGCGTGGCCCGCCTTTTCCAACACGGATGAAAGCACCGAAGGGCCGGACGGAGGCGACCGTGCCCTCCAGCACGCTATGCAGCTCAGGGATGGCTCCTTCCTCAACTTCCACGGTCTCTTCGGGTGGCTCAGGCAGTGCCATGACGACACAAAAAGGTGATGTAGTAGCTACTGCTACTGCAGCTGTACAAGTGGCTGGATGGTTTTTTTTTCTGTTCATCTCAGGATTTCCTCAAGTTTCTGCAACAAAGTATGGGAAAGACACACATCTAAGCTGAATCGGTTTTCGAAGAACTTGCAGCGACAAAAATTCAGTGACCAGTTGATTCAACATGATTGAAGGGGGGCTGCTGCCACCATGATGTCGCTCCTACTCTTCATACCGTTCTGCGGTTGCTGTCGGGAAATATTGGCACCTCTGTGAAACCAGCTTCATTTTGACTACAGCATCAGGATTATATTTTGTTCTTTAATTCTTTAATGTCGTATTCTACAATCGTTGCGGTTCAACTGATGGTGTTCTCATTTCTCTCAAATTAACGCAAAGCTACTGAGCCCATTCAATATAGCACTTTTCATGAGAGTTCTTGCTGGCTCTCAGCCTTTGAGCCAATGAATCATGGGCCGGGCATTTCACAACCCCCATGCCACATGTCGGTTCAACTTTCACACCTTGCCTGCGCCTGAAGCACTCTTCAGTGCTTCAAATTATATCAAAAAACAAAAACTATGGCCATCCAGCAGCACAAAATCACCAAAAAAGACAACTTGCTCGGTGATATATTGAATTTTCATGGAGAAGCACCACTTTTTTTCAAAGCCACCACAAAATTTCGGCCGTCCCCTGGCCTGGGACTGGGAGGCGGGACTGGCCTCATGCCGGACCTGAGAACTGGAACAGGGGGGGGGGCAAAATCCTCCAACATTGGCAATGGCAAATGTCTAACATATATTAACATATCTAAAAATGGGAAGTCAATTTTAAGGTCAATGGTGAAAAAGTGAAAAAAGGGCTGCTCCTATTTTGGATGAAACCACAAAAATAAAGCAGAAAATTGAGAGCAACAACCAAGTCGGCTCATCAGCGGCCCATACTCCCGTTGATGGAAAGGACGGAAAACGAGTCTGGATTCAATCACTGACCAAAAAAATGCCTTGGTTCCTGACAAAAAGTGATTTCCATGGCGTCCAGGCAAAGTGTGAGATGCCAAGTGGCAGGTTGGAAAAGCTGAGACTCACAAAATGACTGATTGTTTCAATTCATCCAGAAATATGATGTAGATTGTAGATGAAAGGGACAAACATAGTGGCTGTTTAGGATTAATGATTTAGGATCATCATCCACTTTTAGGGATGTATAAGTTGAACCAAATAAACTGCAAACCGACAAATATCTGAAGCACCTTTGACAATTTAAGCTCTTCAAGCGCAAGGCGTGTCTCTGTGCGTCTACATTTACATTCTGATGCCGTCTCTTGACCTGAATCTGGTGCTCCCCGCCGCCTTGTCAGCTGCAGGATTCAGCCACAGCATAGCCGAAGCAGACAGCCAACATTCAATGTATGACATATATCCAGCGCAATCATCCATCAATTTCGATTGTCCTCCGCTTACCATGGCTTGCAACACAGCTGTGAGGAAGTGAACACCATGAGGCTTGGGATTTTAATGGATTTTGGAACATCAGCTGGGGCAGCTGATTCACCGCTTCACTTTTCAGCGGACTGAAAGATCTGAAAGCTGGAGGACTTTGCTTCACAGCTTGGACAACCTACATCCACCTACTAAAATTATTGCCTGATGGCTCCCCTGGTCAAGGGCCGGGCTGCTACCCATCCCCGTGTCCGCTGTGCCCATCCAGTCCCTTCGGGACACGCAACAGGCAACATTCGTGAAACGCGTTCCAAACAGCGGAGGACAAGCCTCCTGACATTCCAGCCATGTGCCACACAATAGGTTGTTGTTTTCCCGGATGAATTGCAAGCGACTGGTGGGAGGATGATTTCAAGCCATTTGAAGGCATTTCAAGTGCGGTCCTGGCATGGCCTTGTGCCCCAGCTATGGAGGATCCTTGCTTTCCTCACTCAAAAGTGCCTCAACCTTGACACAGGTCTCATGGGTGTAGATGGAACCAAGACCATCAGGAGATTCCAGAGCTAAAAAAGTGACAAGTGCTCCAGTTCCATCATGCTTCAGCAAAAGGGAATTGTACCCCCCAAAAGAACATGATACCCCAAAATCCAATGGTTTGTCCTCATTTTCCCCATGAACATGTTCGAAATTTGGGGCAGTTTGGGCATCCCCCATTCTTATCCATTCTTGAACAAACCCAGAGATCAATCCTCATACCAGGTGCGTGGCACATACCTCTCCAATGTTCTCAGAGTCCAAAGTGGCAAAGGCCTCTCCAGGGATCGCCAAGGGATGCCTGTAGAAAAAGTACATCCCCAAGTTCCTCAACATGTGCAAACATGAAGAAGAATTGATCACACATGTGCAAAGATGAAAGTCACTCTGGCTTGCCCTATCTCTTTAGTTGCTGGATTGGATAGGGACAAACCCTATGGCACTAATCTCGTGCCAAAGCAAAGGCGCTACTCAGCTACTCTCGTGGCCGGTTGCATCATGCTGGTTATTTGAGGGCATCCTTATCTGTCAGAAATCATGGCTCTATCTGCTCAAAAGATTGTTCGTTTCAGCCGGTGAATTGGTATATGTTTCCCATATGTGTTAAACTACTCCATTGGCCTACCAAACAAAAGGACCAGGAATCACTGCCCGCCAAGCTGCCGTAAAAACACCATCATCACTTAGCTGCTCCTGGAAGGCAAAAAAACGTGTGGTTGATCTGCTGACTTCAAGAGATCTGTTCAAATCACCATACCAACCCTGTTCTTTTTTTTTGTTGTCCTTTGTCATAATAGATGGGCAGAGGGTATCTGGTCCCCACCATGCTTCAGGCCCTCTAAACGCCTCTGGGATTCCCAGGACTTCGCGAATCACGTGAGGCCATTCCTCGGCTGATAAGAATCACATGATAGCACAATGATTAAATGATGATAACACATTTAAACGAGTTGAGCGGGAATTTATTACATATTATATCATATATATACTGTATATATATATATATTAGCCTTAGCTTCCAAAACCTACAAATGTGTCTATATACAAATTTGTTGAGTGTAAACTACAACCCTGGGATTAGCGGTTATCATGACCGAACCCTTGCGTTTGGAAAAGCGGGTGTTCTGGCGAACTGTCCAAATTCAACATAACATAGTGAAGGCTTCCAAAAGTGTTCTTGATTTGTTGCGATCTTTCTCTCTCTCTCTCTCTCTCTCCATCACCATCCCGATGTTTCTTGGATTTTCCGCAATTCAGCCTTATCGGTCAGGACTTCACATCAAATTGCCGGTACGCATCTGAAGCAGAGAAGATTAAACATATGTGTTATTTACTTTCTTCGAATGATCCCCACCAACTGATCTTCTATCTGACACATATTCTGACATTGTATCTGGCATTCTATCTCACGTATAGTCTGACATTCTTTCCGGCATTCTTTGTGGCATTCTATCTGACATCTGGCACTTGCCGTTGAGGTCCGGCAGTGCCCACAGAGATCTGGTGCTCGCGGATGAGGTGCCCACGACGAGGAGCGGAGGGTGGGCGGCATGCAGCTCTGATAAAATCTAGGGACCCTCACCTGGCAGGTGGGGAAAAACAAGCTGAACCAGATTTATTGGAGTGAGATTCGGGGTGGGAAAAGAGCCTCTCAAAGATTTCCATATTCGAGCTCTCTCAACCAATTTTGCCAATTTTGGGTGCCAAGATCCCAAAAGTTAAAAAGATATAAAAAGATCAATCACGGAACGTGTGATGTTTTTCAAAATCTTTTCAAAAGGGATGTTGATGATGTTGGTGAAAACAACTTGGGCGCTATTTGGTGTGAGTTGGCGATCTTTGGGCGTTATTTGGCATGACAGGGGTTTGGAAGAACCCTATAAAAGGTTGTGCAAAAAAATGATTCAACTTCGGGATGAAATTCTGGCTCGGGCTGGAAAAAACATGAAAAAACGCATCAAGGAAGCTGCAGGCACAGGAATAATGAATAAACACTAGAATCAGAGTTTCAGCAAATAAACTGACAAATAGTTGATAAGTCTCGGTTTACAGTAGTACTAGTATATACTGTTGCTCCACTTGGCACCTGAGACGTGAAAGAAATCCAATTGATCGTCAACACTCAGGAAGAGGCCCACTCGGAGACACTGCCCTGCCAGTGCCTCAAAGGACACAGTTGCTTGTGCCAGGCCCAAGGCCCTGAGAGTTAGCAAAATGTGTCGTTCTCTGCATCAATTTGTAAAGGAGCCTTTCCCCTTCATGAACCGTGGCAATGCTGCCAGAATCTCATCTGTTGCAGACACTAAATGCTCAGCTCTGAGCCAGCCCTGGGCATCATAGGATTTCTTCAAATCCTGATCATCAGTGACTTTGGCCGAAGTAGGCTGTTGATGCTGTTGACTGGGCGTGAAAATCTGGCTGGAGCGTCCTCATCTCGCAGCTTTCGGAAGTTCTCCTAACATAGCTGAGACAGATTGACAGTCAACCGGTCTCAAAACGTCGGGGTGTTCTGCAGCCGCTGTCCAGCGCTGTCAGGCCTTCAAACTCTCAAATTGAATAGGGGAGAGCTCAGCTGGAGGAGCCTGGACGGTGGTCATTTCAACTGCATCTCCAGAAGACACACTATTCCATCTTCAAACCAACTCAATGATTTCGGACATGCGGAGTGTAAGCTGCTACGAGTAGGCGGATAAAAACTATCCCTGCTATCTTGGACATGGCATGCCTTCCGGCACTTCTGGTGCCCCACGACAGGCAAATGTGATCAAGACCTCTGAGAAGAACAGGCACGCCTTGGCCCTGGCAAGGGTGCTGGCCTTCGGGCCTTTTCCTGTCTGGGCACAAGATTCAGACACTAGAAACCGAAACGGAATCAGCCACAATCGGAAGTGATGCCAAAACGTATGTAGCATAACATAACGCAAAACAGAACAGAATTGAACAGAATATAATATGATATGTATATATGTGTATATATTATATACAATGTAGAAAGTGCATTAACTTATGTGCGCCTGTGTTATTTATAGATTCCTATCTGGTCTCATCTTTTGCTGCTACGCCTGCGAGAACTTGTGGGCGCCACTGAGCGAATCCACGCCGCACCTGGCGGTTCATGAAACGTGTGGTGAATGACTTGAAGGGACAAACATGTTGGGAACTGGGCTTTAGACCCGTTTCATCCAATTCATCCTCTCTCCCAAACACATCAATCGTCTGAACATGTTCAACAGTGTTAAAATATGGCAGTGATTGTTATATTCAGCCAGTCCATTTACATCCATAAAAACTGGGATCTCATTGATCTCATGGGTGGTGGAAAAATCTCCGCCTCGAGGCGCCGCATGAAGACCATGAATTCCTGGCAACTGATGGATCCGGACCTCAGCTGGCGCGGGCCTGGTGGCGCCACCGTTCCCGGGTCCCGTTCCCGGGGCTCCGGGTCTCCGGCAGGTCGGCGTCCATGGCCTTCCAAAGGCCCTGGAGTTGGCCAAGATGTGGTGCGCAGGACATCGCAGGACCCTCTTGTATGGCCATGAAACATCATTAGATGGATTTAGATGGGGGAAATCTGGTTCTATACCACGGGAATTTGAGATATGTCCCACAAGATGTTCAAAGCAAAGAAAAACCATGGCAAGGACTGAGTTGCAGCCTTCAGCTCGTCGTTGCTAATCTCCTTTGTGGAGATGGCCAAACAAGGCAATGGACCTTGGCACCGAATACGGTACTTGCGCTGCTTCGTTCAGCCAGTTCCGCCTGTTTCATCAGCAACTTGGGACTCCAACGTCGGATGATCCTGAAGAACTCATCGTAGCCTCAAAGGCAACTTCCATCTTTTTGGAGACTGGATGAGACTGGAACACATTGGCTAATGGAGCCAGTCTGCTCTGCAACTCGTGAGGTGACTTCGATATACTTCGTCGGTTCATGTCGGTTCATGAAGTCATGAAGTCATGACGGACCTGCAAACCCACTCCATCTTGGTTCCCCTGCCGATGGACCCAGAGCAGTCCACGTCTACCAGCTTAAAGACCTGCCACAGATGACACCTATGGCATCCTATGGCATCAATTCTTCCAGGAAAGCTGCAGTCAGCCATGCTCGGCCTTATACCAATTGGTGTTATTTCCGATCCATTTGGAAGCTGCTTCACTGATCTTGTCCACGACCTCGGCAAATTGCACACATTGCTCAGGAATTGTTCCTGTCGTAGGCTAGTGTGATGTGGATTGCCGATCAAACACCCTCCATCAATCAAACCCGCTGGAAAACCCCCCATTTCTATCCTTTTCAGCATGTGGGAGTGTCTGATAAAATGATAAAATAGCATGCTCCCAAACGCCATGGCTCATCATTTTGCCTATCAAATTGGCCATGATGGGGGTCCTCCAATCCTTAGACAAACCCATATGAAAATTGACTGTGTGGTGCTATATGTATACATAAATAAATATATACATAAATAAATATATACATAAATAAATATATACGTATATTTACACAGATCAGATCCCATAAAATATCCCCATCAAATTCCATGAAATCACTCTTGTTGATGATTAATATCCCATAAAAAATCACCATTGTTCATGGTTAAATCCCATGAAATCCCCAGCTTTGCTAGGTAAATCCCATTAACTCATATTACACTCTGGTAAATTAACATAGACCCTGGCAGTCATCGGGGTTGGAAGACTAGTTTCCATTAAACATTGGCTATTTTCAGGGTCTATGTTTACCAGAGGGTACATCCCCATGGTTTCCATCAAGGAATATTCCAGCTGCAAGAGATTCTGGGCCTTCGGGCTTCTCCCTGCTGGACCTCTGTGAGAAGAGGCCAGGTAGCGATACGGAGTCGATACATTCCGTTCCTTGCGGAGCAAATGTCAATGGATTTTAATGGCGATTTAATGGTGATTTAATGGTGATTTAATGGTGATTTAATGGTGGGTAATGGTGATTTTATGCTCTATGACTCTATAATATCATATCTTGAATCTATGATAATTCACCTCTATTTATAGATAATCAATCTATCCAACACAGATGTATTTTTTTTTAAAGAAGTGTGTGAGCCATTCAAGTCTAGTGTTGTCTACTCTATTCCCCTCTATTCTATTCCCTTCTGCTCTTGTGTATCTATGCATACACAAAGGTGGAAATCTTTAGCCTCTCAAGCCGATTCAAAAGCTGAGTGACGATGGCGAGTCCATTAGTTACATGCCATGACAATGCTATGACAATGCAGTGTGAAGTGAAATAGTTCACGCCGGTTTGGAATGAGGCGCTTGCGTCCATTCTATGTACGAAACTCGTCCAGACTGGTCTGCATCCTGCCATCAGACATCAAGTGATCACATCAGAGGGTCGCGGATTCTGGGCTTTTGGCATAATATCCACCATGTCTCAAAATACCAAATTCTGACCGATAGCCAACTGCTTAATAAATCTTAATAATCCCCAGTGCGTTTTGGGGGTAGTAAGGAGTACAGTATAACCCCCAAAGCAATCATCAAGCAACAGGGGTTAAAGGCAGCTCAGTTGGCGTTTGAAAAAACTCTGCCAGGCTCACGATTCGGCACCACAAGGCATAAAGATCATCGTGAGAGACGCCATTTACCACGGCACCATCTGCAGAGAATTGCGCCTGCTACGACTCCCATTTACCACGGGGCCGGGAGGTGAAGATAGGTGAAGTGAAGCTGGGCTCCATGAGATTCATGTTTGCTTTTAAAGCAAATGGGTTTGTCTGAAAATAGGGTATATTCCCAATTATAGCCATTTAATAGGGATAATGATCATTAACCATTGGGTTTAGGGGTACACTATTTTCAGACACACCCAAATACGCAGAGGAAAGTCTAGCTGGGCTCCATGAGATCAGCACAGCAACTAGATCTGGGACTCGACAAGATTCGACAACTCCCAAAACTGTTGTGTTTGCAAAGTATATGAGACCTGAAGCCCGACTGAGTGAACGGATCGTGCTACAAATGCTACTAATAAATATAGTCAGTAAACACATCTTCATTGAAACTTTAATATCTTTAATGTGTTCTGGGACTTCGGGCTAAGACTTTCCCAGAGAAGGCAAACATGGCCTCAGCTGTAGCACCACACAGAAAAACAGTGGCCGACATATTGCTTATTGGGAGTATCCTGGACTGGCCGACATATTGGACAATCGAAAGAAAGTTCAGGGAAAATTACCATAGATTGCCATTGTAAGACCTCTTTCAATGAGAAAATATGAGAAAGGCTGAAGGGAAATGGAAGCTTAAGCCGTTAAGCCATTGCTGCCCCTCCACCGGGTGCTTTGTGAGGGACCTAAGGCTGCGGCATTGTCATCAATAAACTTGCGCCCAGATTTCAACCGCATCTTGGCAGGCAGAGAACCGTGAGTCAACAAAAATAATGAGAGTTAATATAACAATATTGAAAATTGTAATATAACATTATATATAATACATGTTGCCCTACAGCATATGGCAGGTGTTGCCTTTCACACCGAACCACTCCTATTCAACAAACATTCCGCTTCCTTGTGCTTTTTTGGCAGCCGCAGCAGTTGAGTGTGTGGCAATCAAAGCTTGCTCCAGACTCAGTCCAGGCAGACTTGTCCAACAGTCCGTTACTCTCCATCCATGCGCCGAAGCCCCCAAACAACTCTGGTACCTGTAAAAAAAGGCTTCAAGCAGCAGGAAAACTATGCCCAGGAATGATTCGTTGGAATATACCACGCTAAAAAGCGAGTAAAAAGTGTGAATAGCTAAGTAACAAGTTAAGTACACTACTGACTAAAAAAATGGTTAGTACTGAACTATTAAGATTACTGGCTGGTGGTTTCAACTGCTCTGAAAAATCTGAGTTCGTCAGTATCATTATTCCCAACTGAATGGAAAATAACATTTGTTCCAAACCACCAATCAGATTATGTTCCGTGTTTTATAGTATAAAACACATTTGACAATCTGATTGGTGGTTTGGAACAATTTTATACCTTAAAAAAAATGGTTGACCGATCCAGCGATCCAGCTGGGCCCCTGGGGCCCCTGGGCTCTTGGAACGTCACTAAGCCGTCACGGTTGAGGTCGGCCTCATCTAGAAACCTGGCGCAGATGAAAAACCTGGAAATCATGGTGGCAAATCGAAACACGATGAAACACGTTAAAAGATGTTAAAAGTAGGGCTTTCACTGATTTAACATATCTAACCATCAAGAAATATCAAGAATACAGGGATTTAACATGATTTAACCATCAAAAGTAGCCGTTTGAAACCTTTCAAAACACAACAAACCACTGGCTGGCGGCTCTGCAACCAAATTTGAGAGTTGAGTCAGCTGAGTGTCGCACCTCTGCCACTTGTCTTGCGCTCGCACATGAACGCCACGCCGGTTCCAGTAGGCCTTCCCATAAATGATAAATGGGGAAATCGACCCATATCTTGTGGGGATGGAGACATGAACAGCATTTCACATCATTTCACCGCATAATGCATATAGAAAAGTATTGGTTCAGATGTGGGTGGAGCACGAGGAAGGGAACGAAGAGAGCGACCGAGTGTGACGAGAGAAGGAGCGGAGTGGGTGGAGGTGGGTTGGACGGTGAGCGGGCCCTTCGCATCACGTGTTTCTCTGTTCGCACCGCTCACCGCCCGTCCAACCCACCTCCGCCCCCCACTTGCGTCTCTCTCTCGGTAACCCTCCTTGTCCCTTTTCGGGCTCCCTTCGGTCGACACGAGTGGTAAGGAGTGGAGTGAGAAGAGAAAGCGCGGCGAGAGTAAGTGACGAGGAGGGTAATGAACGGAGAGAGACGAGAGGTGGACATTGAGACACGGAAGCAGGCGGTATGCAGGGGTTGGAGTCGTCTTGTCAGTGAGGTTCCTTCCGTCTCAGTCTGTTGTCGTCGGCTTCTCTGGTCTCATGGTCGTCTCCTCTCTTCCACCCCAAACAAGGTCACAAGGGTGGATAGCTCAAACCCACTGGTTCCTTTCTCTGTATGATCCATTTGAGGTTTCTGCTGTGAGGGACTCATCCAATACTTGAGCTGTCTGCCGCAACCTCGCAACAGAAGATGCAGTGCGGAAAGCAAGCAATGGAAGCGCTTGCTGACCCGCAATTTGTTGAAAGATGTTGAGACATTGCCACATTTTGTGCGTTGTAACTTTCACTACACTTGAGCCACTTTGATCGGACTCTCATTCCCGCCCTGTAGAATCTGTAGATTCTTCAGGCTCAAGCTCATCATCAGTTCTCTCAGCTGGATGGCCAAAATCCTGCAGTTGACATGGCATGTTTAGCGGGAAATCTTTGCAGTGAAATCAGGGCTACATCATAGATATATATATATATATAGATATTATATATACATCATGATATGGCAGCTTGGGTGGGGTGAGTTTTAGGTACCCTTTCACCACTATCTGAGTGAGACATTCAGGGACCATACGCTAGCAGCTAGCAGCAGTATGTTTATTTTCAGGCATTGGGGAGGTCATGATCTGCCCATGCTCGCCCAGTTGCTTGTCTTTTCTGTTTCAACTTGTCCATTTGGATCCATTTGGCTATGTTCACAACTGCTTTATGGTTTCACCATGACCAAAGCTTGGCTATTGGGATCATCATCCAAGATAGGGTTGAAAATAAACACGAATTCTCAACAGCCAGACTCCTGGGTGTATCACTTACAGATCTCGCTGACTCAGAAAAACAAAGAGGTCCTCCACTACCTCGCTCTTCCTTGCACGGCTGGACCTATGCCTCGAACGTGACATGGCTAAGGATCAAAACTGGTGTATCCTCCATGGCTGGTTTAGTATATGGGTGCTCATCCCCCCAAATATATTGATTAAATTATATGTATCATTATATTGTATAATTTAATGGTAATTATTAATATGTATTAATGATCGGGTTTGACATGGTTTGACCCATCCTCTTTGGAAGTTGCCTGAAATGTGACTTATGCTAGGACTGGCATAGCCATTTTTTTTTGATACTGTACTGGCTCACTGTTACGCTGCAATTCCTCCTGAGACATCTGAGACTTGCGCATCGAGTATTGAGCGCCGTATTTCCTGAGCTTTCCGAAAGAACTCATGGATAGGTGCTGAAGGTCCAACTTGAGAGTGGATTCTTCAGTGCTTTGGACCCAGAAATTGCACAAAAGTTGCAGAACAAGATTCAAGGGAAATCGACATCTTGGAGGTTACCATTGCGATCATGCGGCTTTTTTTCAATGCTGCTTGCATCTGCTTGCCATGCAACTCTGCCTTCTCTCTGGAGATCCAGTCTAATCTGGGTTGGTCTGAAACAATTGCACTTAATTGTCCCTTGGAGAATCGCCAATTCATATCTATGGCATGTCAATCCTCACTCGAGAATTCGCAGGGCTACCTTTAAAAATTGTTTGCTGCATTCTGCATCATTCTGCTATATTAGTGCCATATTCTCCCTCAAATTCCAAGAAACTTCTCCATCAACAGCTTTTCCTTGACGCCATCGATCTCCCTTCTGCCTAGTTTCCGCATGAAAATCATGAAGTCGTAGACCTGCGGGGCAGGTAAGAGCAAACAGCTCAGCCGGCCCAGGCACTCAGTCACTGTAGCATTCCAAAGGGCCCCAAAACTTTCCGCCAAGCTTGAAGAAGAGCAACTACATTAGTTACTGTGCACATGTCACAGTAATTCATAGTATGTCCCCAAAAAAATGTCTCCACGCAGGAACCAGCTCCGCCTCAACTCGGCCAGAGCGATGGGCATCTAGGGCCCGCCAAAAGCCGCGCAGGTCCTACGCATTCATACCATCCAACACTTCGGATTTATATGGGTTTATAATACATCTGAAAATGGTCTAATTACCCCAGCATCCTATGCTTTTGAAACTCATGTTCCCCATCAACCAATCATATGTTGGTTGGTGTTTGTTCCACATGTTTCTCCGATTTTGGGACAGTGTTCCATTTCTGAGGCAGCGAGGTTTGGCACCTTATTTGGTGCCCAAGAAGGTGCCCAATGTCTTCCCCTGGGGCCCCTGGGGTCCTGTTCTGGCAGCTTCTGGGGCGGAATGGACAAGCCAGGAAAGCCCCTCAGTTTGGATCAGGGTTTGATCAGGATCACTTGACGACCCCCATGAATCCCATGACAAAACAAAAAAAACGCAAAGTAATATATAATCGATCTATATTGATGATATTGCTGTTAGATTTGCGAGATTTGTGTTTTTTCTTATTTCTCTGTTTTCGTTTCTTCTCTTTCTATTTGATTCTCCTGGTTCAGAATTCTTGTGTTTCTTCTCTTCTTGTTAGATCACCCCATTGTTTTCCTCGTTCGAACCAAATCACACAGCAGCTAAGCTAGAGAGGCTGAGGGTAGCTGAGGTTCCAAACTTTCGGAAAACACCCAGCATCTCATCATAGGTCATGCTACCCGAACCATCTTCATCGCAGGCCTCATGTGGCTGGTCATGTCCATCAAAATGTAGCATGGCAAAAAATGGAAACCAGCCGAATACAACCGCGAAATGCAATGACCATGGTGATAGTTAGTATATGATATGAATTGATATTATAATATAATATAATATAATATATATTGATATATGCTAGGCAATGTATGCATCAACATCTAAGAATGCCACCAGAAAGACCTTGTACCAATTTCCAGCCGCCCGATGCCACCTAAAGGTCTCAGGTCTCGTGGCTGCACAACGCTGGAAGCCGCTGGAACTTCTTCCGAGCTCGCGGCTTTTCCGCTGCCACGTTCAAGATCTGAATCACTTTGGAGATGCCTGAGATTTAGCAGATTTTTAGAGCACCCCCAGCTGAGCCGAAGCACAGTTGCGCAGAAACTCTACGTAAACCAGGGCATACTAGGGTTGAATAGCATAGACAACTAATATCAACTAATTGCACCTTTTCATCTGGTAATTACATGTAATTACCATAGATATCCATAGATCTTGTCTCATTTGTTTCCCCTCGGTGTCACCAAAAAACACCTCTGATCCGACCAGGCTCTCCAAGCCTTGTTCGTCGAGTTCCGGCCAAGTGTCCACCTGGATAGGGTTTGGGTCAATGGCTTAGGGGTTGGAGAAAATGATTGGGATTTCCATGAATGATACACCACTTGTTAATGGATGTTAATGGTTCATTACCCAGCAATTTTGTTGATAAACGTACATATTACATATAACAGATTTATATGGTGAATTCACATGAATAGACCATCAATAATTGCTGGATAATTGTTTGGATAATTGTTGGGACCACATTCTGAGCACTTCAAAAGTCCAACGGACGACCTCAAGGCGAAATGAAACATGGGCAACTCATAGGTGGCCAAATTGAGGGATTTCCCTGTCCCCAAAAATGAACGAAAACCCTGTTCCTTCGTCGATCGTCGAATTTATTTCCCTCCTGGTAAGGACACTAATGTTTTTTTTATATAATACTCTTAGCGACAATGTTTTTTTTAATAATACTTTTAGCGACAATTAATATAATTAATCATTTGATCCGCGGTTGGAAAGTTGTCGGAGAAAAAACATAATAGACAAACAGACAAACCGTAGACAAACCATAGACAAACCGTAGAACGATTTCTTCATTTCCGTAGAACTTCCGTAGAACCCAGGTATAGCCAAAAACGCTTGAAAATTGGGTTTACAACCTGCAGATTTTGAATCAATAGCAATCAATAGCCTTGATCGAATTACAGAAATTTAATCTTTGGGACCACGTATGTCAATGTGACGTGTTTGGAAGATTATCGGGAAAATCATGGAAAAATAAGATGAAACGCCCATAACTTTGGGCATAGCGCACCTGCAAACGATACACCGCATTGTCAAAGTTTTCGGCCAAGGCTTCGCCGGTGCAATCGCGATCCACCTGGCGATTCTGACGGAGGAAGATCTTGAAGGAACTTCGAATCAGTCACTGGAAATTCACCGGTCATCGATGATCATTTATAATATCACGTATAGATAATTATATATATATATAATTATATATATATATACATACGACTGGCATGGTTCCGATTTCTAATAGCTTGTAAATGCTTATAATATCTTATAGTTATCCATTGTAAATTGTAATCCATTTGTATATCATCCTTATATGTGATAATCCGCCTTCTTGCAAGGATGCGCCTCCCGCCAAAACGCCAACAGCTCATTTGATGATGGTGGCACCCGCATGATCTGCAACGATCGACTGAGATCAGGGGCTCTAGTGGGGCTTCATCGTGATTGCAGTTGCATCAAGGTCCAAGCTATTGGGCTACTGCATGGAAAATAGCTCTCCGTCTATGATCTGTATGGTTAACGGACGTCTTCGATGGGATGCTTCGATTCAAAGGATGATGTTCTGACACGCGCAAAAACATCGAGAACACGTTTTCAAAACCCCATTATATGATAATATCTAAATCCCGTTGAGGCATGCGCACTCTCCTCATTTTTGCCCTACACCAAGCATTCTAACTGCGGATGATCCTTCCTCAAATCTTCAGCAGTCCAAAGTTTCTGCTGGAAAACGATGGTTGAATTGGGCCAGCTGCCCTCCTTCAGCTTTTTGGAAATGCGATCCACCTGTTTGTGTGTGTCCGCAGGCTCCACAGCATGGTGCGCGGTGTAAAAGAGCTTGGCTGCACCGTGTTTGTAGAAGCGACGATCAGGCGAAATGTTGGCACAGCCATGCCCTCCCATGGAACATCTATTTCCATACTTGGTCTTCCACTCAAAGAGAAATTGAAACTCCAAGGGGTCCGTAATGTCAAATTTGCACCATTGTTTGGTGGCTTTTTCTTCCCAGAGTCCCACATTTAGCAGGTCCTCATCCTCTGGGATCTCCACCACCCTCAGTGCAGGAGCTTTGACCTTTCCAGACGTCACTTTGGGCAGCGTCTCATCACGGAAATTCCGGCGCAGCCATCGTCCGATGAAGGGCAAGGCCCAGTAGGTCCAAGTGGGATGAGCATGGCCCCAGCGGAGGGTCTGGAGGCTACAGACATCGTTGGGGCAATATCTACTCCACCAAATACCCAAATCTTTGGGTCCACGATCCAGGAAGTGAACCGGCATGATGGGAAGGGAATATTTTTCCTGAGAAGTTGTTTTCTCAAATCATCTCAACTTCTGAACGTTGAAAGCACATCGTATCTAAGAAGCACACAATAAATCACAAATATGTCACAAAAGTAGTAGCGCGCACTTGAAAAGGTAACAGCTGGGGGTTCAAATGCTGCAATGCGTGCGCCAACATTCCAAACAGTGCAAGTGCAACTAGCAATCTGAAATATTCATGAAGCAATCCGAAGATATCAAGCCCGATTCAAAAACAAGATTCAATAAACAAGTTCAACACAACACCTCCCATATCCTCCCATGCAGCCATAGCAAGAGTCTCCACATTGTAGAAACATGTGAAAACCAATAGGGTGGTAAATTTGGTACAGCCAAGGAAAATCAAGGAAAGAAAACACCTGGAAGTTCCTGGAAGCGCCAAGCGATGCCAAGCGTCAGTGATTTCTCTCTCCGTCATCTCAAAGAGCCTGTCAACTCCAGGAGCCACAAACTGATCTGAATCCAATCCGACACCCGCCAAAGCCCTGGAAAAAAGGAAGGCGCGCAACTTGTTGAAGTTAAAGCTGCGTTTCAGATCTGTATGCATTGGCCTCCCATGCAGCAAAATCAAGCGTGGAAATCGCTTGGGCGTGAGCTTTACAGAACTCGTCATGCCAAAATTCACCACGATGATCAGCTCCTCCGAGAACATGTGTACAGATCGAATCAGTTCTTCTGTCATCTTGGCATGTTTGCCTGCTGGAGGACCAGCAAAATAATTCAGGAAGGCTCGCTTGGTCCACCCTTTCATGGCACCGCTCTCTGCAAAATTCTTCCGGTACGCTTCCCGAAAGCGTGGATCCACGCGGGCTTCCATCAACTTTTGCATGGTGCTCAGCGACATTTTTCGCTCGCCAGCTTCCTCACCGTCCCAATCTTCGGAGCAGAAAGCTTCGGTGGCCATCCACTGCTTTTGGCCCCAAGGGCTCTCCGAGTCCTCCCGCCAAAGATCACAGGAGGCCACCAAAGGTGCTCCCATCTCTTCCGCCTCCTGATCCTCGAGCCACATGGGGTTCAAACCGCGATGGAAGGAACTACCAGGGATGACCTCACAATCACAGTGCTTTCCGTCGTCACCAGGTAGCACATCCTCAAGCACTTGCACGCTGCACTTCCTAGGCTTGAACAAATAGATCTTGGGTGGGGATATGATGGATATGTGGGGCTGCACAATTGCCACGGTCACTGGGTGCATTTAATGTTCCATCCAGAAAGGTTGCATTTAACGAATTCGAGACATAAATTAAAAGCCCAGTTGCACAGTCTGAAGTTCTCCTGCTTTCTTGGGCTTGATGATCAGCCACTTCTCCTTGTTGCCCCATCGCACATTCCCTTGGCAAGTGCAATCTTGCCACTGAGCTGCACAAAAGACCCACTGGGCTTTGCCAGTAGGGGCAGAGGCTTCAGGTGGCGCCTCCTCAGGCACCTTTTCAACCTCTTTCTCGGTGTCCTCTGCTTCAGGTGATTTCTCAACTTCCGCAGGATCTGAATCCTGGCCCTGACTTTGCGCCTTGCGCAACGATTTCACAGGCTTGGGCGGCTTGGGCTTGAACTGGACCTCCTCATCACAACTTAAGACTTGTTGTTGTAGGGCAAGCCATCCCAACACAAAAACTGCAAGGAAGGATCCAATGTTGTACTTCACGCAACCGCCAAGTTTGGTGGGCTCACGACGGGCCATTGGGTAACATCACGGCTGGCAAAGACCGCCCGTTTTGGGCGTTCTGAGCAATCGTCTTGCTGGCAAAAAGAAACAGATGCACATGACCACCTGATTGTCTGCCACAAATGGGACATTCAGGCGTGGAATCGCATAAGTGTTATTGTCAGAGATCTTATTCGACCAACTTGAGAAAACAATGTGCGAAAATGTCCTGGCGCCTGGAGAAAATTCAACAAACGTGTATGGATCTGGGGCAAATCCATGTGCAAAGTCTGGGGTACCCTCGTGGAGTGCCGGCCCTGAAAATCAAGTAACGCAATTTTACAGACAGAGTACCCCAACACGGCGATAGATACCATTATCTTTCATGACCCTCCACTAAACATGCCGATTTTTCCGTTGCGACATTGGATGCGGATAAATTGAAGGGTAACCACACCCCCTCGTCGAGCCTTCCCTATGGTCTTCTTAAAGTCTGCAAATTTGAGCCGCCCTTGCCTGGCCGTCAAAGTGTCCGAAGTCAGGCTGGTTTTGGAGATCTTCCCACCATCCTCCTACCATCATCTACCATCTATGTCTGCCATGGCTTGGGGGCCTGGTCGTCGCAGTCTCATTCGCTGCTTCAATGAACTTCGGCCACAACTGTGTGCTGGCAGATCTCTCTACCTTGGATGGCTCCCAAAATCTCCCAAATCACCAGGGGGTAGGTTGGTAAATACCTTTCGAAGTGTCCACAGTCAGTCATGATAGTCATGGGCCACCCATAAATCGAAGTTGATCACCATATTCGCCCATGAAGATGTTGTATGATCATGAATTGTTTGTTGTAACCCCACCTTTGGATACCTTTGGACCGATGGCCCATGATGGCCCTGGCCCAAAACCGAGCTCGCTGCGACTCCAGGTTTGTTGAGCCACGCATGGATGGTGAGGGTCAGCTCTCTAGCGATGGACATGAGGCGATGGGCCTTGTGGAAAATCTATCATATATGGTTATTTAATGGGAAAATCATCTATAAATGGGAAAATCTATCATATTATTTATAGATTTTCCCATTTATAGATGATTTTCCCAGCTAGAAACCTCCATAGCCATGGAAAATCCCCAAAATAAATGGAGGTTTCTAGCTGGGAAAATCATCTATTTCTATGGGCCATCTATACCATGGCTATGTTAAATAACCAGAGGGTATATGATGTGGACCCTGGAACTTTAAAAGAAAACTTAGAAAACCAAATCGATGATGAAGATGAAGAAGATCAAAATGATGAAGAAGAATATGATGATGAGGAGGACGATGGTAAACGATAATGGTGATGATGATGTGGATGGTAAATCGTTGGACAACATCAAAAACAGAAGGCATCATCAGCTTTCAGGCCGTTTAAGGCTCAAACGTCCACAGCCTTGGCCCAGAGTGCCAAGGTTTCTCTGAAAATATCGCGCCAAAAAAGGTGCCCCAGAGTTGATCGAATCCTTCCCCATTAAAAATGGCCACAGATCGCCATAAACCGTAGTATCTTTGGAAGAACCCGTGTTCATGTCTACAGACCCCTTTAGTCCAAATGGCCTCTGGTGACATCTTAGACGACAAGGGAGCAGCAACCACACATCACAACATCAACACGCTGCAGGTGTTGAAGACCATTCACATCTTGCTGCAACCCGAGGGACAGGAGCATCCACCAGCATCTGCTTCCACTCTTCCTCCTCCTGATTACAACACAGTCGCGAGTCTGTGCGAATGTTGGAAAAGAGCAACTCCTGTGGACATATTCGCATGCTGGGGTACAAGCAGACATTGTGGACAGTTGGTTGCCTCAGTTGAGCAACAAATGGGCACTGCAGGTCACTGCAGGTCACGTGACCTGCAGATCTCTAGAAGCACAACAGCAACCCAAACGAAAACATCTAAAGCACAAACGAACAGGCTCAGCAAATCCAGGCGTCAAGTGAAGGCTTACCCTCTGGTAATTTAACATAGCTATTGAAAATGGCCATTTATAGTGGATTTTCCCATTAAAAATGGCATAGCTATGTTAAATTACCAGAGGGTAAGCCATCTTAAAAACCAGCTCAAAGAACTTCTTGTTGCCAAGCAGCTTTGCAACTTCTGCTTTGACATAGAGTGAGGTTGCACGCCATAGCGCCGCATAAAGACCTTGCGCTATTCTTGGCATTCACCATCATCCGAATCATCCGCCATACCGGCAGGTAGAAAAGGAATCTCAGAATGCATCATGATAATCCCCAATAATCCCCAATATATTGGGTAGATTTGGGTAGTATATAGCCTCCTACAGGGGCGTCTTTGGCCGCCACTGCCTGGCCACACTGAGTTCCACACCATGAAGGAACCCACAGTGACACTGCTTGATTTGCCTTCATCCAAGGCCTGGGTCAGTCCCGAAGTTCATCATGAAGCAAATCGGCCGGCTGCCATCTCCACTACCAATATCTACCAATCAGAAGTTCGATCTAAGGTGCTTCAACCGCAGCTGGTTTTCTAGATTTGGGTCAAAACCTATGTCGCTGTCAAGTTTGGGAAGGTATGCCGGGAAGCTGTCCTTCCACAAACCCTTCAGCTCGAAGTCTGAAACTTGCTCACTGGAAAGGGCCAGGCCATACCTTGGTCCAGGCTCATCGCAACCCGGTAGTCTTGACTCGACCTTGTGTACTGTATGAATATTGAATATATGTATGATATCACATGTATACGTATATATAGTTTGAATAGATATCAATATGCTGAAGACTACGTAGAGATATACATGACTACATGACTATGGTCCAAAACCCTGGAACCCTAGTGAAAATCAACATGAAAACATCATAAACAAGCCAGCAAGAGTGTTCACCCATCCAAATCATCCAACACTAATCTATCAGCAGCATCCCTTCTTTTCGAGACAGCCGTCACTGTTCCAAACGCCCGGTTGCCGTTTGCAATTGCCGTTTCTGGTGATCATCCGCTCGCATCGCGGCGACCGGAGCTTTGTCAAATCTCGGGGACTGTTGGTGTCTTCAAAGGACTGACGCAAATTTAATATGTGGGTAAATTATAGTATCTTATGGGGAATTCACATCATTGCAGCTGCCCTAACCATACCATCTCAAAATGAATCAGCTCCTTCTGGGTTACCCCAATCACCATTTATTTACTCCTGAAATAGGAACAATAGCTGGAAATAAATAGACATACTTCCTCCAATCCTAACCATCTCCATAAGAGAATTCATAATCATGATTACATATAATTACGAGAATTCGCATAATTAATCATATGGGTATGGATCAATACCTATAATACATTTTTAGTGGGATGAACATCCATTTACCAGCTATTTTGATGTTCACCAGGGGTACAAGGTTTTGACACACTGCCATATCATTTCCTACCTCCCACATCTAACCGTTGGCCAAGATGGCTCTCAGCTCCTCAGCAGATCCTACGACGTCATCGAAGTTGCACCGGAGATCTTCTTCGGCGGCACCGCCCCAGCGAACGCCAACCTGGGGCCACTGGAAAGACTGAAAAAGGGGGCGAATATCAAGGAACCCATCGCCTGAAAATCAAGGGGGGTGATCATCCAAAATGATGGTTTAATATGGTTTAATATGGTTTAATTAATATGGTTTAATATGGTTTAATATGGTTTAATATGGTTTAATATGGTTTAATATGGTTTAATATGGTTTAATATGGTTTAAACCTAATTTAGCGATCCTGAAATGGCAATCAACTGAGCCAAGAAATACTGAATAGCACCATTTCTCCAGGGTTTGTTTGGGGGTATTCAATTGATAAAGATCAGATATTACAGGGATTGATTGGCATTGGCATTCTCTGGTGTCCTTTCAGAGTTTGAAACCATCCGGTGTATGGGGGTCGATAGTTTGAGCCACAAACATGCAATTACATGCAATTACTATAGTAAGTTCAAGGGCTTGAACTACCCACATTGGTGATTCAGCAATGCATAGTTCCGTAATACAAAAAAAGGATCAAAAAGGGGCATCTACAGTGGAAGCCATGAGACAGCCTCATGTCTCCCTGGTTCTACTACTTGTGACTCCTTCCCTCAGCTCCCAGCCAAGACACACTGTACAAGCCTGCTGCTTTGGCAGCCTTGCCATCACCAGGAGAGTCTCCCACATAGACGCAATGATCTGGGCGCAGCGCCAGAAATTCGCAGCACTTCAGCAGGCCTCCAGGTGCAGGTTTTGCTTCGGGCACTTCATCAGCCCCCAGCTTCGTCCGAAAGGTTTCTGCCCAGCCATGCGTTGCCAGGACCGCACGGACGTAAGCACCACATGCATTGCTCAACGCACCAAGCACAACACCTTCTTTGGCCAAGTCTTCCAGCAAAGTCTGCAATCCTGAAAATAACGGCACAGTTGCTGGTGACACCAGCTGCACATAGTGCTGATCAAATTCCTCTGCCAATTTCACTCCAATATCGGCCTCAACATCCTTTGTAGCATGGAATGCTAACCTCTTGGGAGTTGTTAGCCTTGTGGCTTCCCTATATTCATCTTCCGACACTTCCTTAAAACCATTCTGTTTCAGAACCAGGTTGGTATTGCTCCAAGCCAAATCCGCAGAGTTCACCAGTGTCCCATCGATATCCCACAAAACAGCAGACCAGCGATGACCACTGGGAGCACTCCGGCCCCCCTCTCCAGCCATTGGAATCCGGGAATTTCTGGGAAGCAGAAAAGCCACCGAAACAAAGGAAATTACAAAGGCGACGCCAAGTGATCCATGGATCTGCGATGGCTTCGAAAAACGAGGGCGTCTACGGTTCTGGGCTAGCCTACAGCGGCTAGGGCCCATCACGTCAAATTTGAGCCCATCTCTCAATATTCAGATGAGACTATGAATATGTGAAATGCAAAACATATTTGCCTGTTCTACGGGTCATTGTAACATGCTCAACTATATTATATGTTGTATTGAAGATGATGGTGGAGAGAACTACCAAACTATATGACAATGCATAATATATTATAATAATATATAACTATAATGTTTCTCCCTTTTATACATTCATAGCAAGTTTGTTAAAATTATTATAACTATCATGATTCATATACACATAATATATGTATATTAGATACACCTATAACTTATATCATTGCATAATTGACTATCATGTGTTTATCTTCTTTGAGTCATGACTTAAACGTCTCATGAAAAACCCTTGAAAACCCCAAGAATCTGATGGCTGGGATGGGCTGGTTGAGGGCCGTGCCACATATCTCGCAGAACCTCTCTGAGACTACCGAAGCTCAGTCTTCCAGATTGTGCCTTCGCGTCTGGCAGAACATGACATGGCACAACTTCAGGGGAATACATGGGAATACATAACAGATATAACTGCGATATGTGACTAATATGTGTTTTTTTTTTATGTAACTGATATAACCGTGACTGAACTTCCGCGAATATTTTTACGATGACAACTCCCAGCACCGCAGCACACACACACACACACCCTGCAGGATATGCAGGTGCCACAGGTGCCACAATTTCAGCATCGGCATGCGGATGTCGCGGCTGCCTTGTCCACCAGGTTGAAGATCTTGTACCAGTTGTTTCCCCCACTTCGCAACCTCTTCACCTCAGATGTCACTCTGAATGCCATTGCCGGCCCAACTCATTGTGGAAGCCATGTTTTTGCCATGCTTTTGCCACATGTATTGAACAGTTCTGGAATTTTGATGACTTTTGGACATGATGAAAAATTGATGATCATGGAGAATCCAACGGGAATGATCAAGATCGTTTGAACTACCAAAGGGCAACATGTTTAAAACTCTGTTGAAAACGACTCCCTTGGTTCGCCATCTGTGGCTCCCAGCAGCGGACGCATTGATCAGCGTTGCCTCGGCGGCCGTTCATCCCATGTTCGGAGGCTGAACCCAATGCATTGTGCATCAATCTGCACATCCATACTTATCCATAATACTGGCCCATGCTGTCATCCATACTGGCCCATACTACATTGTGCTCATAATACGGGTGTGTCCAAAACTAGGGTGATAGCCCTAAATCTGGTGGTGAATCCTGATTTTGGACTGAAACTTGTCACTTTGTAGGTGATGGAATGGCATGCATTGGTATATATATATATAGGCCCCCCATAATCTCGCCAACCCGAGGGCAGATCTGCAACCAGGAGACAAGTCGTTCCAGTTCCGCCTGGTCCAAATCGGGCCATGACTCCAGTTGCACCTGGTACCTGGCGATGGAATGGGATGTGGGGTGCTTCGGCCTAGGGTCAGGGGCACAGGCCCAACATCATGCCCTTGGCGGTAATTTCACCGATGGATGAAGGATCCTGACATGACCAACTGCTGAAATGACTTGGAAAATCAAGTCATGATGACTTGAAAATACTTGAAATGTGGTAGTCTCGAGAATCCGCTGAATTTAATTTGGGATTCCCGATCGCAGCCCCTGTCCAGCTTGTCCCACAACACGCGGATGTCTTCTTTGGACCTGAGCATTGCACAGGCTAAAGAATACGGCTTGGGGCTCGAATCTGACTGCTTCCAATGTGCCGTGCACCTGCCCCACATGTTTTTTTTGCTAGAGCCGCATTTTATCCACTGAGCATGGATGGGAAGGTCCTGCTCGTCCAAACCATGGAAGGTGCCGCAGACAAGACCTCAAAGCAAGAGGGCTATGGGCCATGAAAGTCAATCCCATCCAAGCCCCCTTTCTGCATGGAGAAAGAACATTTGACATGACATGACCCCGGACTTGATAACTCTGTCAAATTTGGATGGCTGAAAACTTTGACAAAACATTCAAAAACATTCAAGGCCATCAATTTTGCACCAAGGAGCCAAGGTGCCAAGGTGCCTATGGCAAACCATCAGAGGTGGCGCCTTGTCGCATGCCGTGTTAGTCGGATGGTTACAGGAGGCAAATGCAGCGGTACTATATACATTATTATCAATAGACTAGACTATGGTCATAGCACGTCATAGTCGATAGTTATGTTTCTAGTATGAAATTGTTATTTGATTTCTGCATTATCATTATTGTTATTCGCTTTGTTCTTATTCTCATTACGGTGCGTAAGAAAGGTAAGGTGCAAGATACATAAGTATGTGACTACAGTATGTGACCTATAATATTATATAATATATATCATAATTACTACTTTAATAAATACTATATATATATCACATATCATTATAATAAATATATATATATAATAATATGAATATAATAGATTGATATACATTTATTTATTTATTTATTTATTTATGTATTTTATTTATTTATTTATTATTTATTCATTTATTTATTTATTATTTATAGAAGTTTTCTACCTACGTCGGTTCTGGGCTTCGCGCGTTTTACGTCCACCCACTTGCCATTGACGTGATGTTTGTCCTCAGCTAGCGCTGAAGGCCATTGGCAAGGCCAGGCACTGAGGTAACCACGTCCAATTCACCGGTGGTTTGAAGATATTTGGGTTACCATAGGTTAGTACCATACTGGGATATTTGGTTACTAACCAGTGGTCTGAAGATACTGGTTAGATCTGGTTAGTACCTGTTAGTACCATACTGGGACATGCTATCTCTGGTATCTTGACCATCCTGGGATTGAAGTACCATACTTAACAATCGTTGAAGAAATAAGGATAATTAATGATAATTACCTAAGTTTACTTAACCATACTTAACCACCATCCCATTTTGGCCATTTTGGGTACAAACGACAAAGAGAACGCTCTGCACAGCGGCATTGACACGAAGAACTGCGGCCACACCGTCAGGACTCTCGAAGACGATAAATCCAAAACCACGAGGCTTGCCAGTGATCTTGTCCGTCATGATGACCTTGCAAAGTTAAAAAAGCGAAGAAATAAAGATCCCAAAACCATTTGAATCCATTTGGAATAGAATTCCAATGAATTCCAATCCTGCTACTTGTAGTATGCTCTTCTCGAAGTGGTTTATCTTAAAAGAAGCTCAGGATTCTCCGCAATGCCCTACTTTGGAAGTTCAAATGACATGAGCCCTTTGGATTTTTCTGGATTCTGGTTGGTAGGGAAGCACCACCCACAAACGTGCCCAGAAACTCTGCACGTGCCCCGGCAAGTCATCTTGCCACAAGACCAACAGGATCACTACACAAAAAATCTGAAAACTTCATAGGTGTTCCGTTGTCTCATCAGTGAGTCGGTCATGATTAATGTGGTTGGTGAATTCAACCCATATTGAGAAATTGGGATCATCCCATATCTATATGGAACATCAAACCATGGCGGCCATGGCACTGCATCGGTGATCTGGCCGTACGCCGCGAAGCTGCTCATTAACTGATCCACACTGGTGTTGAGATTCAGGCCACCCACAAAAATCTTGCAGTCATCGAAATTACCCTTCCTCAAACGGCGGCTGGGGGCCACAATGGGCCACAGATCTCATCATGTTCAAGTGAAAAAGTCAAGAAGCACTCCAAATACTCCCAACTCTAGACCATTCAGTGTTGCACCCTCGCTGAGAGGCGTGAAAACATCTTGAAGCCGGTGCCGGTGGTTTTTCAATTTCTTCAAAGTTGGAAAAATGTTCAATCCCTTTTCTGGTTCCATCTTGCCATATCTTGCCCTAAGCTTCTGCATCCGGTTCTGGCCCGGATTGGCTGAGAAAGTCAATGGAGGTAGCGTGGGCGTCGGCGCTGGCGCAGGATTGCTGGACGCAAAGGTGGGAATAGCCATATTCACCTCAGGTCTGGCATCCAAAAATGATCAAAAATGGTGGGTTTCAACAGTTTCAACCTCCAAAAATAGTCACCCAGACATAATTAGGATCATCACCCAGCACTCCCCGCAGACTAAGTTCTGCACCAAGGTGTTCATGCTTTGAGGCGCAGTCGGCTCCACATATGAAGGCGCCAGAAAAATTCCCAAGACTGTCAGAGTGACCAAACCATCACCCATGGCCAGCAGCAAATCCTAGAATTTCAATCGCTGCAGCACTTGCATGTTGAGGATGGTCATAATATGTCATAATAAATTATTCATCATTCTATCATTCTATCATTCTATCGATCTATCGATCTATCGATCTATCGATCTATCGATCTATCGATCTATCGATCTATCGATCTATCGATCTATCGATCTATCGATCTATCTAGCTATCTAGCTATCTATCTATCTATCTATCTATCTAGCTATCTAGCTATCTATCTATCTATCTATCTAGCTATCTAGCTATCTAGCTATCTATCTATCTATCTATCTATCTATCTATCTATCTATCTATCTATCTAATCCCCCGGAACTTGATAGCCGCCCAGGGTTATGACTTGGGAAGCAGCTACGACTTTACACACTTAGGATGAAGAACATCAAAGTCTTGATCTTGATGCTCTCCACCTCCGACCCTGGCAATGCCATTGACCAAGAATCAGCACTTGGAATAAATCGCCATTGCTGCGCCTCCTCATTGTAGAAGAAGGACAAAGCCTCCTATATCAAGCTGCGTGTGATCTTGACAAAATTAATTCATTGCGTGCCTTGACAAACCCAACTTCCGGTCCTTCACGGTCTTGTCAGCGGTTCGCGTGGTATATTCGACAGCTTCTCGCCAGAGCCCACCACAAACGGAGCGAAGCAAAGGATAGTCCCACGAACAGGGACTGTTCTTTGGCAAGACCTCCCACAGCCGATACCTCCAGGGAAAATTGTTGTCTTGGCTGTTGAATCTCAAGTGCTCATTGCATTTGCATGCGTTTGCCAATCTGTGCTGATGTGTCGCGAAAGCAATCACCCGGCCAAACTTCGAGAAGTCCCTTCAACAGCTTCAGAACCTTCACTATATCCCATAGGATCCATGTATGGTATATATGCTAACATTTGGGGTATATTGATGGTAAATGTTTCCATATATAGCAGCACCATGGATCCTATGGGTATGGAATTTATCAATTGATGTTTCATTGGAAAGCACACTGTGACACTGTGAAATCCTACATGTGGCGGCCGGGCTCAGTTCGGCCTCCAGCGTTTAAACCAAGGTGAAGGTACAAGCCGTTCTTGCCCCCGATCAATCAGATGAGGTGCCACACCACCCAAGTTGCGCAGCATGCGTTGCTCCTGTGGGCCATTTTGGCGCTCCATCATTCATTGGAGATTTGTAACCCTGTTGCTAAACTTGGCTGGTGATAGCTTCGGGTCCATACATGTCCATACACAAGCTGTTGGAAGAACGTGAGACATAAGCCAGAACAGGGCGAACCTAGAAACGTCAAACCATGTCAAACCAAGCAAACGGCCAAACTAAACTGGCCGATTCAGCTGAACGCATAAGGCACATACCACCTGACCAGACTCAGATCGGAACCTGAAATGGTTTTTCATCAAAGCCCATGCCCTTGTTAGTTCGGACGTTCTCCCTACGCAACGCTGGGGGGACGGCATTAGCCCATGCCATCCCATCAGCACTTGATTGTACCAATTGTACCTGTAGTCTGGAAGCCATCGGTCCTTGTCCAAACGGGCAAGGCGTCGTTCTTCAACGCGATCTTCCCGCTTTCTATCCTCGTCCTCTTCTGGCTTCTCATCTGCCTCTATTGGTGGGGAGATGTTGGGAGTACTAGCTTCAACCACCGACTAAGTTACTGCAGTATCTGTAATACTATGTAATAATTATTACCAGGTGATTTAGTGATTCACCTCATGTTGGTCATATTTGATCATAGGTTTGGATGTGAATGATGAATAATCTATTTGATGTGCATGCATGCCCCCAACCACAAAAACACAACAAAACAATCCAATGCAAACGTGTAGGTGGTTCACTTCAAACGGGGCTGGCCTGCGTGACGTCAATCTTGACGCCGTTGACTACGTGTGACTCTTCCAGCACCCATTCGATCATCATTTGCTTGGTGTTCTTCTTACCTTTGTAGTAACCTTCGGGCTTCAGCGTGATGAAGCCCATTCCACGATATTGTTTCTTACCTCGACAAAAACCGGCCAGGTTAGGCTCGACCCTCTGAAAAGTGAAGAAAAACAGCCTCTGGGAATTTAACATAGCTATGGAAAATGGTTCCTTTATAGATGACTTATATTGACTTTTTACTAGTAGAAATGGGGATTTTCCATAGCCATGTTAAATTAAATGAAAGGAGGGTAACGGCGCCCCCAAAACCAGCTGCAGCTAAGAAAGTCTGGATGCGTTTGTCCATGAGCACGTTGCAGCTCCTGAGGTTGGGGACCAGAATCTAATCGATCTGAAACCAAGAGAGGCTCAGGCCCAAGATCATTGATTTAAATTGATTTAAGGGAATAATTTACACGAAAAACCCAAGATGTATTTGATGGGGAAAATCCGGGGACCATGGTTTCTTGCAAATTTTCCCTTAAACTAATCCATTCACCAAACCAACCCCCCTATATCACCCGGGGGAAGCTACGAGAAGCTACGAGTACTGAGGCATATTGTTCTGCATCCATATTAGTAATGGCCATGGCCGAATTGGCTGATCCAACAACCACCCTGGGACCCAAATCCAATCTCCGATTTCATCTTCATGGGAAGCATCAAGATTTCGCCGTATCGCTTGAAATGCGACTGGATTTTCCAATCATCCAAATCTCCAGTGTTCTTCAGGAAGAAGCGCTGCGAGTCTCCATTGGCCTGGCTGAAGATCGGAAGTGCAAAATACTCTTGGTATGCCAAAAGGCTATACTGTATAGTATATATTCTGCTTGAACACATTTATAATATATGTGTGTGATATAAATATATATATATAATGTGTGTGTGTGGGTGTAAGACTATATTGAACTATATTGATAGAGATTATAATATAGAGCTTCTCTGCAGCATCCCAATAAATCTCCTGTACTTACAGCAACTTCTGGTTCAAGCTTGAAGTCTGAGAAATCAAGAACATAAAGATTCTCCACTTGAGGTTGCAGTTGGGGGTGGCAAAAATGACCAAAAAAGTATAACTAATGGCATAACCGGCATAACTATATGGTATAACTCGTATGATTATAACACATTATAACATATATTAATTATATAATTATATAATCATATTGTAACCCCCACCTAAGGGATGATAACCCCCATCCATTGGGCCCACCTCGCTCTTTGTCTTCTTCCTGTCGCGACTGCGACTGCGACTCCTAGGCCGCTCGATAGCTGAATCGTCCAATTTGGGAAGAATTCTGACACCCAACCGACACATGTGAACTAATCGACATAATCATACATCATGTACCTATATCTAGCTTTGATGTATAGCTTTCATGGGGTGAAGGCTTCAATCTTTCCGCAACGTCGACGCACTGCAGCGTGTCCTGCTTCTGTCCCTGCAGTCTTCCCAACAGCGGCGACGGATATGGGTGAAGAGAGCTCCTAAGCTGGACCCCCCCATTGGCCCCCGGTGCATTCGAAATGTTCCCTCCAATATCCTTTAATTTACCTAAACTCTGCCAGATAGAGGGTTGGAATCCCGTTGGAAAACCACTTTCCTCTATGCTACCCAGCAGTTCTCATCAGCTGGGGGCACCGTAACCCTCAGCAATAGGTTTTATTTCTATTTTGGATTATTTTGGTATTTTACATGATTTTACCATCCTCAACTAGGGAGTACAGTATAACACCAACCAGTTTTTGCTGGCGATATGGAGAATATTTGCTGTAATCTTCTGGCCACACTGCCAAGTGGCTGACCAAACTGATCTCTGGAAAGAGCTGAAAAATGCCTTGCCACGGTGCACGCAAGCATCGGCCGGATCCAGGCCTGGCCGCCTGAAGAGGGCACCATAAATCAGTGCAAGTGGTGGGATCTTTCGACACAGTGACCTTCATCTATCATCATTTACCATCAATGTGGCCTCATGTGCTACCATTGACAATCATTTACATGAATTTACTGTCATTTACCCCCCAAGAAATGAGCCCAAGTGACCCAAACGTAGGCAAACATCGTCACAATACAAAGGCATACAAAGACCACAAGCTCCAGTCGATGCTGGAGATTTGCCATGGGAAAATGTTGTCCGATTTTGACCCAACATTTTGACCCAGGGTGGCCTCAATGAAAGCAACGCGTGACAGCATGGTCACAAAATGACCTTGACTCGCAGGTGCTGCCGCATCAAAGGCTTCACGCATGGATTCTTCGCCGTAGAGACTTAGCCTCGCTCTGGATGCTCTGGGACACCAATGGGACCCCAATGGGACACCAATGGGCAATCTACAAATCTACAAATGTGATTTTGAGAGCTTTACCCCCCAAAAAAAAAAGGACATAACTCATAACACGACTAAACCCACGTGTTACAAGTCTTCGGGCCAACGCCGTTCGGAATGTTTCAGTGAAATCTGAATGGCTGGAACATGGTGGAACTCTGGACAGACACATGTCATGTATTACCCTCTGGTAATGACTAACAGTTTGCTGTTGAAAATGGTCATAGAAATAGTGGATGTTCCCACTCAAAATGGTGGATCTTTCCAGTTCGTTATGTAAACGTTTACCAGAGGGTACTCCCTTTGGGGGTTAAAAAAAATACTGAGCGAACCAGTTTTGGACCATCTGAGCGGCAACTCATCGGCATCAAAGAAATCTCTTAGCAGCACGTGAGGCGTCAAACCTTGCCACAAGGGAAGATGAGGGCCTCTGGCGACCACATTGGCGCGAAGCATTGGCGGACAGGCACCTTCAACAATCCATGTGGATTTGCTGAACAAAACTCTGCAATGAACATATCCCAAAATTATACAAATTGGCAAATCGGAAAGGGAAAAAGGATGGTACTGGTAGAGCACGGGATTTTGGAGTGCCATGAAGTACCCCATTTTCAGATAAATCCCAAATCTCTAGGTTTCAGTGGCGGAGTGGTTACCACCACCCATTGCTTTCCCAACCAAAAGATTCCTAAAAAGCAAAAATAAAATAAAATGAAACCACCGGCCTTCGCACATGAAGCCAAGAACTGCCAACAGTAGCCGCGAAGCTTCGGCAAAAGTGGCTTTGGGCACATCCTTCAGCATGTCCTCTGTAACTCTGGAACCCATGGCCGTCGCCAGGGTCTTTAGGGCTGATGCCTTTGACAAGTCAAGGTCTGGCTCTGGCTCGGGCATGGGCCACATCCCAGCACCCATTGCAGGATATCCCGGGTAGCCTGGGTATCCCACGTATTGTGGCGCGTACTGTTGATACATTGATGGGATTGATGTAGGGCTTACCGCTTTGGGTCGCGGCAGGGGCATCCATCTGCTGTCGCCAAAGAGGTCCTTGGCAGCGGTCCAGAGAGATACAGCCCGCAATCGTTTCGAATCGTTTGGCATGTTTTGCAGTCTTGCGGAATTGCGTTGCAGAATTGCGTGGCCCGTCTTAGATCCTTTCCTGCAGTTTTATAATTTTCAGCTGCGTCGCCAATTCATCCATTTTGCCAAACAAAATGTAATTAACCTACGAACCTGCTCAACGGAGGTTTGCCCAGGGCCATGGTCTTGGTATGTCGTGCTGGCTGTAGCTTGCCAGGAAACACAGGGTTCAGCCTTCTCTTCCGCACCTGCGCAGCTACCAATATCTACGAATCATGTTTATCGATATTTTTCACAATCAGATGCTGGGTGGAAAGATTGGAAAGGTAGAAGGCTAGAGATCAGAGAAGCTACGACCAAGAGCTGCCTGGCAAAGGATGAGCCTCAGTGACAAGCAGTGGCCACTGATGGCCACTGATCCCATCAAATATAAAGATTCTTTACGAAACCAAGGTTTCCAAGGGTGTACTTGATGTTGGGGGGAGTGGATTAATTACCAATTGTGTGGGCGACAGCCCGGGTACATTGCAGTCTCTGGCTAGCTACTTGAGATACTGGCCACAAACGCTATCAGTGAGAGGTTTCGCCAAAGAACTCTTGGCTGCCGCTGCATCATCTGCTTTGCTGGCTCTGCCTGTATGAGAGCGATATGAGAGATGACAGAAATCTTGCAGAAACAGTGAATCTGTTTTTTTAATGTGGTTTTAAATGTTTTTTTGGTGCTAGCTGACCATACATTTAGAGCTAGTCGGATCTATTAGGCAACTATATACTGACTACAATTCAGAAATCTTCAGAGTTTCCGGCTCAAGGATCACACAACCCCCAGGGCCTCAAACTTCTCCACCCATTCCAGGGGATCTGCCTGCATAGCTGTCCCGCCTGCGAAGGAAAAACGCAGCAGTCCGCTCCCCTCAATTTCCACCCAAAAAAATCAACAACGTGGTAGAAAGACACGTTAGATAGACATATACATGTGCATATCCATCCAAGTTTGCTTCACATAGCACGCTCAACCATTCATGTAGATATGTCGATCGGACTTGTGACAAAAAAACGCTGGCAGTTGAAAAGAGATCTGGTTTTAACAGAGATAGCTACTTGCTCTTTGCTGCATCACTATTTGCCTTCTTGCCTTCTCTCTATTTATCAGCTGCAGTTCGCAGCCATTGCGACACAAAGCAAGAATGCAATTTCGTTGCGAACGTTTGAGCTGCAGGCACCGGGTATGGCTTCAGATGATTTCCGGAAGTTTGGACGCGATGCTCTCCCGGAGCAGATTCATGATATATACTGTTGCTGCATCCTGATGACAAAATGTTTCGTGGGAATGCTTTGAAGCTGAGAGCCAACAGTTCCGAATTGGCGGATGCGGGCGTATGCAGGCGTATGCTTGCGTTGATGGAGGCAATAACATGCAATAACCAACTGCTTGGGGTACCGCCCATCAGACCCATCTGTCACAAACGAATTGGATGACTTGAGCGAATTTGTCAGCAAAATGCATGATAGCATGTTCTTTCCATGGCCTTTCCATATCGGCATCCGTGAATCCATTTTTACACGATAAGCAAAGACTGAGTCAAGACCTAGCAGCATTCGAATTTAGATGAATTTACCCTAGGAAACTGACATAGATGTGGTGGAGAAACCACCATGTGTAATTACATCTTTTTCCCTGGGAAACCATGCGTTTTCATGTTTTTTTCCACATCGATCTACATGAGTTTACCCTAGGGATCCCTAGGTCCACCAAGGCTGAGACACACTGCGCCCATTGCCTCCCACTGGCAAAGCCACCTGTGCGCAGAGACACCGCATCGATATGCGCAAAACGACCTAGCAAAATGCACCAAAATGCAGCAAAATCTTCCAGTAATGTTTTGAAAGCAATCATAAATGACCCATATTTAGATGCTTTATACCAACATATACCAACAATTAAAATTTGAGGATGGTGGATCCTATTGCTTTACGAACAGTATACAGTACACACGCAACGCGAGGCGCGCCGAGGGATTTAACCACGGTTTCAGCTTGGAAAATACCGCCCGCAGGAAGTTGTTGTAGGACTTGGCAGCACGGGGTGCGAAGATCAGACCATGTCTCAAGAAGAATGTGGTAAAACTACGGTAAAGCAATGGTAGACCTCCAATTATGGATGGTTAAAATCATTACTGACATAACTACAAGGCCATTTCATCCCATTGCTGGTGATCTTGGGGATCTTGGGGATGTGATGATTGGATGAAGCATGATGAAGCATACCATCGCCAGTGCCAAGGTGCTAGTCGACCCACACCATCCTTGTCCATCCTGGGAGGGGATGGGCAATGGATGGCAATGGGGATCCCAAAATTACGTGAAGCTTCCGGGAAATCAGTGGAAATCAGATGTGCACCGGTGGCATGCTATGGCATGGCCAGCTCAGGCATTGACTCGCGGAAGAACCGGGTCCAACTGCAGGAGGAATCCTCGAGAGGCGGCTTCAATGGATGCCCCATGATTGAAGTAGCTCCACACGACCCAAAGGAACGTACCAATAGAACAGATTCCACACTCTTCTCTTGGTATCTGTGGCATATGGGTGGTATAAACCTTCTCTGGAAGTTGTTGTTGGGTTCCTCCGCTTCTCCAATTATATCCATGTAATATTGTTGTGCTCTGTATTGCAGGGGGTTTCAAGGATGGAATTCAAAATTGAGTGAAGGGATTGTCATCTCTCCAGCTGAGCTGCATTGGATTTGGCTCCACCATGCCAAGCTGTTTCACCTCGCTGGCGCGTGCACCAAGGGATTTTTGAGATGGCAGCCATAAATTAATTAGTCAGACTGATTGGTGGTTTTTCAACCCGAAGAACAAAAAACATGAAAACCAACACTCACAACATGATGAAGAATCACGGTGAGATTGAACTGCGAGTTGATGTAAAATTGACAAGTTTGGGGGTTCCGTCTTTGAGTTCCTGGGCAGTCTTGGTCGTGCACTGGCACTGGCCACGCTCAAATATCCTCGGTCGATGTAGTAGGACGACAAGGCCCGCCTGGGTCAAGCCATTGGAGTGGCAATTTTAACTGAACACAAATGGATCCGCTGAAACTGAGATGTGACAGGAGCCATTGGAACACAAGACAAAATAGAATGGAATCAGGTTGTTTCGTGATACGTCTGGGAATGCATACGGATACGTTTGCATACATGTATGCGCACATGTGTGTGTGTAGGTGTGCCCGAACTGTATATACATATGTATGAGGTATGTATATATACATGTGCGCGCGTGCGCGCGTGCGTGCATGGGTGTGTGCGTGTGCGTGTGCGTGTGCGTGTGCGTGTGCGTGTGGGTGTGTGTGTGTGTGTGTGTGTGCGGGTGTGCGCGTGTGCGTGTGCGCGTGTGTGCGTGTGTGTGTGTGTGTGTGTGTGCGTGTGCGTGTGTGCGTGTGGATGTGTGTGTGTGTACGTGTGTACGTGTGTACGTGTATCTGTGGTGTATGTACGCATGTATCCATGCATGCATGGATGGATGGATGGATTTGTGGATGGACGGATTGATATATGGATGTAAGTAAGTAAGCAAGTAAGTAAGGAAGTAAGTAAGTAAGTGTGTGTGTGTGTGTAAGTATGTATGTATGTAAGTATGTATGTAGGGATTGATGTATGTATCTATTTACCTATGTACCCATGTATCTGTATCTATGTACCTGTATGATTGTATCTGTATCTATGTATCAGTATATTATGTATCAGTATCTATGTATCTGTATCTATGTATCTGTATCTATGTATGTATCTATGTATGTATCTATGTATGTATCTATGCATGTAACTATGCATGTATCTATGCATGTATTTATTCATGTCTATCCATGTATCTGTGTATCTATGCTTCTATGTATGTGTCTATGCATGTATCTATGCATGTATGAATGGATGGATGCATGCATGTATGTCTTTTTTGTCTGCGCCCTCCGTGCGCACAAATCTGCCTATAGATGCATGTATGTACGTATCTCGGTCAATCGGTCGGTCAGGTGGTGGGTAGGTGTGGATGTGTCGATGTGTGGATGTGTATATTTGAGGTTATAAATGTGTGTGTGTGTGTCTGTGCGAGATCGTACGTGTGTACCAATACCAAAAAACACATGCATTGACATTGTGTGCTTTATTCTTTCTACCGCTTCTTGGATTCCTCTTCAATGTCAATGGCCTTGATCACTTCTGGCTTCTGACAAGTATAAGCAGGAGAAACACGAATCGATTCAGGAAAAGCAATTGAAACCAAACGCCAGGGAATGTCTATCATCGATGCTCAGCAGCGTTTTGGAATCTGGATGAAATCCTTGAAATCTCATGAAGTCACACACTTTTGGTTTCCTATGATTCCCATGAATCCCTGTTTCCCATGACAGTGGAAGCTTCCTTGACCATCTGGGCATCTGGCTCTAATGCATTGGCCACCGCCCGAACTTCCACATCAGATCTCTCCGCCACAGGGGGGAGCCTATCAGCCGGTCAGGCTTGGCGAATAAAATTCCCACAGATTGTGATGATCCCTAAAATATTAGGTAGCATGACCATGCATAACCCCATATTGATCATCAATCAACAGGATCAACAGGGATGTTGAACACTACTCATGTAGGGTTTCCAACTGTGCAAATGGTTTCAAAACCGTTCCAAGTGCGCAAACATGTATTCTGTATAGAGTGCACTAGTGTGCGTCTGTACACTTGGGCAACTGCAGTTATCTATCTATTTGCTGTTGCGTCAAGGTGTTCTGCCGCAAGCATACTTTGCTCCCCATGATCAAGTTGTGGCAGGTTTCGCAGCCGTAGGCAGCACTTCTACTAGTAGTGGCAGGGTTTAAACATGTTCCATCCAACCCGGACGTTGCTCCACATGTACAATCATCATCATCATCATCACCATCATCATCATCATCGTCGTCGTCAACTTATCTTTATAAGGGATCAGCAATCCCACCACCCCCCTTTGACAAATATGCGGTGAATCTGAAAATAGCATCAGCTTATCTTTATAATGGATCCAAAAATCCACCACCCCCCTTTGACAGATATGCTGAATCTGAAAATAGCATCAACATATCTTCGTAAGGGTTCAAAAAATCCTCCACCCCCTGTGGCAAATATGCTGAGTCTGATAATAGCATCTGTGGCAAATATGCTGAGTCTGATAATAGCATCAACTTATTATCTTCATAGGAGATGATGATGATGATGATGATGATGATGATCATGAATCACATATACATCTACATATTGAAAGTCCACCGACATGGCATTTCAAAAATACGCAACCCTTCTGCAATTCCGGCGCGGAGCAACGTCAGGGTTGCACCGAAGATGTTTAAACCTATGTCAATCATCAGCATATCCAAATTATTAAATATATTCGCAGCAAAAGAACCGGGTATGGGTCAGAATTGGACCTCTGCGCTGGATTCAGATTAATTAATCATATGTTAATCTGGATAAGCATTAAAAAAAAATAAAAAAAAAGGAATCAATTCACTAACCATGGTTTCAGATCCGGAAAATGACCAGCCCTTGAGTGGCGTGGTTCCACTGGTACCCCACTGGCGAATCCCGCATGCCCGACTGGAGTCAGGCACGAGGGTTTCGACGCATCGCCATGACGTTGCTGATTGCCTCCCTTGTGGAGGCCAGTGTCCCCCTGAGTCAGGTCCAGCATCGTACATTGCATCTGATGCGTGGATACAAACTGTGCAGGCTACCCTCTGGTAATTTAACGTAGCTATTGAAAATGACCATAGAAATAGTGGATTTTCCCATTAAAAATGGTGATTTTCAATAGCTATGTTAAATTACCAGAGGGTATACAGTATGTCAGTGTGTTTGTGATTTGGAACGATGAATTTGGCCCACTTCCATCATGCGGCCCACTGGCTGCAAAACATCCATGTGAGAAAGGAGAAGAAGATGCGATAAGCTTATGAGTCAAAACCTCCTTCCCCTGGCGAACATCAAAATAGGTGGTAAATGATGGTAAATTGATGTGTATCTCCCTGAAGATGACATATTTATACGTATTGATCCATAGCCGCAATATGCCACAATGATAGAACAAAACCTGGCACCAACTGGGCTGCCGACACTCCACCGGCGCATGAAGACCTCGGGCGTCTGGGTTGTGTTGTACCCCAATTGGCTGGCCATGTTCACACGTGTTCACTCTCAGCATAAATGAGTGAACATATTCACGAGAGTCGGTCACATGGCCAAGGCACCATGAAGCGATGGACCGGCACCTCAATCCCACCATTGCAGTCCAAGGCCTCGAAGCAGGGGATCATGTGGAATCTCTGGAATTTCTTGTGGGAAAAAACATAATAACCCATAATCATGCAAAGTTAGTTTTGTTGTACAAAAAACAATGCCATAATCATGCAAAGTTAGCTTTATGGGTGATGCTGCATTTTTTTGAGCATTTTGTGAGCCTTGGTTTAGTAATGTGGTAAACCGAATGCGATAAATCTCACCAAAATCACAATCCTCATGGCCGTTATAAACCGCCCCCAGTCATGGTATGTTTATCGCATTGGTTTTTCCACATCTCTTTGTTTTGTGAGCACCTGTGTGTACATCAAATATCATATATTGTATTCAGATTGTATTCATATTATATTCAAATGGTATTCATATATATATATTTAAAAAATATAGTATATACTACAATATATATACACACTGTTATATTTAATATAAAATATAAATATATATATATATATATATCATATGAATATAAATATAAAAATATGAATAAACATATATATATATATATGTATATATATTTGTTTACAATATATAAAATCTTTGAAAAGTAAATTAAATATTATATATCAATGTAATAAATATGAAAAATATAATTAATATAATCAATATAATAACTATAATAAATATAATATAATATGAATATATATATATATATATCATGTAATATATATATATATATTATTATTATTAAATATTATATGTGATAACATATTTATAATATTCTATATTTATATATATATACACTATATTAAATACTTTATATTATAAATATACTATAATATATATATATATTTATTTATTTATTTAACAAATAAATACATATATACATTACATTACACACAGTTCATCATTGTGCATGGCATTTTGAGGGGTAGGGTTGTTCCATGTTCCGCATCTGGACCCACCAGTCCTACCTTCCAAAGGCCGTGCCTTGGCAGAATTCCACAGAGAAAACCATGAGTCATGGTTCGAAACATGGAAAATCATTGGAAAGTGATGGGCAAGTGGTTGGAAAATGTGGAATTCCCCAGTGATCTTGAAATTCTGAGAAGCATGGGAAAATATGGGAAAATTATTCAATCTGGTCCCGACATTTGTCGAATTTCATCGAAATCTGCTCTTGACATGATCATCGAAAAGCAGAGCATCCGGCAGCTCTTTGTCTGTCACCTGCTTGGTGGAGATCCTGAGGCATGGAAATTTCCCGCGCACCTGAGCCGAAGCGGTTCTGCACTGCAGCACGTTCAGTTCTTTAGTCACTGTGTTTGGTCATTGTTTGCTCACTGCGGGCATAAAAGGCAATGACCCCTTGACATATTTGTGTTTTTGCCAAACATGAGGACAAATCCAGCTTTGCGAGATGGTTTTTGTTCCAATGCTCAGGTCCAAGAAGTACATATCTATGACTAGCCATTGAGCATCTCCATTATCTTTATATAGTTTTATTAAATAATTAATGAGTGAGTACATACTATATTATATTATAAATTATAACACTTTGAGTCATTGAGTTGGCAAACTGCGAAACCATCAGCCAGGTGACAATGAATTAGACCAAACCTCACTTGAGGACAGGACACAAGACACCAGTTCATCAAAGGACAGGTTTCCACTGCCATCCGCATCAACTTGGTTGAAAACCTTGAACCTCAGCTCACCACCAACTGAACTTTCATTTGGGGATTGGTCAATACCTAGGAATAACATGTTTTAGATTTTTAGGCAGCTTGTGGCGGCTTAACATGCATTTACCAGCTGCAATGATGCTCACCAGGAGGTTCCCCATGGTTCCAACACTTTTCTGAGACCTCGGCCAGTTTCCCCCGGCGCGATGCCACTTGTGCGCCGCCTGATTCAAGACACTAACCTCAATGGTGACAGCAGATGCTCGGATGCTGGATTTGGATCATGGTTCATTGTGGCTAATGAGCCCTTATTAGCACTTGTTTGCCATGAATAAGTTGGTGGTGGTGATTAGTTACTATGCATCTCTTAGTGATTGTTTTATAATTAGTGGTTCTCTGTCTTAGTTGGTGGTGGCGCATACATCCCCTATTATTTAGCGGCTCTTGGTGGTTGATATATCAGCCCTTCTTAATGTTTGTTGGTGCTTAATACTGTGGCAAACCCAATGCCATAACCCAGGATCACCATAAGTCACCATGAATATCCGTTCATATCCATTCTTAATAGTGGTATAAACATTTATAAACCATCCCCATCATGGTAAGTTTATGGCAGCCAGGCTTTCCCACATTAAGCCCTTCCTGCCGTAGGCCCGAACGATTCGTTCCAGCTCCTCCTCACAGAGATCAGGCCTCGTCGTCGTCATCATTCAATCACATTCCCATCCAACAAGGATCAAGATTCGGGACAAGAAAAAATACTTTACTTCGAGCGATTCCCACCGTGACATTATTTTGGCATAGTTTCTGACATCTCATCTGGAAGTATATATGGCATAATTTTTCTGACATTCTATTCTGGCATTCTTTCTGACATCCTATTCTGGCATTCTTTTCTGGCATTCTATCTGGCATCTATTCTGACATCATATTTGGCATCCTTTCTGGCATCTACTCTGACATTTTCTCTGGCATTCTTTCTGATTTTCTGATAATCTATCTGGCATCTATTCTGACATTCTTTCCGGCATCTCTTCTGGCACTTTATTATATCTGGCATTCTATCTGACATTCTTTCTGGCAAATGTATCTGGCATATCTTCTGACATTCTTTCTGCCATTCTATCTGCTATATATTCGGAGGTTCTTTGTGGTTGAGGTCCGGCGGGGAACACTCTGATCCGGAATTCGCGGTGGAGGTCCGGCGGGGAACACTTTGATCCGGAGCTTGCGGTGGAGGTCCGGCGGGGAATACTTTGATCGGGTCCGGCGGGGAACACTGCGATCTAGAATGATCTAGAGCTTGCAGTTGCGGTCCAGGGAGGAAGGACGAGGAGGGAGGAGGAAGAAGGAGGAAGAAGGAGGAAGAAGGAGGAAGAAGGAGGAAGAAGGAGGAAGAAGGAGGAAGAAGGAGGAAGAAGGAGGAAGAAGGAGGAAGAAGGAGGAAGAAGGAGGAAGAAGGAGGAAGAAGGAGGAAGAAGGAGGAAGAAGGAGGAAGGAAGGAAGGAGGAAGGCGGCCAGCTGACATAAAATCTAAACCCTCACCTGACAGGTGGGGAATAAACACATCAACTTAAAACATATCTAAAGTTACGAAACCATGGTTGCATTTTCGGTATATTTCAAGGAGAGGGAAAGGATTGGAGTAAGTTTTTCCCCTCGACTAAGCCACCACCCCTTTGACAACTGCATCACAAGGTGGCACAAGAAAGCTGCGCTTCACGAAAAATATCTGATGCTGTGTAAGGCTCTGTGTGTGTGCGTATACCAAGTATATGTGTACCAGTAGTACCGCATACCGCACAAGGCGGTGGCGGAAGTTTCAAACATGGGAGACCTATAGGAGAGGTTGGTTGTTGTGAACCAGGGATGGCAGAGCGAATCCACTGATGGACCGAAAGGTGGTTGGATTTGTGTTTTTGGAGTGGTCGCAATGGTTGCAGTGGTCACCTCACCACAACTGTTGGATGTAGTGTGCTGTAGTGCAGTAGTAGTTGTAGTTGTAGTGTAGTGTAGTTGTAGTTGTAAGTTGTAGTTCCAATGTGATGTAATTAGTACAGTGTAGTTGCAGTTGAAGTTGCAGTTGTAGTTGTGGTGTGTAATTAGTGTAGTATATTGTAGTGTAGTGTAGTGTTGTGTACTGTAGTGTGGTATAGTGTAGTGTAGTCTACTGTAGTGTAGTGTAGTCTAGTGTAGTGTAAAGTAGTGGTTTTGTAGTTGTAGTGTATTGTAATTCGTGTAGTGTAGTGCATGTAGTGGTAGCCGTACTTGTAGTTGCAGTTGCAGTTGTAGATGTAGTGTTATGTAATGTAGTTAGTGTAGTGCTGTGTAGTGTTGTGTTAATGTAGTGTAGTAGTTGTAGTTGCATGTGCATTTGTAGTTGTAGTGTGCTGCAGTGTAATTAGCGCAGTGCAGTGTAATGTAGTGTAGCTGTAATTGTAGTTGTAGATTTGGTGGTGGTGGTGGTGGTGGTAGTAGTAGGAGTAGTGGTAGTAGTAGTAGTAGTAGTAGAAGTAGTAGTAGTAGTAGAAGTAGTAGTAGTAGTAGTACGGTAACAACATTTAAATATACGGATTTTTAAATATACGAACAGGTATTTTAGACTACCTCCGGGAAGGTTTTCCTTGGCCCGCCCAGTCATTTAAACATACGGAATGCAATTCATTTAAACGTTACGGTAACTACATTTAAATATACGAACTGGTATTTCATACTACCTCCAGGGCCTCGCGATCTGGCCCACCCTCCACACATTTAGATGTCGTTACCGTAGTAGTCGTCGTCGTCGTAGTAGTAGCAGTAGTTGTTGTTGTTGTTGTTGCTGTTGTTGTTGTTATTGTAGTTGTAGTTGTAGTTGCTATTGTAGTTGTTATTGTAGTTGTTATTGCAGTTGTTATTGTAGTTGTAGTAGTAGTAGTAGTAGTAGTAGTAGTAGTAGTAATTGTAGTAGTAGTAATTGTAGTAGTAGTAGTAGTAGTAGGTAGTAGGTAGTAGGTAGTAGGTAGTAGTCAGTAGTCAGTAGTCAGTAGTCAGTAGTCAGTAGTCAGTAGTCAGTAGTCAATAGTCAGTAGTCAGTAGTCAGTAGTCAGTAGTCAGTAGTCAGTAGTCAGTAGTCAGTAGTCAGTAGTCAGTAGTCAGTAGTCAGTAGTCAGTAGTCAGTAGTCAGTAGTCAGTAGTCAGTAGTCAGTAGTCAGTAGTCAGTAGTAGTAGTAGTAGCAGTAGGAGTAGTAGTAGTAGTAGTAGTAGAAGTAGTAGAAGTAGTAGTAGTAGTAGAAGTTGTTGTTGTTGTTGTTGCTGTTGTTGTTGTAGTTGCAATTGTAGTTGTAGTTGTAGTCGTTGTTGTAGTTGCAGTTGCAGTTGCAGTTGTAGTTGTAGTTGTAGTTGTAGTTGTCTGTCTATCTACCTAATCTATCTATCTATCGATCTATCTATCTATCTACCTACCTATCTGTCTATATGTCACATCTATCTGCAAGCTTGAAAACGCAGCAAGTCTGCAAGACGTCCTCAATTTTGGAACTTGACACCATCCAAAACAAAGCAATTCTGCGAGACTTCCTCAATTTTTGAACTTGACAACATCAAAAACAAAGCAATTCTGCGAGACTTCCTTCAAAAATGGAAAGTTGAGTGCAGAGCTGACGGCGTACCAATGCGTTTTGCGATTTTTCTAGTCCACCTGTCTAGAGTACTGCGCCTGCCACGAAAAAGTGATGCCAGGTCATACGAAGTGCTGCACCTGTCACTCAAAATGACTTCAGCAAACCTGAAGATCTCAGGCTCCAAAATGCAACCCCTCTCAGGAAATCAGCGCCCGGACCTCCTAACAGCTCTGATGAACATGTCTCTTCTGCTGCACCTGCCACGGAAAATGCATCTTTGCAGGTCCTCTTCAAATGTCCAACGCCTGCCATCGTTTTTGGAAATGGTACAAAACCCTCCCGTTTTGCTCACTTTTGACATTTTTGACAAGGTGCACAATCCCTTGCGCCTGCCACGCGAAACGACATCTCAACGTCCAAAAGTGGCGCGAACATGTGGTGCTTTTTCACAGTTTGACTTCGAAATGTGCTTCGCGCCACAACAGCGTGCACTTTTTCGACATCTCAACTTCCAAAAGTGCTCCGATCGTGAGGTGTTTTTAGCTTTTTTACTTGCAAATGTGCTTCTCACCACAACGGCGTGCACTTTTTCGACGTTGCAACTTCTAAAAGTGCTCCGAAGCTGAGGTGCTTTTAGCTTTTTCACCTGCAAATGTGCTTCGGGCCACAACGGCGTGGAATTTTTCGACATCTCAACTTCCAAAAGTGGTCCGAACGTGAAGTGCCTTTAGCTTTTTCACTTCCAAAAGTGCTTCGCGCCAAAACGGCGTGCGCTTCTTCGACATCGCAACTTCTAAAAGTGCTCCGAAGCTGAGGTGTTTTGTACATTACGGCATGCAATTTTCCATCTCTCATCTGGCCAGCTGGCTCCGCACCCGCCGCTTTAGCGAGCCTACTTTTCGACCCTCCGGAGCCTCAAATCATTGGAAAAACGTGGAAAAACACAGAGTTTCGCGACTTTCCTACCTTTTCGCGCGCCTGGATCTTCTTTCTTCTGACTCTTTCTCTTTCTTCTTCTCTTCTCTTCTCTGACTCTTCCCATCTCTGCTTTTCATCTGTTTATATTGTCGGAAGTTTGACTTCTAAACTTCCTTCGATAAGTATGTACTGTTAGTATGTGTAGTCCAATGACTCAGTTTATCGAACTCGCAACTTGGATGGTTCCTATCGAATACCAAAACAAATCGAGCCACACTAGCTCTGCACTAATTCATCATATACCGCAATGATTGATGATTTGATATTGAAAATTGAGCAGTGTTCTGCCTTCCTTCTGCAAGACAAGTCCAGTTCGCTGGGGCCACTGAGGCTCGTGCCACTGGCTGAGCTCGATTTTGTACATGAGACGCCTTGGGTTGATGTATCATTCAATTCTACCTGAGTCAGCCAAAAACAACCTCAGAAACATGTCTTATAATATCGAATAATGTAGTATACCGATTGGTGTCCTGGGACTCTATTGCTTTTTTTTCAAAAATAATTGAGTATCTTGTGAATGGGGGGGTGGGCCTCTATTGTGAGAAGTTTTTTCTCAGATCCAATTTTTTCAGGAGGAGCTTTATCCACCTTTATACACCTTTCTTTTTTTGGTAAAGCTGGTCCATTTACTTTAGAAAGCCATATCCATGTTAAAGCCTTGAACATGCAAGGTTTCTCATATAATTAGATGCCTTATTAAACCCTTATTTAAAAACAGCACCCAAACATTTTTTCAAGGGAGTAGCCCATGAGTGACCCAGATCCTCAATAATGTAATTGTTTCGATGGTACCCTATTGTGCACAGAAACTTTTGGGGTGAAAAAAAACACAAAACCTTTTATCCACCTTTCTTTTGGTAAAGCTGGTCCATTTACTTTAGAAAGCCCTATCCATGTTAAAGCCTTGAACATGCAAGGTTTCTCACATAATTAGATGCCTTATTAAACCCATATTTAAAAACAGCTCCCAAACAATTTTCCAAGGGAGTACCTCATGAGTCATGAGTGACCCAGATCCTTAATAATGTAATTGTTTCGATGGCACCCTATTGTGCACAAAAAACTTTTTGGGGTTATTTTTTTGGATTAAAAAGGAAAACCAATTGGAAGTAGATTCAAATGAATTGAAAGTAAATTGGTTTCAATTGAAATCCTTTCTTCTCAATAGATTTCTTGGAGGTTCAAAAGGAAAATCAATTGAAAGTGGATTCAAATGAATTCAAAGTAAATTAGTTTCAATTGAAATCCTTTCTTATCAATAGATTTCTTTTTGAGGTTTAAAGGAAAATCAATTGAAAGTGGATTCAAATGAATTGAAAGAAAATTGATTTCAATTGAAACCCTTTCTCATCAACATATTTCTTTGAGGTTTGCAAAGGGAAAATCAATCGAAAGTAGATTCAAATGAATTGAAAGAAAATTGATTTCAATTGAAAGCCTTTCTTATCAATAGGTTTCTTCAAGGTTTGAAAGGAAAATCAATTGAAAGTAGATTCAAATAAATTGAAAGTAAATTGAACTCCTTTCCTATCAATAGATTTCTTTGAGGTTTGAAAGGAAAATCAATTGAAAGTAGATTCAATTGCATTGAAAGTAAATTGATTTCAATTGAAATCCTTTCTTATCAATTTCTTTGAGGTTGAAAAGGAAAATCATTTGAAAGTAGATTGATGTCAATTGAAATCTTTTCTTAAATTAAGTTGATTATCCTAAAAATTGTTGAGGGGGTCTGAGGGGGGGCCAGAAAATGCCGAGTTATTGAGTAGCCTAAAATTGTTGGGGGGGCCCTACACTAATCAGCATCCAACATTAATTAATATTGTGTTTTGTGCGTTGCGACCATTTTTTCGCAAGATTTTGCAAGATTTTCTCGATTGTCCTCAACCCGTCCCCCAAGTCGTCGAATTTTTGGGCGCTGATTCGACAGAATCTGAGGTTCTGTCCCGAACTCCTCAATGGACGCTTGCCCGCTATCTTCGTCCAAACGACGCCAAAAGACACGCAGCCTGGGACTGTGGGAGGTGTCAGTCCCATAAGCAGCGCATGTTATGACGGTTTCTGTGGGATTTCTATGGGTTTGTCTCAAGATTGGCTCCGGCACCACTACTTCCAATATCTTCCGATTTATTTCTGTTCCCAAAAATTGCCATTTTCGGGTACATGTCCTGTTTTTTGGGCTGACAAACCCAAGTATGCCATTTCTTTGCGCTCATCCAGCAGCTGCCCTCAGGGCTTGGCTCATAGCGCGACACCGGGGCTTTCAGCCGCTTTCTGACCTCAACGGGATGTACAGTATAACGAATCAGGCTTTTGGCCGCTATGAAAAGTGATGAAAACAGAAACTAGATGATTCCTGATATTCCTGGAAACTGGCAACACATGCACCACATAAAACCTGAGGACCTTGAGGAAAGATTTGCAGTGCACGTCGTACTTCCATAGATGTCTCTGCAAAGCCAGGCTGAATCACAGCTGCTCCAAAATCCCGGACAGCTTTGTGCAAGTAGTAAACACTTTCAACGCCTTTTTTTCTTGGTGAGATGAGATGTTGGCATCGGTGAAACATCCCGCGGAGTCTAGCCGTTTGGATCAGACAGGTCACCCACCTGGACGAGATCGGCCATGGGAAGGCATGGGAAAGAACATGTGTCCCATGACACCTTCGCTCGTGGCACCAGGCAGTCCAAAATGGCTCGGCGACTGGCATCCATGCTCCGAGCCTGGAATGTTTTCAAGAGATGGTGAACTGTTTGCCTCCAGTTTACAACCATAAACTGAAGGGGAGGATGATGATAAACCATGGAATAGAATGGGGCACCCGAATGTCGAACAAACACCCAAATGCTGCCTGCTCATGTCAGCTACACTAAACTACTACCATCCATAACCTTTCGCCTGCAGAGATATGATGAAATATGCTGTCTGAAAGTGCAAGGGCATGACCAGGGCAAATGGTAAGATTTGATGGCTCCGCTGCTGAGTACATTTTCACTTTCAAGCAAGCGCAGGTGCTCTTCATGAGCGAAGCTTCACAAGCTTGGCCCTGATCTCGGGGCTTCACATGGACTCAAAATTCTTAGGGCTTCTCAGCAGTGGCTGCTTTGTGATGCGGTTCAATGAAGCCAAGCCCGTCTTCATGCTGACGCCGTTGCTGAGGAGTACCGTCTTCCTCTTCTTCCGCACTATGGTACTGACGCTTCGACATTCGCCACAGCCTTCTTTGTCTTGTCGGGTGAAGGCCATCGTGACGCCTTGTTCTTTGCCATTGCCACGATCATAGTGCACGGTGTGCTCATAGAAAAGTGGCATGCCCATGATCCACACTGGTCCGTTGCTTGCAGTCTCATACTGAAGGGGTGTGAAGGCCATCGTGCAAACCTGGTTGCTGAGTTCAACCCACCCCTGCAAATATTGGCCATTCAAATCATCACCGAAACAATGAAGCAGGAAACAAAACATCAAACATCATTCATCATTCACAATAACAGTAAATAACTATAGTAAGTATATATGAAACGTTATGACATCACAAGCCAGAAACCTGCTTTTGTTGCTTGACCTTGGCGAATGTCTTCCGCCCGTGGCTCTTGATGATCGTCGGAATCTCCACTTCTGCCTCGCTCAGTAGAATGTAGTTGCGGGGATTTATAACCAGCTCTTCCTTGTTTCCATTGGCACCGGCGACGTGGAAGGTCAGCTTAGGCATCTCCTTGTTGAGGTCGACACCTGCCATCCAGTCTGAGCATTGCGTCAGAAGGGCTTGCAAGGTCTCAACGGGATGGACCTCGATCTGCCCATCTTGACTTTCGTTGGCAGACATGACTGGCAGCTTCCCAGCTGCTGCATCCTTTTCAATCTGCTGGTGAGTCTCTTTGCATCGACTCCAGTTGTTGCACACAGACTCATAGAGGGTCAACAATTGTGGCTCGGCGGCAGCAATCAGGGTGGTCCCACTGTCCGGGATGAGGCCGCAGGCTGATTGCATGCCCTTCTTCTTGCTGGCTGGGTTGCAGATTTTGAGCCTCTGCTTTTGGTCGCCGACAGAAATGCCCTGGAAGTCTAAGCCCCAGTGCACTTGGCCCACTGAACTCAATCGATTGGAAGAAGCTGGTGTGTTCATTCCCAGGACACCATCTGCCTGGTGGTTGAAGCACAGGCTGAAGCGTTGCACCTTCGCTTGCTCAAAAAAGCTGGGCACATGGATCTCTTCAAGCTCTTCAGCTTTCTTAGCCATCCCAGCCCTTTTTGCTGCTCGGTGGTGACCAAGGGCCTGGTGGCCCTTGAAATCTGGCCGTCCTAAGCCCAGGATCCCTTCAAATCGATCATGGATTTCAAGACTCTCATCTACAATCAACAGCAGGCCATGTTTCATGTAGGTCTTCAATGAGCCCAGGCGCACCTCATCTGAAGCGACACGAGTTCCAACGGAACCACTGCCGAAGCTGATGTACATGTGAGCCTCTTCCAGGTGTTTCTTGACCTTGTGCCCCTGGTGCCCCTGGTGCCCCTGGTGCCCCTGGTGCCCCTGGTGCCCCTTGTGCCCCTTGTGCTCATCCTCCACCATGAAGAAAGACAAATTGAAGGAACTCGAGTGGTGCGGCCCAAGAAAGCATCCTGGTCCCCATTCGGGCCGGCAATTTTTGCAAGCACAATCCTTCACAACGACTTTGTCACTTCCTGTGTCTGCAACCAGGCTAAAGCTTTGCGGAGGGTTGCCGATTGAGATCTCAACGGAAGAATGGGTCTCATGATTCCTCAGTGTTGCACATGTCTCTTGGTGACCCTCTCCGCTGTCGGGCTTGATGATGATGGTGTGTCCAAGGACAGCGAGAAAAGCGACGGCACGGATACGCATGAAGCAAGTTTGGGATTGCATGGTTCGAGATCGGATGGGCAATCCACAGATTCTGCGAACTGTCCAGATGAAGAATTAGTTAGGTACGAGTAGTAATACGTGATCAGCTTGAGCTGAGTGTGGCTGCAAAGAAGCAGTTTTAACCGCAATCATTCTGTGATCAAGTCTGGTTCTGGCATCAGGCCTCTCGTGAAAAAAAGGACACCACAAATTTGGACACTGCATGGCAACATGCCGAGGGCACGTACACACCGGTCCTCAGTGGACAATGAGAATGGTTTTCACGTTGACTGGGTTCAACATGCAAGGATCATACGGGTTCCCACGTTACGACTTTTGTGATGAGATGTGTTTCATTCGAATCTGGGGTAGGATGCAGTTGGAGAAACCAGGACAAACATGAATGCAGTCCCTTACTAAAATCAAAGTTTAACCTCTCGAGTTTTGGATCGGCTGCAAATCGCTATCAGTGATAGTGTAACACCCCAACCCCAAAGTATATCAAAGTATATATAATATATATATCACAGGGAAACTTTTTTTTGGTCTCCAACTTTTGGAGAAGGCCAACTATCCACCACAGGAGAAACTGAGAAACTTGGACCCCCGCTTCGCGCAGTGTCCCCGGAAGGCATTGCGAGAAGCATCCACCCGCTTCTGCCATTTTTCGCGCCGCGCTTGTGCCTCCTGCACCAAGTCTTGCGATCTGTTGCATGACTGCACCGTCGAAATCGTCGATCGGAGTACAAGTTACAACATACCTATTTATACGTAACGTAATGAATGATCATGAATGATCCATACCTTTTTTGCTTCGCACAAGCCGCAGCTGCAGCTGAGTGCAGAATCCAACTGTTAGCTATCTGCTTCGCAGAATGAGACTGAACTTGTGAACCTTGCAGCACCATGATCGTTTTTTGTTGTCTGAATCACGGAATAGGAGGGAAACATCAAATTATCAAACAGGGGGCAGGAACAGAAGCAAAAAGGAGCAAAAGGGTGGGTAGACATCTACTATTTCTGAGGCCGGGCCGGGAATATGCCCGCTTTCGATGACGAAACTTTCGGTGACGAAGCTTTCGGTGATGAAACTTTCGGTGAAGAGGTGTGCGATGGAGTGTCAGGAACAAAATGGTGAGTCTTTGCATGTCTTTGCTGGGCCAATTCGTTTACGAAATTTCTTTGAAGAATGTTTTTGATGTCAAACTGATCTATGTGACCACTTTCATCCACTCTCTCTATAAGCATCTGCATAGGTTTCGATTAGCCAGTGAGCTCTGGGTTTGCCTACTCGTCTTGCATGTTCAGTTCTAGGTATGAGTGAATTAGGTAGAAAAAGGACCTGACGCATGGGATCTTGTGGGTCTGATCGAATGATGTGTAGCTGATTTTTTCTTTTCAACCATACTGGGACCCGACAAAGTCATGCCTAAGTCACTCCTTTCGCTTTCCCAGCTTGTGAACGCAACATCAAGAAGTCATGCCTAAGTCATGCCTTTTGGTCTTCCCCCATTGTGAATGCAAGCGTCAAAATAGCCCTTTCCAAATCGGAACCTTTCACTTTCGCTAGCACCATAATGACTTTATTTTGATAAGTTCTTTTACCGATGCATTGTCATTGTTCTGTCAACACTTGTGGGTGGGATATGTAGAATTCTCCGATATCCTTTGATCTGAAAAGCATCTAATCTATGAAGTTCTGACTGGTTACGTTAGATGGTTTCCAACCCATACCTGAGAAAGGGGGAACGAAGCCAGCATCCAATCTATCCCTATGTTCCCCAATATTTTTCACCCAGAGACTCTTCACCCAGAACCCCTTCTTGCACATACTTTTCACCCATATACTTTTCACCCAGAGGCTCTTCACTCAGAAACTCTTATTGCACAGACTTTTCACCCAGAAACTCTTCTTGCACATACTTTTCACCCATATACTTTTCCCCCAGAGACTCTTCACCCAGAAACCCTTCTTGCAGATACTTTTTACTCCAGTATGGATGTAGGTATGAGGATTCCAGCCCTTATGATGTTACACTTCTCGATTTGTGCACCACCAAGTCGCTCGTCCCCACACCTCCTTTCTTCTGCCAAGTTGCGGTTTGAGCTGTAAAAAGGGCAGCTGTGAATACAGCCAGGATTGAATTTGAGATGTCACATGTTTATGGTGACATGTAGTGAAAAAGCAAATGAAGGATCAGCACTCCCCCATTGATGGCTCGTGAGGGCCATTCAAATTTGACTCAAACTACCCCTTCTCTCTCACGACATGTCAAGCAAAAAGGCGTTTGTTTCATTTCATTGATCCAGGGGCATCGTTCATCAGTGTGAGCAGCTTCGCCAGAAATGGACAGATACAATGGAGATCCTGGAATGGGTCTTCCTCTGGTCTGCAGAGCTACGCGTCGGCAGGTCTGACACCATTTGAACTCTTGTGGAAGTGACACTCGAGCTCCTTGGAGATGACGGCACGTCAAGGAGCTATGATACACCTGTCCATATCGGGTTCTCAGCACGGTGAACCCCAAGCCCTCATTTGGATCTTCTTCAACCTGCTCAATCAGAACAGGTGGTAGCGGAGTCAGGCGAATCTGTCGCCATAGTTCGGCTTCTTCTAGAGCTATTTCTTGAAGGGCTCCCTCAATTCTACTTCCAAGATCCTGCCCTTCAGGGGTTGATCCCTCCGAGGACCAGCTTGAGCTGGAATCGTCATCCTCGGGGCCAGAGAGGCGGACTGGTTCTCCTCCAACCAACCCCAACTCATCCGGCTGGACGGGCCCTCTCACCTCGTCCCGGATCTCTGGCGGGAGCTGGACCAAGCGATCTCCTGAGCCGCTCGACCCGTCCTCACCGCCAGAACCCCTCCTTCCTCGTTGGGCTCTCTGCCCTTCTCCTGATTCTGACTGCGCAGGGAGACTTCGGCTCGACGTGTCAGAGAGCCCCTTGGTCCTCCGTTCATAGACACCTACTCCTACCTTCCACGCAGCTTGAACCAGTAAGGTGAGCAGCACGATCAAAATCGCAAATGCCACCATCATCATGTTGAACTCCTTCATTGATTCTGTTTCTTCTTCTTCATCCTCTTGTGACTTTCCAACTGAGATCATGGCAGCCATCGTCAACAGTTTCACTGCAAGGGCTGCCTGTGCAACCTTGATCTCAGCTCCATCTTTTCTGCTCTCGCTTGTTTCTTCTGTTGGACCTTCTTGGCCTGCTTCCTCTGAGATGCTGGGCTTTGAGGCCATGCCCAGCAAGGACTTCAGTTTCTCAAGCCTCACTGAAGTCAAAGCTTTCGTTCCGATGTCAGCGTTCAAATCTTCACCTGGTGAGTGGCTGACCTGCCAATCTCCTGTGAAAACTGCTTGTTTGGCGTAAGCAGCTCTCATTCGCAGGTGACGCGTTCTCCAGCTTCCAGACTCGCTCGTTAGGATCGCAATGGCAGACTGACTGTCCGACCAGGCAATTCTTTTGACTTCATCCAGAAGCTCCTGGAGAATCACTGAAACTGCTTCTCCAGCGTTCATCCCCTCGATCAGCTCATTCAGCTCAGCCTCTGCAGTGGAAAGCGTAATGGAAGGTTGCCTTCCAGAACGCCAGAAGAGGACACTTTGGTTCACCATCACAGTGAAACATCCGTGAGATTCTTCACCCTCTGGCGCAAACGACGCATCAGACCAAACCTGAATGGCTACCTCCTTCTCTTTTTCTTCTCCAAACCTCAAACCATGAGAAACTGTTCCTCGTAGATAATCTCTGGTCTGAGCTGCTGCTTCCAAAACCGCAGCAGTGGCCTTGGTGACATTGGCGCCCATTCGAGCGATGCTGAACATGAGGTCTGGTCGCGTTCTGGTGACCAGCCACAATAGCTCCCCCACTTCCTTCTGGCACTGACGTACCTTCTGAAGTGAAGGTGGTTTTGGATCCTCCTCCATCGCAGCCAAATCTCTTGAGATCGGAACCTTTCTGATCTTCTGTTTCTTCTCATCTTTCTCCTGGTCATATCGCTCCAGGAGATCTTTCACATATGACTCCTGTGTGACGAACCAGTCATATCGCTGATTCTCATTCGACCAAACTTTCGCAACCTCCATGCCCAAAAACTTGATGGGATTCTCTGTGACCTCTTGTGGTTCTGTTGTGGTCCAGATGTCACGAAGAGCTCCAATGAGCGCCTCAGCAACGTCATCTTGGCCAGACACGAAGATATCATCTACATAGGTCATGACCAAGCCCAAGATTCGCCCATTGGTGAGGGTGGCATTCTCATCTTCTTCCTCCCCCACGACCTGAACCACCTTCCACAAGTTAGGTTCTGATCCTAACTGAGAAAGCATCACATGAATCACCTCTCCTCTTCTTTTGACCTTCACTTCAAGCTGGCGCATCTTGTGATCTCGATGCGTTCCCCAGAGTCTTGGAGAGCGGCGGAAGCCATAGACGGCCTTGAGTGGAAGGAAAACAGTGCTGGGAGCCAGATACTTTTTCTCAACCAAGATGAAGGGTGGTTTCACCAGCAGGAGGTTCTCCTCATCTTTGACCTCCATGTCGGCATTGAGAAATGCCGTTCGCACATCAATCACCCAACCTCTCCATTGAAACTTCCCAGACGCCCAGATCAAAACTCTGAACGCCGTGGCATCTGCCCCTCCAGAGTAATTCTCTTCACCCTCCTTCTTCTCTTCAAAGTTTCCGCATACCACCCATCTTGTCTTTTTCTTTCCGCCCTTCTCTCCAGGCTTCAGAGTATACACCATCTTTGATGGGAGATATTCAATCTTTCTCCCTTCTTCGATCGCCTTCTTTCTCAAACTTTCATGCTCCTCCTCGCTGAGCTGCTTCAGCGCCTTCTTCTCATCAGTGAGAGCTTGAACCTCACTGTCCACAGACTCCAACCATTCAGACCATCTCCTTGCAACCTCCTTGGGAGAGATGATTTTGGTTTGAAGAACCTGCTCCTCATCTTCTGTTGGCATTGCCATCTTCCTCAGCTTGGCGACAACCTGAACGATGTCTGCCGCAAACTGCGGTTCTGTCTCCAGGATGTCTTTCATCTCCTGGTCTATGACTTCTCTTATATTCTTCAACTCCTCCTCTCTTCTTTTCTTTGTCTCCTCCTCTGGTTCAGATTGAAGAGAGCCATGAATTCTCCTCACTGCTGTCTTTCCTCTCAGCCTCCTTCTCACAGACCAAGCATTGGAAATGTTGCCCTCCAGAGCAACCCACACTGCATCATCGATGGGTTCAACGGTCTGTTGGAGGACGTACTTTGTGACTCGTGGCGCTTCTCCTTCTTTCTGAATCCAGTGGCCATGATCTTCTGTGGATGGACACAAGTATCTGACCTTCTCAACTGCCGCTTCAAACGCTCCTCTCCTCCAGGTGCGTTTCTTGACTCTCACTTCTTGGAAGAACTGCGGCCAGTTTGGGGTGATGTCTTTTCTGATGCACCTGTTGATCTCATCCACATGTCTCAGCGCCCATGGCCAGTATGAGGAGTCCAAATTGGCCTGCCTCAGTGCTCTCCTCACTTGAGTCTTGAGAGCCTTGACCGTGACCTCTGCACGGCCATTTCCTTGTGGGTCATCCCCTGCCGTTTTTGTGATGTATATGCCTCTGCTTCGGGCCCATTTTCTGAAGGCCCCGTCAAACTCGTGGCCACGATCACAGTGAATGCGGCCCACGTGATA